GTAGCTTAACGGCGGGGCCCCCACCAGGGCATCCCGAAGAGAGACAAAAGCGGCGTTCTCCACCGGCCCCCAATGAAATTTGACCCCTTTTGACGTCAAGGCATGTAGTGGCTTAGCGATGGAAGCAAAGTCCGCAACAAACCGGCGGTAATATGAAGCAAAGCCGATGAAGCTTCTAACCTCCCCCACCGAGGTGGGAATAGGCCAGGAGCTGACACAACGCGTTTTGGCGGGATCGGTTGAGATACCTGACCGGCCGACGATGTGACCCAAATATTTAACAGATTCGCGCAGCAAATGGCACTTTTGTGGCTTGAATTTCAAATTAGCAGCGCGCATTTTGAGAAAGACGGCCCGAAGCCTATCAAGGTGTTCCTCGAACGTCTTACTGAATACGATAACGTCATCCAGGTAAATCAAACACACCTCCCATTGCAAGCCAGCGAGGACCAATTCCATCAGGCGCTGGAACGTCGCGGGAGCAGAGTGTAATCCCATGGGTAAGCGATTGAATTGGAAGAGGCCGTGCGGCGTTCGGAAAGCTGTTTTGGGCCTGGATTCGTCGTCCAAGGGAAGTTGCCAAAATCCTGAGAGCAAATCCAAAGTGGAAAAGAATCGCGATCCCGCGAGGGCATCCAGCGATTCGTCCATTCGAGGAAGCGGATAAGCATCGGCCACCGAGATCTTATTTAATCGCCGGAAATCAACGCAGAACCTTAGGGACCCGTCGTGCTTTTTGACCAACACTATGGGTGCACCCCAAGGGCTGGTCGAGGGAGAAATGATGTCCGATTTCAACATGTCATCTACAGCCGATTTGACATGATCCTTTTCGGCGGGACTTAACCGAAAAGGATTTTGGCGGATAGGAGCGTTGTCACCGGTGTCAATATGGTGGCGTAGCAATTTGGTACATCCGATATCGTATTTGTGTTTACTGAAGACGTCGGAAAATTCTCGCAATAAGGCGCGTAATCTAGCACGTTGTGCGTCAGACAGGTCAGGTGACTCAGCACACAACGCATCCAGCCAAACCTCGTCAGCGTCTGAGGCTAATCGCGTTTGAGAATCGGTGGCCACCTGGCCAATGATCGGCGTTTCCGCAGGTACCGGAACCGCATGTGCGAACACGGTACCTTGCGAAACCACTGCCGTCCGTGTCCCGACATTGAGGACCGCGATAAACGGGTCCCCATCCCCTTTAACAATAGTCTGGGCCGTCACCAGATCTGGCCCACTCACCCCGGCTCTAGATGGTCCCAAAATAACGCCCCGGTCAGAGACTCCTTTATCGAACGGTCGACGCAAGCGCAAGGGTACCAACATCTGTGCCCCCGGGGGTACACGCACCGTCCGAGCAACAAGCGCCTGTACCGTAGCACAGGCAACACGCACGGCAGGGGTGGCAGGTAGGAACGTCATACGTCGGCCCGATGGAAGCTCGATGCATTGCTGGTCAATCAGAATTTTGATGGGCAATTTGGCCAAAAAGTCTGTCCCCAACAGGCACGGAATAGCCAGCGAGGAGGAGACGAACACCGGGCCAGATAGTTTAATGTCCCCTATCGAAATTTGCGCTCGAATTTGACCGATAATACCCAACGAGCCCCCATTCGCAGCGTAAAACGGTATATCGACAGGGAGCAACGGGCGACTCTGAACGGGCAGGATATTATAAATCAAATCTGAAATGATAGTTGCCGAAGCTCCCGTATCGACCAATAGCCGTACCTCCACCCCGTCAATATGCCCCGCGACAACGGACGACCCCGCTGATGCAGCCACAACTCGGTGAGCCAACTCGGACCATTGGCCCGGTTGGAGCGCCCTCCCCGACATGCCGCGACCCGACGCACCAGCACCCAACCCCCGAGAATTGTGTATCGGACCATGTGATAGGAAAGTGGGTGTGTGTGCAGGCCGAACATGTGGGGTGCCATGACTTGCCCGAGGATGTTGCGAAGGCTTGTGAGGAGGGCCGTCCGCAGCTCCAGGTCTCGCACCGCGCTGTCGAGGAGCCCGGCATCCGGACGCCACGTGGCCCCGGAGGCCACAATTATAGCAGACGACGAGCGTTCCAGAGGACTTGGGCTGGTCTCGGTGGCTTGGAACGTCCCGAGCCGGTCGCTCGGCAGATCGCCATCCTGCAGAACGATCCGCAGCGAAGGCTCCCTCCATTCCAGAAGAGGTTGCCGCCACGGTGTGTCGTGCAGCAGCTTTGTTCGCCTTCCTCCGCTGGGAGATGAGATTGGCGTGAATGTGCCTTGCAGCCCGCAGTGATGACATATCCGCATCGTCCTGCGCTAAGATGGTGAAGTCCAGATCGTCAGCCAGCAGCAAAATTTTCTCGGCCACCATCGCATCGATCCCCTCTTCATCCATACGCGGGAAAGCGTCTTTCGCCAATGACAGCAGGGCCGTGCGATAAGCGAGTGGCGATTCCTTATCACCCTTCTGCCGTTCATAGAAGAGCTGGCGACAATCGGAGGGCAGCCCATAAACGGTGGCCAGCAGCTGCAGCGCCGACTGAATGGTGGAGCGTGCCGACTTGGGTGCAGCAGTGAGGGTGCCCAGGGCGTCGCCGTCCAATAACGCCGGGAGAGCACACAGCGCCTCGTTGTCCGACCAGCCTGCCATCTCTTGGTGGGCCAAGAACCGGCGCTGGAACCCCCCCCAATCGCCGTCGCTTGCAACAAATACCTGCAGGGCCGGCAGGCGTTGCTGGAATGTCGGCTCCGTCTCCGATCCTCTTGCAGCGTCTCTTGCAGCATCCGTAGCGCGTCCCCGTACTGTATGGTCGGTGCTGGCGTCAGCTGGTGGTGACGTTTCAACCCCTGATAGGCTGCCACCGCGACCCGCCTCCGCCGATGACGTGGCGGCTGCTGGCTGGGCACCGTCTCCCGCGTGACGAGCTGGGACTCCTCCCTCCGCCCCTACTGTCTTTGTGGCGGGATTTTCGAGTCGCCCCGCTGTTGTAAAGGCGGGAGTTTCTGGCGGGCGTTGTCCATCTTCCCGCCGCGTCGCTCCTCCCGGCCCCAGGCGAGTTATTTGTTCCAGCATAGCGGCCGCTGCATACAAGAGCTCCGCCAGCCGCGAGTGAGCCAACGCCAACTCGTCAGTCGACGTCCCGGCCCTCTCCGACGGCCCCGCCGATGTCGGAGCCGGCAGCAGTTGTGCAGGTACGTCGGCGGCGATGTCTTGCACTGCCCCTCCCTCGTCGTCATCCTCTCCTGGGTCTTGGGCACGAGTCTTCCGTCTCGTATCCATGCTTGGCCCACTTCCAACACCAGATGTAGTAAGTTGATGAGGAGACGATGAGGAAGTTGAGACACACTGTTTATTAACTCCGGGACAGATACAATAGTTGAAGGGGTATCGGCCCCTTCACCCGTACTATGGGAAACCCACCCTAGTACTAAGCCCTCTGTCCTGTCCCCCAGTCCTCCTCTACTGGGCTACGGGAGGCTGACTGATCTGGCCCTGGCAAGCACAGATCTCGGCACCAGCTAACCAGCCTTGCCCTGATAAGGGCAGCGGTCTGGAAGCTCTTGGGCCGCGCCACTGGCTTACCCGGCTCGGCCCTTATAAGGACGGCGAGACCGGGGAGTCCCAGGGCCTAATCTCCGAGTCTTGGATCTTCACTGGTCAGCTTCGTGTCGAACTGCCTCGAGCTCTTTGGGTTCCACCTTTTATAGGGATCGCCTCCGAGGGCTGGGGGCGTGGGCAATAACTGATGCGGACGTCGGTGTGACCCCCCGTGTATGTGAGTGCCGACAGCCCTGTGTTTGTTGTCCGCCGTTTCTCCCGTAATAACCCCTACACAGGTATAAAAAGCAAAGGAAAAATGGCACACGTAAGAATGGCACAGGCAAAATTGTCACAGGTATAAAAAGCACGGGGAAAATGGCACAGGTAAAAATGGTTTGGGTAAAATTGAAACAGGTCAAATTGGCACGGGTAAAAATGGGCCGGTTCAGATTTTCGTCACTAGTATTGGTGGCCATGAACGAGAATCAAAACTCACCGGGTTCATAGCACAGCTTTCCCCACAGCACAAGCACAAAGATCCCCCATGTAGCCTTTAACAGACCGCTGGGGCAAGTGCTGTTAGCGAGCACCCATTGAGGGGACCACGGCGATACCGGGGTATCTTTGTCTTCGACATTCAATGTCTCATCAGCAGCAGAGTCAGTCTCACTTAACTCTGCTTCTGATGGGGCGCCATGGTGGCGAGATGTTAACTACCTCGCTTAGTATTGAGAAGGCCGTGGATTTGATCCTGACCCTATACTTGGCGTTCCCTTGTCGCTCTCCCCGTGGTCGCGTGGATTTTTCTCCGGGTCCTCCGGTTTTCCCCTCCACGTTTAGAATAAATGCGCGTTTAGAGTATTTGGCTGCTTGACATTTCCACGTAATAAGCCACTTCGTTGAGCTGTCATGGCTCAGTGGGCCTTAATTGACAAAATAAAAAATTGTTTAGTTTAGTTTCAATTTACTTGAACCAATGCTGGTGAACTGGCCGATGTGGGCAAGGGCCTGTTTCGCCATTCAGAGTCCCATCATCAGCAGCCAGGCACGCTCGAAGCAATGCTGGTACATTGCCCAATGTCATAGGGAAGGGCCCTCTCTATCAGAAATGGGTCCCTAGTTTCGATTTAAAGCTTTCGTGACTGCAGGGATTCATCTTCTTGGTTCTTTCGGTAAAGTCACGTAGAAGGGAAGTAATAATATAATAAAAATAAAACATAATAAAATAATTCTCACGACGTTTCGGCTGCTTGCGTTGTGGCCAAAACGTCGTGAGAATTATTTTATTATGTTTTATTCTTATTATTTTATTACTTCCCTTCTACGTGACTTTACCGAAAGAACCAAGAAGATGGGTCCCTAGTTCTATTCAACACACAACGATGCAATCCGCCACACAGAAAAACGAGATTTTAGAATGGTGGGATGAGGGGGGTAGTAGACTGCGTTGACGCTGCTCGGGTTGCCTGCAGGCTGGGGCGGCCCCCTCTCTCATGGAGGAAGAGGCGGAGGAGGTGGGAGACCTCGTCCCGGAGACGAACCTGGACTGGGACCCGAGGACACGGGACGACGTGGACACGGTGAGGCCCCGCGTGGGTCCCGCGTGGGGCCACGTGTGAGCACGTGGGACTGTGTGACACCACGTGACAGTATGTGTGACCCCTTGCCTGGTTACCGTGCGACAGCACGTGACGCCACATGACACCGCATCGGTATCGCGTGGTACCACGTGACACTGGGTGACACCACGTGACACCAACTGACCCCATGTAATACCACGTGACACTGTGTCACACCAGGCGATACCACGTGACACCACGTGATACTAAGTAACACGACGTGACACACGTGAAGCCACGTGACACCAGCTGACACCACGTGATACCACGAATGGAAATTGTTGTTAATGTTCAAAGTTGTTGGAGCTGTTATGTTGTTCAAGGTAGATATATTTTGACTAGCTTGTTTGCCCGTCCTAGGACGGAAGCTGTAATATTTACGAAATTTTTTAGTATAATTGTATCTTGTGTAAATTTAATGGCAGTGAATCTTGCACAAAAGTACGTCATCAAACACTTCACTGCAGTTCACTGCAGCACTGTATTAATGGCAGTGAATCTGGCACAAAAGTATGTCATCAAACACTTCACTAAATTTCACTGCAGCACTGTATTAATGGCAGTGAATCTGGCACAAAAGTATGTCATCAAACACTTCACTAAATTTCACTGCAGCACTGTATTAATGGCAGTGAATCTGGCACAAAAGTATGTCATCAAACACTTCACTAAATTTCACTGCAGCACTGTATTAATGGCAGTGAATCTGGCACAAAACGAAGTTTTAAAACACTTCACTTCAGTTCACTGTAGCACTGTATATAACTAACCTTCAATGTGTTCAAATTCACTGCTCTGATACTTTATTCTCTTCTGCTTTCGGTTGCTGTGGTTGAAATAAACTGGAATTCGATAGAATATCTGGAAAATCACCGAGAAATGTCTATTTTACCAGAATGTAGAAGCATAAATTAGACTTAATTTTTGCCGGAAGTGCTGAAGAAATAAATAAAGACACCAAATCCAATTTGTTGCTGCGTAGAAGTATTAATTATATTCACTTTCAATAAAGAAACGTTAAACTTAAAGTGAATATTTCCGCTCGACCTTCTGCGTGAGTGTAAAAATCCACCTGCTCATGAATATTCATTATGGGGGGGGGGGGGGGGGGTGCGGCATGTGGAGTGACGTCACGCGCGTTACACACAAACAGACATTCTTGGCTCATTATAGTAGTAATGTCGCTGTGTCGATGCTGCTGTGAGTATCGATGTCACTGCGAGTGTCGATGTCGCTGTGTCGATGCCATCCTTCTTGTCGTGCAGCCTGTGCTTTCAGAGCGGCCTCAATACCTCCACCCACTGCCCCCATCCCCATCATCACCACGTCACCAGCAGCACCAGCAGCAGCACCAGCAGGAGCAGCACCACCACCAGCACCATCAGCATCAGCAGGAAGATTTTTATTCTATGGACCCTGCTCCTCCCAGCATGCCTTGCTGCACCTGTGTCGCCACCCCTCCTCCTCCACCGCCCCTGTCAGCCCCAGGGGCTTCTGGGAGTCGGCCGCCATCCAGGGCTCAGTCTCAAGAGCGGCGGCGCTCATCCCACAACAACGACGGTGACGTCAACAACAACGTCAACAAGAACGGCCACCACGGCGAGCATCGAGAGGAGACGAGGCCCCCGAGGAGGGAGGGTCCAACACCGGAGCCCAATCTCTTGGGCGACGAGGAGAGGGAGGGGCCCGAGGCGGAGGGCCCCCGGGCCCCAGGCGTTGCCGGACTGCGCAAGATCCTGGAGGCCTCCCTGTCCCGGCATGGCGGGGCCGGCTGGGCCGGAGGGGGGGGAGGGGCCGGAGAAGGGGCCGAGCTGCTGGCCCACGCCGGCCGGCGCCCGCCCGTGCCCTTCCCGGCGGACGTGGCGTCCGTCGCGTTGTCATCGTCGCCGTCTTCGGTCGCCTCGTCGCTGGCAAAGAGGGGCTCGGTCCCGGGGGGCTCCGTGTCCTCCTCGGGGGCCTCCTCGGTCATCCCCCTCGCCATGGCGGTGGCCGCGGCGTCGTCGTCGCCGTCGTCGGCGCGGCCATCCGACCCGGGCTACTCGAGCGCATCACGCGGCCGCGGGTCGCCCCTCCGCCGCCGCTCCTCTTCCTCATCACCCTCCTCGTCGTCCTCCTCCTCATCGTCGCCGCCGGCATCGCCGTCGTCCCGGCGCTCGGGGAAGGCGCCCAACGGAGGGGCGGCTCGCCCGCGGACGCTTGTCCTGCCCAGGGCCACCTCACCCACCGTGCCGCCGCACGGCACCGGCTCCCTGCCGCCCGCGGGCCCGGGGGAGCCGGGGAGCCGGAGCCCGGCGGGGTCCACTGGGCTCAAAGGTTCCACAACGCCCGGCGTGGCGGTGGCGAGGAGGGAGGAGCGGAGGAACGTGCGCTTCGTGACGGTGGAGGTTCACCGCCCCAACGCGGAGCCGGACGTCAACGAAGCGACGGCACTGCCACGCAGCCGAGGTGCGGGCCGGGCAGGCCGGCGGGGGGGGGGGGGGGTGCCTCCAGATGCAATAGAGACTCCACTGGAACCCCCAATGGGACCCCCTATAGGATCCCGTTGGGCCCCTGTTGGACAACACCCAACCCCATGAGATCAGTCCCCAGGGATCTCCCCTCCTTGTGAAATCTGTAGTCCCCGGGTGCAATGTGTTGTGTGGGCACGGTTCTGTGTGTATCCGTGTATGTGGCACAGTAGGGGGCACAGGTGGTGCATCGGCCAGTCATCTCAGTCAGTCGACCCATGGCACCTGGGTCTGCCCCTTGACCACCGGCCAGCGGGTGTTCGACAATTCACGTGGCCTTAACGTGCACCTAGCCTGGCACAAGCGAGGTGGTGACATCACCGCCACTTAGTGGCGAATGGCGGTTGTTGTTGTATGTATACGGTGCTGGCCACCCCCTCCCTCATGTGCCATGCTGACCTTCATAGGTGCTACTCGCTACCAGCACTTGCCCAAACATCCTGCTATAGGCTATATGCGGTATCTTTGTTCTTGTATATGGATGTTACTTATTTCGCATTGTACATCGATAACCGCGCAAATCAGAGGTGCGGGCGAAGGACAACAAACTAAACACAAAAATCAGTTCTAAAGAAATATTTGTCAATCTAGATGATTTCAAAGCATATAGCTCGAGTGGCTTTCTAAAATCGGAAGGAAGAGCATTCCAGACGGGCGCAGAAGCGCATCTGAAAACGCCACGTGATGCGGTGACCGTCTGTGTTCGACGGTAAGCCAAAAGCTGCTGCTGCTGCTGCGAGGGTGACTGGAGTATCGCGTGATGATGGTTCAAGCTCCTTGACGAAATCGGCGGCGAGCGGTTGTGGCTCATTTGTGGCAAGCGCTTTGTGTGTGCAATGAGTGTGACCTTTAAGTCTTTCAGGGGTTCACACGATGGAAAATTAACAGGCTTCTACCCTTTCTGGGAACGAATACAGGAGGTGTTAAGATGTTCAGACATCGAGTCTGCATTAACCAAACATCAAACATGCGAACAAACGTGCTTTAATAATAATGGACGCATTGTCCATAGCTGTCAACCCATGCGGTTTATCCCGTATTCTTGTACGGGAAAATTGAGTTTTCAGGTCCATATGGACCGTCGTACAGTCGTTTCAATACGGGCAACACAAATAATTTTAAATTTGTGTTTATCCCTTGTGATGGGACTTTGTAGGATGAACGTTGAGCTTTATAAGGGGCACGGGGTGACCAATAAGGTCTGAATTGGGCTGTAATAAGGTAGGCACTGGTGAGGGTTTGACATGTATGATTGTCCTTGGCACTGATTATCGCCTTGTCTCACCAGTATTGTGGATGTTGTGAATATTGTTGCTGATGCTGTGGACGTAATTGAAGTTGATGTTGTGGGTGTTGTAGATGTTGCTATAGATGTTGTTGTGAACGTGTACATGATGTCTCTGCCCCCCACCCCCCCCACCCCCAGACCCGCTACCGCTCTCCGCTGAGCCTGCTCGGACCCTGGTGGGGGCAGCGGGGTCCGAGGCCACGCGGAACGGGGCCCAAGGGGCCCACGAGAGTGGCGGGGACAGCGGTGGGCCCACAAGGCCGGTGAGGAGCGCACAGGGAGAGGCCACGTTCGGCAAACGTTCGTCATCATCGTTAGTTTAACACGTGGGCTTTCACGACCAATATTATTCATAATAAAGGTTTTTGGTCTTGGTTCTTTCAGTAAAGTCACGTAGAAGGACTTTACCGAAAGAACCAAGACGATGAATCCCTGCAGTCACGAAAGCTTTAAATCGAAAGGTTTCTGGGTTAGATCGCGTAAGTATTAATGTCTCGAAACCCTCCACTACCCGACACAGCCAATCAGTAAGGGATTTGCCACGTAAACAAAACGCCAAATAGTTACTAGTATATAGTAGTGTATAGTGTAGTGTATAGTAGTGTAGTGTATAGTAGTGTAGTGTATAGTAGTGTAGTGAATAGTGTAGTGTATAGTAGTGTAGTGTATAATGTAGTGCATAGTGTAGTGTATAGTAGTGTAGTGTATAGGGTAGTGGATAGTAGTGTAGTGTATAGGGTAGTGTATAGTAGTGTAATGTATAGGGTAGTGGATAGTAGTGTGGTGTATAGTGTAATGTACTACTTCAGCCCACCGGTGTGTTGGAGAGTAAATTCACAACATTTTTAATTTCAGTACCGTGACGTTTCGCTGCTAATTACATCATCCAGCATCGTCGGGCGATTTGCCAGAAGAGTGAAGCCATCCACCTGCTTCCGGTCTTAAATAGAGCAGCAGGACGACGGTATCACTGAACTCAATCAGATGCAAGATCAGAGACGGAGGGGGGTATTGTAATTATTTAATAGATTAGTAATCAGTTAATTAGTATATTTCCTCTATAAGGAATTGCAATTGTAATATGTATTACTTAATAACTGAACCCAATCACTGAACCCAATCAGGCACAGAGATCAGAGACGGAGGGGGGGTATTGTAATTATATAATAGATTAGTAATCAGTTAATTAGTATGTTTCCTCTATAAGGAATTGTAATTAGTGTAGTGAGTCCAACTGAGTCGCAGACGTTATTCTTCAGAGGCAACACATTTATTGTAACAGGTATACACAAAGGGGTAAAACTGTCCCTTTACCAGATACAGCCTGGGGTGGTGACGACCCAGCTAACTACACTATACGTAGGAGTTACAGCTACGAAGGGTCGGACCCTCAATCGGGGCCCTGGCCACGTGTTGATGCCTCGTAGGACGTAGAGCTTCCAGCTTGTAGACGTGGAGCTTCCAGCTTGTAGACGTAGAGCTTCCAGCTTGTAGACGTAGAGCTTCCAGCTCTTAGATGTAGAGCTTCCAGCTTGTAGAACGAAGCGACCTCGGTCTCCCTCAGAGACCCACCTTATATCCTCCCGGGTAGGGGCAGGCTCCGCCCTCAGCCCCGCCCACCTTCTCGAGCGTTCTAGCTCCCTCTCGAGAGCTCTTCCTGGACACGTGATCACCCCATAGCCCCCCTTACCTGGGGCCTTCTCTGTGGACACTCCAGATCGTGTCTATGGAGTCAACCAGAGTGCCACAGGCCAGGGCAACCCTGTCCCTGGACTGACACTCTCCCGCTCCCCCTTGTAGGAGCCCCGCACCGCACGCTCTGCGTGGTGCCCGCGCTATCCCAGTGCTCACCAAGCCCCGCTAGGGCTGGTACTACACCCACCTACGGGGTGTATGCGATGACAGTGCATCGCACGCCGTGCTACGCTAAAGCCGGCCTCACACGGCAACCCACCCAGTGATTACCGCGATGTAAGAACATCGCACGCCACGGCCATCCCGGGTCGGCACGCTACAGTGACATCCCCAATGTCACTACATCTGTATTACTTAATAACTTAACCCAAAATCACTGAAGCCAATCAGGTGCAAAGATCAAAGGTGAAGGGGGGGGGGTATCGACACATACTTACGTGATCTAACCCAAAAACCTTTATTATGAATATCATCGTCTTCGTCGTTATGGACCATCATCATCACCTCGTCGTACAACCATTTAAAAATGCGCTTTTGAATTTGTAGGTAGGTGTACGAGTGTGCACACACTCCGTGTCCCCGTGTCTCCCCCATGTACTTGTGTCCCCACGTGTACCTGTATCCCCACATCCCCCCCCACCCACCGTGTCCCTGTGTATCCCCGTGTCGCTCCGTGTCCGTGTATCCCTACGTGTCCCCCCCCTCCCCCCGCGTCTGTGTCTGTGTCTCCGCCGTGTTCTCGTGCGTGTCTCCATGTTCTCATGCGTGTCCCCGCGTCTTTGTGTTCTCACATGTCCCCATGTGCCCCTGCGTGTCCCCGTGTTCTCACGCATGTCCACGCGTGCCCCAGCCTGGCATGAGGGACGGGACAACGCGCCGCGTCCGCGTGCCCAAGTGCGCCCCCACGCTGGGCATCGCCATCGAGGGCGGCGCCCACACCCGCCAGCCGCTGCCTCGCATCGTCACCGTGCAGGCGAGAAGGAGACCGCTCTCTTTTTTTTACGATCAGTGGAAACAAGAAGATGCTCGGTGTATTCGGCGCTTTGCTTCGTTCATAATTTCGTAATAAATGTTTTTTTTTATAACTTTGCTTTATGTAAACCCCCACCTCTCGCTCACTCTCTCGCTCACTCTCTCACTCACTCACTCACACCGTGACCTCGTCACGCCACGACCCCGTGCGTGCCCCCATTTAACCCCATGTCCCCGTGGCCTGATCTGACCCCGTGACACCCCCCACCCCCGCCCCGTCGCGCGCAACCAGGAGGGCGGATCAGCGCACGCGAGCGGACTGCTGCGCGTGGGCCAGCTGCTGCTGGAGGTGGACGGCACGAGCCTGCGTGGGCTACAGCACCACGACGCCGCGCGCGCCATCGCCCTGGCGTTCCGCGAGCCCAGCACGTCGCACATCAGCTTCCTCATCGCCGACTACTCCATCGCTCCCTGAGGGGGGGGGGTGGCGCCGACTCCCACACGCAGACCGCTCCATTGCTCCCTGAGGGGGGGGGCACCCCCACACGCAGACCACTCCAGGATTGGGGGAGGGGACAGTGACCTGGTTTGAAACATTGATGTCGTCACAAGCAATTTACAATAATACAGGATAAGCGGCGTTCATGTTGCATCGTGGAACACGGGGGCAGAGCAACGAGTGCTCTGTGGAAGACACCACAACACGACATGGGGGTCAGGCGTGACGGAACAGAGTGGAGCTTGATTCGAAGCTTTCGTGACCGCAGGGATTCATACTCTTTGTTTCATTCGGTAAAGTAACGTAGGTATAAAATAAACCGTGTATAATCTCTGGTTGCGGTAGCTCTCTCGCAGCATTTCCTCCTGCCTCAGCATTCCGCCTGCTGTATTGCTTCACCTGAAGACGATGGCTTGTGTCACTATCGAAACGTCGCGATCTATGAAATGTTTTTTTTTATATCCACGTGACTTTACCGAAAAACCAAAGAGTAGGAACAATAAAACCAACCAACGCGACCTGGAGCACGCTCGAATGGAACAAGGTGTGGGACACGCGTGCATGAGATCGAAGACGCAATAACGTAGCATGGGCCGTGCTGCACGGAACACGGAGCGGAGGACACGTGGCCTCCCGTGTACGGCACTCGCCCAACGACGGCTGAGCATTTTGTTTTGGCCACCGTTAACGAGGGGCACCGGTCGGATTTCCACCCGCGCACAAAATCACGGACGCGAGACCGCGTGGCCCTAGAGCAGGGAGCACAATGGCATCAGCATCCACATCTTCACAGCAGGAATAGCCACTGTTACAGCAGCAGCAGCAAAGGTGGCAGCAGCAGAAGCAGCAGAAGCAGCGATTAGCACTACCCCCATTTCCACTGCAGACCCAAACCCGGACATGACCTCGTTCAGCCTCGGTCTGTCATCATAAGCCGTGCAGTCCCACCGCATTCAGGGCTCAACACGCGTTGCCACCGCCAGACCTCGGCACCGGATACACACGCGGACGTCGCCTATTCGCAGACTGTACCGGGTCGCACCTTCGGGACGACAACTCGTAGCAGCAGCAGCAGCAGCACCTGCGGCTGACCGCAGCGAAGTGAACAGCGGGAAATTCGTGCAGTCACACGGCGACCAGCAGCCCCCATGACGCGGAAACCCCAGCAGCGGTGGCACATTCGCCGCTTCTAGATGAGGTTGGCGGTTCGAATCCAGCGGCCGCCCTGGTTATCACTGCGGCAGTGTGCGTGTTGACCGTAGCAATACCCTGGTTATCACTGCTGCGGTGTACGTTTTGACCAAAGTAATGTACGGCTACGCGCCGTTTCCTGTTTCCCGGTGGATGTTTAAAGATCCCATGATGTCGTTCGCAAGAGCAGGCCCCACTGTGCTTGCCAGGCGCTGCGGTCCAATTTTGCCAAATTAGAAAAATGACACCGCAAGTTACTCGAATTGGGATCGCATGCAGCAATCATTGCCCTGCCCCTCCCCCTACCGGCCAAATAATATCCCAGGGCACTCTGGGAAATGAGACTCATCCTCCTGGCCTCTTGACTTCTCACCTGGTTTAACAGAACGACACTTGAACTGGACAAACAGGAACATTGTCCCACCTCACATTGAAATATACACACACGCGAGTGATATACACTATACGCTAAGTCCTCGCTTAACGCGCGGTGTTCACACTAAAACGCGTTTCCGCTATAAAGCGGTTCTTCCATTTGGGAACACTTTTCACACAACGCAGAATTTGCACCGTTATTTCTGAGCGGTCAACGACAAACTACTTTCTTGAGCCGCGCAGCTGAACGGAGTGATACATTAACGTGGCGGGTTGCCCTCAGTAATGTCCCGCAATCTCACTGTGTGGTGGGCGTAGTAGTAGCAGCACATCGTGTCTCCAACGTTATCGTTACATCATTTATGGGGAAACAGTTTTTTGCTTTACGCATTTTTAACTTAACGCGCACTTTTCAAGAATGCATTGATCACGTTAGATGAGGACTTACTGTATACACACACTCGTGGAATTTAAACAGTACACATTTAGTTTAATACGTAGTAGGCTTTCGTGACCAATATGATCCACAAGAGGTTTTATGGGTTAGATCGTGTACATATAAATGTCATTAAACCTGCCACCACCCAACACAGCCAATTAGTAAGGTTTGTCACGTAAACATAACATGCCAATTTGTTACTAGTTCAGCACACCGGTGTGTTGGAGAGTAAAATTCGAGTACGACGTTTCGCCAGTAATTACAACTGGCATGATCAGGCGGCAGCCAGGTTTATGGCTGTCTCCTGATGTTGTGGCTGTGGCCTGATGATGCGAGTTGTAATTACTTTCTGGCTGCTGCCTGATGATGCAAGTTGTAATTAATGGTGAAATGTCAAACTAGTAACGAATTGGCATGTTTTGTTTATGTAATAAACCTTACTAATTGGCTGTGTCGGGTAGTTGCAGGTTTATCGACGTTAATATTTACGCGATATAACCCAAAAAAACATCTAATGGATAGTACGCATTGATACGATTGTATATATATTTGAAAATATATATACAGTGCAACCACGCGTCAAAGTCATAATCGTAGAAAGATGGCCTCCCCCACCCCGACAGCCCCACCCCCAGGCCCCTCCTGCCACCCCAGCCAATCAGAACGCTGGAAACAAACTGTCAAAACCCTCAGTATCGTTTAATATTGTGCCCCGTGTCAATAAAGCTTCACAGACACATCCGATGATACAACGAACCTACAACTTTTGGCTTTTAAAATACAGGGAACAAGTAGGCGTCTTGTAATGTCGACAATAAATCCGTTTGGAAAAACAGTTGACATTTCCCGCCATTTTGTTGCTCGGCCCGCCTTTACCGGTGTCAGGTCACGGGGTCAAGCCGATGGAAACGTCACGGCAGCGGGACACCGTGCGTGCTCGGGACCAGCAGCGTTGGGAGACTCTTCACGGAACCGCGTTTTTGTTAAATGTGATATTTTTGTGTTAAGTAATTCAAGTTGTTTTACCGTGTTTAGGTTGTAAAACTAAACGATGAAATATTTGTAATTTACCAGGTATGGCCCTACGAGGTATATAATCCTTTTTCAGAAAGATACCTGGCCACAAATGACAGCTCAAAGAAGTGGCTTATTATCAAATGGAAGTTTATAGAAGCAGCCAAATACCCTGAACGCGTGATGTTGATGTAAAATGTGGAGGAAAAAATCAGACTATTGGGAGAAAAATTCGAACACAACAGGCATCAGGGTCGGGATCAAACCAATGCCCTCCTGCGTACCAGGCGAGGTAGTTAACATCCCAAACTGCCTCCTCCACCCCATCTCAATTGAGATGCTCCATCCCAAGGGACAATCCGGGTGCGAGGTTTCAGGAGCCCTGCGTCGTTGATTCCTTCTTGCGCGCGTAGTCGGCGCTTTTGCCTGGTGGGTGTCTCCATTGTGGCGTGTCTTCTGCCGCGTGATCACTGGCGCCCGGTTCCGTCCGCTCCGTGCCAATCCATGCAGTGGCAATCTCTCGCTCACCGACGAGATAACAACGGCGATGACAATGACAATACGCACGCACGTAGTCTATTCTCCCATAACGCGGTAGTAGTTGCATTCCTGAAGAACACCGCGTTATAGAAAAATCGTGTTATAAAAAATAATACAGGGTAAAGCACAGTCCGCGATAACACGTGGGATGCTTACGCAGGCTGAACGAAGACTGAGGTGCGTGGGAGCAGCATCTTGAAGCATCCAGCAGCATCCCAATGCGTTTTGTTATGCTACACGGAGGCAGCGGTACGACCGCTTATTTCTACTAGTGCGATGTAGTTCCATTCACTCTATCGCGTTCTATACAATTCGCATTTCTCACTTTAAAATATTAATTGCGTCCTATCAAATTCGAGTGATGAAAACACACGGCGTGACAGAACTTCTTTCGCACCGTACGTAGCCAACCGTGCTCATCGAGGTACAGAGAAAGGGCAGCAAACTAACCACAAAAAAACTGTTCTGAAGAAGTGAGTTTTCAATCTATACCAAGCGACTACAAGCGGTTAACGAGACGGTAAAAAAGTTAAACTTTAATCAACGGCTCGAGTGAGACGAGCAAAAGGCAGAGCAGGCAATAAAAAATAATTTAGACCAAGGTCTGTAAAACGAGCATCGTCCTCATTTCAAATAAAACAGAGCCGATGGCAACTGGATGAGAAGTCATTGGTGGTCTTGTCAGTTTCCCGAGTCCTTGGCATAGGAACGTGGAGTTTCATCCACCGGCTCGTGACCACCCACTTGCATTGGCATGCGCAGGAACATTCTTTGCGGACGCTGCGAGTTCAGAGTGGAGACGGCGACTCCTTGCATGTGTGTTGAACTTATTTTGAATCGTTCGTAGCCAACCATGCTAATCGGAGGTGTGGAGGAAAGACAACAAACTAAACACAAAAAGCAGTTTTGAAGAAGTGAGTTTGCAAATCTAGATGATTTAAAAGTGCATGGCTCCAGTGCATCCGAATATCGGAAGAGCGTTCACAACGACCGCAAAAGCGCATTTGAAAGCGCCGCGCGATGCAGCGACCATCTTTGTTGTGCTGGCCCAGGGCCCGTTTCAGTCCTCACAGCGCCAATCTTTGCTCTACGGTGGGACGGAGAGACGGACGGGCGAGACAAACGACTAAGGACAGGGACGAGACACGCGAGGTAGGCGAGCGTGGGAAAAAAACGTAAAGCGACAGGACACGTGACACGAGCAACGGGATGGAGGAGAGTTGACGCGGACGAGAGAGATGCGAAACGAGGCACGAAACACGGGAGGTCGGCGAGGCAGGGCAGACGGCTGACAAGAGCCCACAGACATGAAAGTCCACAGCCGCGTTGTTCTGCCTCTTCCCCCAGCGGTCGGCATAAGGCCCTGGCGCCCATTATTATTACTTCAACCATTTCTCTTCTTTTACCAGGTAATTACCCACTGAGCTACACGGCTCTTTTTCACAGAAGCAAGCTTGCTATCGCGCGATGATAGCTCGACGAAGTGGCTCATCATCACGTGGAAATTTATAGCGGCCAAATGCTCTGAACGTGCGTGGATTCTAAATGTGCAGGGAAAACCGGTGATCATGGGGGCAGAGACACGCAAACTCCAAATATACAGGCATCATGGTTGGACTTCAACCGACGAGCTCCTGCATACCAGGCGAGGTAGTTAGCATCTCACCACCGCGGCACGCTATCCTGCCCTTGGCTGGCGCCCGGGTCCTTCGGGTCCATGGGGGCCCAGCGGCGTCTTGCCGGCCTGCGCGTGCCCCGCTCACGGCGTCCCTTCGAGGCCGCTGTCGCGGAGGTGCCGATCCTGTGCCCCGTCGGAGGGCGCCGGCAACGGCGGCGGCGCCACACAGTGAGCCCTGTGGGCGTCGCGCCAGTCGGCCCGCTGGCACGCCACGGAGCAGTAGCGCAGCAGCCTGCAGCGGCCACACACGCGGTAGCGCAGTAGCCCGGCAGCACGGGAGCCGCACGACGCCCGGCCGCACCAGACCACCTCCTGCACGCGTTGACGGGAGACCGCACGCACCCAGATGGGACACAGCAGCCGGAGAGACGGGGCTCCCATCAGCAAGCGCTCGTGGGCCAGGATATAAACTAGAAACTCAACCAAAGAATGTTTTACCTCGCCAGGTAAGGCCCACTCTTTTTGAGCTATTAGCGCTTTTTCAAAAGTGGCCTGGCCACAAATGATAGATAAAATACTCCACACGCATGTTAGTTCTAGATGTGGACGGAAACAATGAAGGACCCGGAGAGAACATCCAAACTCCAAATATACAGACGTCAGGGTCGGGATCTAACCCACGACCGCCTGTATACCAGGCGAGGCAGTTAACATCTCGCGACCACAGCCGTGCCATTTCCACACACGTGCGTTTTTGCAGTGATTTGCACCCAGTCGTACCGGCTCCGGCAGCGCCGGCTCGCGGTAGCGCAGCCCCAGGTCGGCGCCGGGCGTCCCGAGCACCGGCGCGGGCAGCGTGAGGAATCCAGCGAGGCGTCCCACGCTGCGGTTCTCCACGTAGAGCCGCAGGTAACCGCGCTCCTCCTCCTCCTCCTCCCCCGCCAACACCGCCAGCCGGGCGGCGCGCCTTGCCGACATCGCCGCCACCGCCGCCCTCGCCCGCTCCAGCGACGCCTGAGTTCGCCCCAGCTGGCGCCGGCCGTCGTCGCTGCCGGCAGCGCTGGGGGAGCCGTGGGTCTTGGCGGGGCCCCACGCCGCCAGATCGTGCACCAGCAGGATGAGTTTGAGCGCCGCGATGAGCAGGGCCGGGCGCTCCGAGGCGAGGGCTGATGAGGCGTGGGGCAGAGCGCCGGCCGACAGGAGCCACGCCACCCGCTCGTCCCCTGCTGACGGCGCCAGCGGCTCCGGCTCCTCCTCCGTCTTCTTCTTCTCCTCCTCCTCCTCCTCTTCCACCACCTCCGGCTTCTCGTCCGGCTTCTTCCGTCGCCCGGACGGGACGTCGGAAGCGGCGGGGGCGCCAGCAGGGAAACGGCTCCGTGGCGCCGCCGCGTCTCCCGCGCACACGTTCAGCAGGCACTCGGCCGCCATGGAGGCGGCGATCGCGCCCCAGTCGCTGCGGAGGCAAACGAACGTTCGTAACAACGTTCGCAACGTCCGTGAGGCTTCGTCGAACCAGACCCGCGAAGATGGGAAACATTTTTGTGTATGTAATGTATGAGCACACTTGTTTGGGGAATTACGAATGAGAAACAATACAAACTTCTTAAATAATTCCATCGGATCACCCGGGTGCGAGGGATGGCGGTGAAACGGTCAGATGCCTACCAGTCGCCCTCCTCGTCCGTCTCTCCCGCGCTCTCTCCTTCGCTCTCTCCACCTCCATTCAGCAACCCCTCTCCGCCCCCACCATCTCCTCCGCTCGTCCCTTCTCCCCCGTCGGCCGCCTTCTCGCTCCCCTCCGTCGCTCCCCGCGCGCCGCCCTCGCCCACCACCTCCAGCAGGGCCCGCAGGACCCGCTCCCTGCCGCCCCACAAGTGCCGCGCCACGGGCCGGGAGAGCGAGCAGGCGGCCAGAAGGAAAGCGGAGCAGGCCAGCTGACGCCGGGGAACGGACCGCCATGACCGCAGGGGCTCCAGCGCCTCTCGCAGGGAGCGAGCGCCCAGCAGCTGCAGGAAGAGCCACCCCCTCCCGGCCGCCGCCGGGAGGCCCCGGGGGTCACCAGCGCCCGCCGCCCCGGTCCCGAGGCCGCCGACCCCAAGGCCCCCTTCCCTGATGACCCCGACCCCGGCCTCGATGGCTGCGCGCAGCCCCACGGGGTCCCCTAGCCGCAGGCTCCGCGTCGCCTCCTCCAGCCAGCGCGTCATGTCACCCTCCGCCTGCCGGGTCAGGCGAACGCGTCCACACGTGGGGCTCACTGTCATGGCTCCGTCACAGCCCTGAGCCAGCGGCTTTTGGCTTGACCTCGAACAAAGACGGTCACCGCATCGCGCGGCGCTATCAGATGCGCTTCTGCGGCCGTCTGGAACGATCTTCCTTCCAATATAATAAAGAAGCCACTGCAGATACGCACTTTTAAATCATCCAGATTGAAACTCATTTCTTTAAAACTGTATTTTCGTGTTTAGTTTGTTGTCCTTCCCCCACACCTACGATTAGCACGGTTGACTACGTACGGTGCGAAAGAAGTTCAACATACATACATACAAGAAGCTCCCAGCAAGCGGAACACGTGGAGCATGCAGAGTGACCGTCAGTAACGGGCGTGAAAACGTAGCGGAGAGCTACAGGAAACTACTCTCTACTGCAGATCTCCACCCACTCACCGAAGTCGCTTGGACTTCACTACTCTACACTACACTACTTTTACACTATTACACTATTAGAGTACATTAAAAACTAATTTCTTTAGAACTGCTATTTGTGTTTCGTTTGTTGTCCTACCCCCGCACCTCCGATTAGCACGGTTGTGTACGTACAGTGCAAAAGAAGTTAAACGTACATACGCACATACCTTGGCCATGCACGATACCCCTAACCCGGGGGAAAAAAAACCCCTCACTATTTCAAGAGCTGCAATGCACCGTGTGGTGAACACGAGACGGTAATCCTGAATAAATAACGTCACGAAGAGGCCCTTGAAGAGCCGTGCAGGTTGTGGACCCCTGCCCTTTACTGGACATCTGTGAAAGGGGGCTCTATGGCTCATGGGATTCCTCCAATATGAATTGTTATTCTGATTCCAATCCCTTACCTCCCCGTCCATACTGCATATTCTCTCAAGCCACACCCTGAAAATACAATGTCTCGCCCCCGTGCCCCGAACCGAATACCCCGTACTTCTTAGAAGTACCCCCATGCCGCTGACCATCTAGGTATGCCCTAAGCCCCATACCTGTGCCCATGTAACCCATACCCCGAAATTAATATACCCTACCCCGAAATTAATATACCCTACCCCGAAATTTATATATCCTACCCCTCTAGCCCCTACCGCATGCCCAATGTTCTCTGGCTGTAACCTCAGGCTCTATACCAAGGGTGGCCAAACAGCAGCTCACGGGGCAGTCCAACCTGGGCTCGACAACAGAGAGACGCAGCCGATTTGTGACGATTCAAATCCAGCAAATTTTGTAACGCTTTGCTCGAAATGGGAGAAAATGTGTTGAGGCGGAAGAGCGGTCCGGGGCCATTCGACCGTGGCAGCGGAGTCAGACACGAGTACTCCTGTGGCCATGCAACCCAAACGAAAGACCGTGGAGTTAAACCACTGTAATCTGCGCTCCTGCAAAGGAGGAGTAACAGCAAAACGACATTCTCTCTCTCTCTGCTGAAGCCCTCTCGTCGTGGCCAGCAGCGGGACTTTTTGGATTGAAATCTAATTTCTTTATTTTATTTACCTAAACTAATTTTATTTTTAAATCCTTTATATTAAGTTCGCTTGCTTGCTTGCGTGCTTGCTTGCTTACGACCGTGCAAATCTTTCGGTCGTTTTTTAACCCACTTCCCGTGATCCAATCGAGCTGACATTTTGCACACAGACTCATTGTGCGAGACAATTAATGTTCGTGAAATTTTTTTCCAAAATTTTACACTGTTTAGGGAAAACAAATTAAATATTTAATTACCAATTGCTTAATACTGGCAGACAATCATCTGACCCATAGGTGGCAGCCATCTCAAGCCAGAGGATTATAGTGAAAAACTTTGTTTTTACGGGTTATACTTATACCAGGTAAGGCCGACTGAGCTATGTAGCTCTTTTTCAGATGCGACCTGGCTACAGGTGATAGCTCAACTTATAGGCTTACCATCATGTGGAAATCTATAGCAGACGAATATACTCTAAACGCACGTTTATAAATGTGGTGGGATAAAACCGGAGGACCCAGACAAACATCCATGTGACCACGGGCAGAGCGACAAGCAGACTCCGAATATACAGCAGGCATCAAGGTGGGGATTGTACCCACAACCTCCTGTATACCAGGTGAGGTAGTTAACATCTCCTAGCCACCGTGGTGCTCTTTTAGATTGAAAACTCATTTCTTTAGAACTACTTTTTGTTTTAAGTTTGTCGTCTTTCCCCCGCACCTCCGATTAGCACGGTTGGCTACGTACTTTTCCAAAGAAGTTCAACATATACCATACATTCACATTGGCATCTGGCTGGTAAGCATCTTGCAATCGCGCCCAAGAACAGAATACCTCCCTCATCTCCTTACCCCCTTACCCCTCGACCATACGCCCCCACCCCGGCCTCGCCACGGACCTCGCACCGGTCCTCGCCCCCCCACCTCCTCCGTGCACCGACCTCTGCGCCGGCCCTCGCCGCCGCTTCCCGGATCCTTGGCGAGAAGAGGAATGTGTGGGGCGCTACATCCGTGCGGTCGCGCGCGGAGAAGTCCAGTCCCAGGAGCTGGCCCAGCTCGCTGAAGGCGCGGCCCGCCTCGGACATCGCCATGCCCGCTCCTCTTCCCTCACTCTCCTCCTCCAGGTCCTGCAGCCCTAGAGGGGTCCTAGAGGAGACACAGGGAGGGCGCTGCGCAAAACACAGATGCGCGAGGCGAGGTTACTGCTGTGCACCGAGCAAAACTGTGGCCACCGAGCACGTAGGTTACCGCGGTTGTGCCGTACAGCGCCCCCGGAGTGTTTTCCGGTCGTTACCGCAAGTTGTTCGGCACAATATCTGTCCGGTTTCTTACCTTGCCGATCTCGTCAGGGAACATAAACCACCACGTGGACTCCGATCACCCTCGCAGCAGCAGCAGCAACGGCTTTTAGCTAGCCATCGAAGAAAGACGGTCGCCGCATCGCACGCTTTTGGATGTGCTTCTGCGGCCGTCTGGAACGCTCGTCCTTCCGATATTAGGAAGCCACTTGGAGCTGTGCACTTTTAAATAATTTAGATTGACAAACTAATTTATTTAAAACTGCTTTTTGTGTTCAGTTTGTTGCCCTTTCCCCGTGCCTACGATTAGCACGGTTAACTATGTACAGTGTAAAATAAGTTAGGGGTTAAGATTTAAAGTAAGGGGTTATGGAAAATATTATGGGTTCAGGTTTTAGGTTGAAGTTATGGTATGGAGTTCGGGCTCAGGGTTAGAGTGAGGGCCAGGGGTTAGAATTATCAGTGGGGTCACAGTTCATGATTTTATTTAGGGCTTAGGTTTATCGGTTCGGCAATAGGGTTCGAGTTTCCGATTAGGGTTTGGGTTCAGGGGTTACAGATAGGGGTTGGGCTCGGGCTCAGTTCGGTTTTTGGGTGAGGTTCTATTTTTGCTTGCCACAAATGAACCACAATACCTCGCTGATCTAGTGAAGGAGCATAAACCATCACGCGAACTACGCTCATCCTTGCAGCGGCGGATTTCGGCTCGACCATCGGACAAAGTCGGTGGTCACCGCATCGCGTGGCGCTATCAGATGTGCTTCTGCGGTCGTCTGGAACGCTCTTCCTTCCAATATAATAAAGAAGCCACTGGAGCTATGCGCTTTTAAATAATTTGGATTAAAAACGAATTTCTTTAGAACTGCTTTTTGTGTTTCGTTTATTATCCGATTAGCACGGTTGGCTACGTACGGTGCGGAAGAAGTTCAACATACATACATTTGGGGTTAGGGATGGCAGATAGTACCTCATAAGTAATATAAAAAAAACATGCTTTAATGAAATGTACCCTCCTAGTAATGGCAGAACTCCACGACTCCAGGAAGTGACCCCGAAGCTTGCCATAGCGTAAGGGGCCGTGGTGATTTACAGCCAACGTGAGTTGAGCGTGGACAATTAGACCCAAGCCGAAACATAACTTGTAAAAATAATGATGAAAAATAGTTTTTTATGATAGAATATAGTATTGTCATCAGTATGACATAAGTATACCAAGTTTGCAGTTGATACCACATTGGGAAGTGGGTTAAAATTGAGTTACAAGATTTGAGGATACGACAACAGAGTGAGTTAATAGAAAGCGTGTAAAAAATATATATACATTTTATTTTTAATGATAGAATATAGTATTGTCATCAGTATGACATAAGTATACCGCATTCAGTGTTAAGGAGGATTAGGCTTGACACATGTTCGAAGAGATAGTGGTGGTGATGATGATGGTGGTGATGATGAAGGTGGTGATGATGAATATGGTTATGGTGATGAAATTAATGGAGGTGATGAAGGTGGTGATGATGGTAGTGATGATGATGGTAGTGATGATGATGGTGGTGATGATGAAAGTGGTGATGCATATGGTGGTGAAGTTGATGGGAGGTGGTGATGATTGTGATTCATGAAGGTGGTGATGATTGCGGTGATGGTGGTTTATGCTTGCAGTGACTGTAGTGATGATAGCGGTAACTCTGAAACTAATTGCGTGATAATGGCAGCAGCGATAATGGGTGATGATGATGGTTATTACGCTTATGACGATTATTGTGATGATGTTGATCATAATCATTGTGATGACTGTAGTGACAGCTGTACGATTGTAATGATGGAGGTGATGACTTAACGTGCCGACAATGATTGACAAACCTTCACGCATGGCCAATAACAAGATGCCTTCATCCAGGGATGACTAGACCGTGGCTAATGCTGATGATGACATGAAGACAGGCCTTGTTAACTTAGCAGTGGATAGATCATGATCGATAATGATCGATTATGATGATGGTGGTGGTAGTGGCGACTTTAGGATTTGAACGACTGCCTTAACGACGAGCCAATGGGTGCTCTGAGGAGCCTGAATATTGTTAAAATGTACATAAATAACTCTTAAAATGTAATACAGTTACCTTAAAATAAAGAAGTATAACTATTACCCCTACGACGATAAGTTAATGGGGGTTTAGTGTCTAGTTTATACCGCGGTGAGGTACAATTCGGCGTTGTTTTGTGGCGATGGGAAGGCTTGGGAGGGGATTAGGCCGGAACTGGCGTTATTAACGAAGAACTTTTTAACATTTAGAGGCGATTTACCTCAGACAATTAACTACTAAAAGTTGTCAATCGAGTCACAGAGTTCATTATGTTGGCTTGTTACATTTTATTTTGCTCGTTGCTAGAATTTAAATTAAATTTTTAATATTTAGCGGAGCGTGAGGCGGAGCCAACACCGGAACCTCTTTGATCTGCCCCCTCGCGTGGGTCACCGTGTTAAAGACGTCGCTTACACCTTCTATTCAACAAAAAATATATAACAAATATAGATAGAATATACGTAACGATTACGAAAGTTTACTTAATGAGTTAATTGCCGTTGCCCTTAGCGACAAGGCAGCTTAATCCGTCTCGGCTTCAATACTCTATTACATCATTACTGGTAATCCTATTACTTTAACACGTTACATCTTATCAACAGTGTCACGCTACTGTTTACATATTGCTTGTGTTTAATATTTAACAGCTACAGTATCTTTATTTTTAACTTGTTTTTGCCACGCGTTGTGCCGAGGGCCCCTGGTGCTAGCGGCTTGGCCGGCTGAGACGCCACCTCGGCGGTTGACGCTTGTAGGCCGCACCGCTCCAATAGCCGATCTCTCTCTCGCTCACGCAAACTCCCTCGTACACCTGTTGTTTACATTTCTACGACTTAATTCATCCGTAGGCACGACAAAGAGGCCACGATGTCGGCCTCCAAACAATTCAGACGGCGGAGGGACGACGACGAGGAGGACGAGACGCCGGAGGAGATGCGGTGAGACGGAAACTGAGGATGGAGGAGGAGGCCCTCTCGTTCTTTTAACGCCGTAGTCTACTAAGCAAGTTGCATCAGCGGGCTTTAACGACAAATATTAAACATTATAAAGTGTGTGCGGAGTGTGGAGGGTTTGTTGTGGTGGGTTAGATCGCGTAAGTACGAATGTGTCGTGAAACCCACCACCACCCGACACAGTCAATTGGTAAGGTTTGTGGCGTAAACGAAACGTGCCAAATTACATGCCAACATACTCTTAGGTTTTTTTTTCGGTAAAGTCACGTAGGTAAAAATGAAAATAAATAATAAAAATATTAGAAATAATAGACATAAAATAAATAAATCACGACGTTTCGGAGGCAACACAAGTCTCCGTCATCAGGTGGGACCATCACATCTAAATTTACTATATAAATTTACAGTCACAGCTAAATTTTCTGTATCAAGATGCCAACAACCCCTTATTAGTAGTGCCTGCCTTATTACAGACAAATTCAGAACCTTATTGGTCAAACCTTCCCTTATAAATCTCAACGTTCGCCCTACAAAGTCCCATCGCGAGAGAGAAACGCAAACAAATAGACAAAAATTATGTTACTAAGCAAAAGCTGTTATGTTTACATTTTGATAATTGGTGTCAATGATGTTACTTATCATGCTACTGTCTGTGATCTTGCATGCTGATCCTGTTGCTTGCTTGATATGTGGATGCACACACAAATAGACAATCACCACCAGTACACTCACCACTAGTACACTCACCACCACTACAGCCACCAGTACACTCACCACTAGTACACTCACCACTAGTACACTCACCACCACTACACTCACCACTACACCCACCAGTACACTCACCACTAGTACACTCACCACTAGTACACTCACCACTAGTACACTCACCACCACTACACTCACCACTACAACCACCAGTACACTCACCACTACACCCACCACTAGTACACTCACCACCACTACACCCACCACTACACCCACCACTAGTACACTCACCACTACACCCACCACTACTACACTCACCACTAGTACACTCACCACTACATCCACCACTACTACACTCACCACTAGTACACTCACCACTAGTACACTCACCACCAGTACACTCAGCACCACTACACCCACCACTACTACACTCACCACCACTACACCCACCACTACTACACTCACCACTAGTACACTCACCACTACACCCACCACTAGTACACTCACCACTAGTACACTCACCACCAGTACACTCAGCACCACTACACCCACCACTAGTACACTCACCACTAGTACACTCACCACCACTACACCCACCACTAGTACACTCACCACTAGTACACTCACCACCACTACACCCACCACTAGTACACTCACCACTAGTACACTCACCACTAGTACACTCACCACCACTACACCCACCACTACTACACCCACCACTAGTACACTCACCACTAGTACACTCACCACTACACTCACCACGTACACTCACCACTACACTCCACCATAGTACACTCACACCAACTACACCACCACTACACCCACCACTAGTACACTCACCACTACACCCACCACTACTACACTCACCACTAGTACACTCACCACTACATCCACCACTACTACACTCACCACTAGTACACTCACCACTAGTACACTCACCACCAGTACCCTCAGCACCACTACACCACCACTACTACACTCACCACCACTACACCCACCACTACTACACTCACCACTAGTACACTCACACTACACCCACCACTAGTACACTCACCACTAGTACACTCACCACCAGTACACTCAGCACCACTACACCCACCACTAGTACACTCACCACTAGTACACTCACCACCACTACACCCACCACTAGTACACTCACCACTAGTACACTCACCACCACTACACCCACCACTAGTACACTCACCACTAGTACACTCACCACTAGTACACTCACCACCACTACACCCACCACTACTACACCCACCACTAGTACACTCACCACTAGTACACTCACCACTACACTCACCACTAGTACACTCACCACTAGTACACTCACCACCAGTACACTCACCACTAGTACACTCACCACTAGTACACTCACCACCACTACACTCACCACTAGTACACTCACCACTAGTACACTCACCACCACTACACCCACCACTACTACACCCACCACTAGTACACTCACCACCAGTACACTCACCACTAGTACACTCACCACTACACTCACCACTACTACACCCACCACTAGTACACTCACCACTAGTACACTCACCACTAGTACACTCACCACTACACTCACCACTAGTACACTCACCACTACACTCACCACCAGTACACTCACCACTAGTACACTCGCCACTAGTAAACTCACCACCACTACACTCACCACTAGTACACTCACCACCACTACACCCACCACTAGTACACTCACCACTAGTACACTCACCACTAGTACACTCACCACCACTACACCCACCACTAGTACACTCACCACTAGTACACTCACCACTAGTACACTCACCACTAGTACACTCACCACCACTACACTCACCACTACAACCACCACAACATCATGCCTGTCAACCCCTTATCATTGCCCCTACCTTATTACAGACAAATTCAGACCTCATTGGTCACCCCGTGCCCTTATACATTTAAAAGTTCATCCTACCAGTGCCGGATTATCCTAGAAGCAAAATTAGCTACATATGCTACGGTTAAATCTTGACTTAAAGCTTTCGTGACTGCAGGAATACATATTCTGTGGGTCTTTCGGTAAAGCCACGTAGATAGAAAAATAATTAAAAAATATATCTCGACGTTTCGCCTGAAGACGATTGCTTGTGTAGCGATCGAAACGTCGTGATATTTTTATTATTTTTCTATCTACGTGGCTTTACCGAAAGACCCATAGAATAAATGCTATGGTGCCACGCACTTTCAAGGGCCCCACGCTAAATGCTTGCAAGCTATCAATTCCGGTTCAGTGATTCTGCACTTGCTCTATTACTATAGTACTATACCGCCTTCAACTTTTACGAACGACTGGGTGTTTAGGTTAGCGATTTGTCGTATTATCTGGTTGTATAGCAAATGAAAAAATATAATTACTTTACTATGCAAGTACATTTCTTTTTCATATTCATGTGGTTTTTATTTTTTTAGGGTCCCCTTTATAACGCAGCTGCAGGTCCCGCACTAGCTTCATCCGGCACTGCACCCTACAAAGTCCCGTCGCAAGGGAGAAATATAACCAAATAGACAATCACCATTACTACACTCACCACCAGTACACTCACCACTACAATCACCACAACATCCACCACAACATCATAGCTGTCAACCCCTTATCAGTGCCCCCAGCTTATAACATACCAATTCAGACCTTATTTGTCACCCCGTGACCCTTATAAATATCAAAGTTCATCCTACAAAGTCCCATAACAAGGGAGAAACACGAACAAATAGACATTTGCCCATATTGAAACGGCTATACGCCGTATAGACCTGAAAACTCAATTTCTCTGTACAAGAATACGGTTAAACCGTTAACAGGTATGCAATGAATTACGAGTTCAGCACACTGGTGTGTTGGAGAGTAACCCCACAACAGCATTTACGATTCGAGTTGACGGCATTACTATGTCCCTTAAAGACCGAAACGGGAAGATTTCTTTCACGATTCTCGCCGAATGGAGCTGGTTGCTGTAATCAGCAGCGAAACGTCGCAGTACTCGAATTATAAACGCTGTGGGTTTACTCTCCCAACACACCGGGTGTGCTGAAGCAGTGACTAATTGGCCGCTTCGGGTTTAATTACACATTTTCAATTTACGCGATCTAACCCAAGGCAAAATCAACTTCGTTATGGAGGCCTCTATGCAGCTGTGGATAGATCAAGGCTGGTGATGACAATAGGGATTGTGTAGTGGAATTGTCCCGGCCGCGAGACTGGAATTTTCCACCGCTTTTGTTGTTCCACACAAAACTCGACACATTTGTCAATGACACTGCGTGCGGCCTTTCAAATATATAATATGCGACGTTTCAGTCCATTGTCCTTCATAACACATCAAAAATATGTATTTATACTGGAGGAATCTGATGGGCTATAATGCTCTTTTGCACAGACATCCAGTCAGGGAGCAGGTCAGAATGTCACAACAACTATAGAAAAGCACGAAAGGAGTGCAAAGTAGAGGGACGGTAAGCAAATCACAAAAATACAAAGAAGCAACCTGGCCAGAATTAGAAATGATAGCTCAATTAAGTGACTCGTCATGTCGAAATTTACGCAGCAAACTCCAAATACAGTAAAACCTTGGATTGCGAGTAACTTGGTCTGCGAGTGTTTTGCAAGACGAGCAAACATTTTAAATAAATATTAGTTTGATAGACGAGCGAGGTCTTGCAATACGAGTAGTACGTGTATATGCTTTGTTTGCCGAGTGTCACGTGATCACAACTGACATACGAGTGCTTTTATATACGAGTGCTTTGGATTACAAACACGTTTCCGGAACGAATTATGCTCGTAATCCAAGGTTTTACTGTACTCTAAACGAATGTTGATTCTAAATGAGGAGAGAAAGCCCGAAGACTCGGATAAAAAATCCACGGGACCACGGGGTTGGGATCGAATTTGCGACCTCCTGTATAGCAGACGAGGAAGTTAACATTTCGCCACCACAGTGCCCCAGGGTCCGTTCCGTGACCCGCCAGCAGCGAGCCTTTGACACTTCATGCGGGCCTCAAAAGTACACCTAGCATGGCACAAGTCCCGTGGTGACGTCACCGCCACCTAGCGGCGAACAGCGGATCTTGTTGATTTTGCTCTGTAACTAAATCTGGCGTTTCGCTTGTTTGCAGGGAGAAGCTGGAGGAGATGAGAGAAATGCAGAAGATTCGTCAGCGGCCACACGGTGTCAGGTAAGGAAGAGGTTGCTTTGTACGGGGAACTCTCGTCGTTCTGCTGGTGCTGCTGCTTGGGTCTTTGGCTCGCCACCTTTTCCCACTGTAGCCCAAACCCGGATATATTCAGAGGTCAGCCTCGCGCTATGACAACTATGCGGCTCGCTGCTGTGGTTTAAAAAAAGTTCAACACAGCAAAACACCGGTAACAGATGTTTGGTACAAATGAATTCCTGCCGACCGAACGCAGATGCCGATTCCCGAGTGTTTGCGTCGAACCGTGGTCAAACCGGAGTCAAACTCAAACAGGTGGCAACCATTTAATGTTCGTATCGTGTGTGAGTGAGAGTGTGTGGCTCATAGTCTTATCACTCAGATTTATCCGCTTCTGGGATGTGGGGCTGGTAAATCTCCCTGATTGAGACCCCCTGGGGCTGTTGGGCCTGGAATGCAGTGCCCAGTGGACTGTGTCTCTCACAAGGATGTACCTTCTCACAATGCAATGTGCCTGCAACACTTTATAGTTTGATTGAAGTGCTCACAGCACTTGCCCCAACAGTCTATTGAAGGCTTTATGGGGGATCTTTGTCTTTGTTTGTCACACATGCGCTGCGGGGTGTGCGTGTGGGGTGTGTGTAACCCAATGCCCTACTCATTGGGCATAATAGTACCAGCCAAAAAAAACCAAGAAGAACAATCGTGCACATGCATGGATGATCAAATATTCCAATATCGGAGGTAGAGTTATCCTTAGCGATGATAGTGTTCGCTTTGTCAAATAAATAAACACCCCGTCATTTATTAATTTTGTCGGTAAAATAATGTAGTTGTGATTTGTATATTATACTATTTAATATCTCTGGGACCTTTTTGCCAGTATAAAAAGTATGAAAAATAATATTCCGTTTTACCCTTTCATATACATCATCGGAATGGGAAACGGTTAATGAAGAACGTCACGAAGCAGTCCTTACAGAGCTGCATGCTGCTCCGGTGCTGCAGGTTGCTGACCCCCTGCGCAAAGTCAGAGCCTTTTTGTGAGATCAATGAAAACTGATAATGCTACTCCGCCACTATCCCAGGGCTTCTTTGGAGATCAGGCACCACATTGAGAAGGGCTGTTGAAGTTGAATAAGCTTTTAGCGCTCTGAGTTTTATTTATTTTTCATCGTAATGTTGCGGGCAACCCTTCGGTCAACTCGTTGCCGTGTCTGCGCGCGTTGCGGTGAGCAGCGCGGTGGCACTGTCGGTGGGGAAGAAGCTCACCAACGAGGAGGAGACCATGGTGAGTCACTCACGCACCACCAAATGCACCCCAAATGACACTAAAATACACGTGATACCAAATAAACCCCACATTGACCAGGAGTGGTCGCAGTCTTTGAGCCAGCACCGCCGAGGGCCTGGGTTCCAATCCAGGTTTCGGCTGCCCACTTAGTTGATGGTCTCAGCCTGGTCACTAATACCCGACGTAGAGACCCATAACTTTGAACAGAGACCCATAGACTCACATGGAGACCCATAGACTCACACAGACTGAGTTGTGATTAAACTGGGCTCTCAAGTGCAGTGAGTTAATGATCTCAGTCTGCGACGTTATGCAAATCTATAGAGACCCATAGACTTGCATAACATCACAGAAATCCATAATTGCAGATGGGAATAACAAACAAACCTAATGTATGCACGTATGTTGAACTTATTTCGCGCCGTATGTAGCCAACCGTGCTAATTGGAGGTACGGGGGAATGACAACAAACGAAACACAAAAAAATGTTCTAAAGAAATTCATTTTAAATTTAGATTTAAAAGTGCGTAGCCCCAGTAGGATATCTTCTTGCTAGGCATCCATACCACGCCTTTACTTCTGGCTCGGCTTGGCAAATGGGCAGTGGAAAACCACCCTTTTCCTTGCCCGCGCTTCCGATTAGAACAATTGGCCACATACGGTGTGAAAGTAGTTCAACATACTTACATACACACTACTACACACTACACACTACAGACTACACAACTATACACTACGCCACTATGCAGTACACTATACACTACACACTACTATACACTATGCTACTTTACACTACACTATACACTACAATATTATACACTATTATACACTGCTATACACTACACCACTATAGTACATTGAAAACGAATTTCTTTAGAACTGTTATTTGTGTTTAAATCTGTTGTCCTTACCCACACACCTCCGATTATCACGGTTGGCTAGAAACGCTGGTGCGAAAGAAGTTCAACATACATAAACCCCCCTACACAGCGTCACACACACACACAGTGTATCACATGCAGAGCATTACACAGCGTCACACACGTCGCAAGCACACAGAAGCATCACACACATACGCAGCGTCACACTCACGATGTCACAAACAGCGTCACACATAGCATTAATTTTATATATGAGACTGTTAGGGGTACATACATACACACATATACACATGCCTGTGCTAAGGGCTCCTATGCTGGCTTGGCTCACATGCGCCAGTGGAAAAAAAATATATTTTTTACCGACTCTGTGTGTCTGGTGGCGGTGCAGAGCGACCCGTTCAAGATGGACACAGGCGGCATGGTGGACATGAAACGGATCAAGGATCGCAATCGCGACCGGTGAAATGCTCAGCCACGGCGTCTTGCGTCGCGTGAATCCCAACCGCTCCCACCACTGTACCCCTACCGCTCCCACCACTGTAACCCCTACACAATGCTATGTTTGTGCAACGCTATTTTTGATGTGTGTATGATGTTCTGTGTGTGTGTGACACCGTGTGTGACGCTGTGTGTGACGCTGTGTGTGTGACCCTGTGATGCGTGTGACACGGTGTGTGATGCTGCGCATGTCACGCTACGCGTGTGTGATACGCTGTTCGTGTGGCGCCATGTATGATGCACCGTGCGCAGGAGCGGCGAGGATGAGGATAAAGACCTCACGAACCTCGGAACGGCCTTCTCGGCTGAGACGAACCGGCGCGACGAGGACGCAGACATGTGAGTGGTGTCCGTGTGTCCCATCTGTCCGTGCGTCCGTCATTCCATGTGTGCGTGCGTCTGGAGGCAGCCACGGTAACTCGGGGGCGGTGCTTCGTTCGCCGTTTGTTATTGCGGACGTTTGCCGTTCGAATTTGGCGGCCGCCCCGGTTAATACCCGTGGTGGCGGTGGTATCAACCTTCGTAACGGCTGCTTGCGTTGTGGCCGAAACTTCGTGAGAATTATTTTATTATGTTTTATTTTTATTATTTTATTATTTCCCTTCTACGTGACTTTACCGAAAGAACCAAGAAGATGAATCCCTGCAGTCACGAAAGCTTTAAATCGAAATTTAAATAGTAACAATGTTACGTGCCATCCGCTTCACCTACAGTCGAATGAAGATCCCGTGACGTCGTTCGCAGGAGCAGGCCAGCGTGTGCCGCGTCAGGGTCCAGATGTTTTAGAAAGTTTGAAAATGACAACGTAGGTTATTCAACCAGGATCCCCTGCACAGCAGCGATCATCACTCCCCCTCCTGGCAGCACACTAAAGCCAGCTGCGTATCGGGCGCTGTGCGAAACACGATTCGTCATTATGTACGTTGAACTTCTTTCGCGCCGTACGTAGCCAACCGCGCTAATCGGAGGTGCAGGGGGAAGGACAACGAACTAAACGCATAAAGCGGTTTTAAAGAATCGACTTTTCAATCGAGATTTAACATTGCATAGCTCCAGTGGCATCCTAATATCGGAAGGAAGAGCGCTCCAGACGGCTGCATCCGAGACTCGACAGATCAGGAAAACCCGGCCACGTTTGCCACGGCGCTGCCCAGAAAACACGGGGAGAGACGGACCTGAGAAAAATGATAAAGATCAGCCAAACTCCAACCGCAGTCTGCCCAGACGACTGGCCCGGCAAGCCTCCGTGTTGCGGATTAAACCGTCCTGAAGACGCACCGCTTGTTGAATAGTTATTACGTAATCCATTCTTACAGTCCAGTGGATATCTGAGCCAGTCCCAAGCGTGGTTAAGGAGGGTCGGGCGAAAGGGTACCGACACTTCAGGCCGTGAAGAAAAAAAAGACTCCAGTAATCCGATGCATGTGATGACCAAATCACGAAATGTGCGGTGGATAGCTACGGGCTAGCTGCCTATGGATCGTGATGATGATGATGATGATTCTTACGTGTGATTTTTCTCTGAAGTTGTTTATACAGATAGTTCCCGAGTTACGATGGTCCGACTTACGATATTTCGATCTTACGATGGCGATAGCGATACAAAATTGTAAAAAAAAATTCGCGCGGCAGGCAAACGCAGCAGCGTACGAGGTACGATGCTGTACATTGGAACGCTGCCGGGATGTACGCATCTCCCGCCTTGTCTGATGCAGACAGGATTGTTTCCTGAAAAAACGTTCTATTAAATTGCAGTTCATATAGGTAGGTTAAGAATTTACCTTGTTTTTCTACTTTACATTTTACTGTGCAATACAGTATTGTAATTAATAAATACCGTATATAGTTTATACAGTACGGTACTGTAAATTGCTCTGTTTTGCTAAATTATCACCATTCTTTAAGACTCCTGGGTAGGCTAGGCCACCTTCGACTTACGATATTTTTGACTTACGATGTGGTCGTCGTAACGCATCTCCATCGTAAGTAGACGACTATCTGTATGTAGCCAACCGTTTACCACGGTTTGCTACGTACGGTGCGAAATAAATTCAACATATATACCTACGTACACGTACGTGCATGTAGCAGCGGGCGATGGTGTAGCGGTTAGCGCACTTCCACTACGAACCCAGTGACCCGATTTCAATTCCCAGTGATGACCAGCGGCGAATATTTGAACCGGGCCTAGGGTTCCCCTCGGCCGACTCAACGTTAAATGAGTACCTTGTGCAGTGTGTAGTAAACATCAGCGCTGAGCAGACAAAGGCGGCCTCGCGTGCCGTACCGGCATTGACAGGCGCTCGCTCACGAGACTCGCCCCAGCAGTCTGTGCAGCCTACACGAGGGATCTTTGGTTTTGTGTGTGTATATGGAGATTTCATTCCAAGCTAATCACACGGAGAACTCGACCAGTCCCATGCTGACCCCTCTCTCCCCTCGCCTCCCCCTCCATCAACGTCTCTGCGAAGAAGTGGTTCTGAAAGGCAAGAGCTGACTCCGTGTGTGACAATCGCAGTGGCCTAGCCAGCGAGTTTGTAGGGGGGGGGTGCCTACGGGCCACAAGGGGCTCAGACGCCGTTCCATTGAGACCGGTGGTGGTGGAGCTATTTGACTCAGAGGGTCATTCGTTTAATCGCTTGCCACCAGAGCCCATGCCGGCCACGCTGCACCGCCGCTTAGGGCGACGCTAATTGTGCTGCTGCCTTGGGTGCGGCGGGCGCCGGTAGGATGAAGTACATCGAGACGGAGCTGCGCAAGCGCAAGGGCGTGGAGGAGAGCGAGGAGATGGCGGCGCGGCAGCGCAGCGCGGAGGACGCCCTCTACGAGCTGCCCGAGAACCTGCGCGTCAACTCGGCCAAGCGCACCGAGGAGATGCTCTCCAACCAGATGCTGAGCGGCATCCCGGAGGTGGACCTGGGCATCGAGTGAGCGCGCATGGCACGTGTGCGAAACGCGTCAGGCACGCGTGCGACACGCGGACAACGACACGCATGCAGACACGCATGCAGACACACGCGGACACACGCAGACAAAGGCACCTCGCAGGCATGCGCAGAAAGGAACGTGCACGCAAACGACGACGCGCACGCAGGCGCACAGACCAGCGCACACACGCCAATAACCGAACCCTTTACTCGCACTGATGCACACTTACCCACCTGCCCACCACTACCCCTGCCCCCACTGTCCCCACCCACCACTACCCCCACTGACCCCCGCCCACCACTACCCCTCCTGACCCCTGCCCACCACTATGCCCATTGACCCCCCCACCACTACCCCAACTGGCCCTGCCCCCCACTGTCCCCGCCCACCACTACCCCCACTGTCCCCGCCCACCACTACCCCCACTGACCCCGCCCACCACTACCCCCACTGACCCCCACCCACCACTACCCCCACTGACCCCCCCCACCACTACCCTCACTGACCCCCCCACCACTACCCCCACTGACCCCCGCCCACCACTACCCCTCCTGACCCCCCCACCACTACCCTCACTGACCCCCCCACCACTACCCCCACTGACCCCCACCCACCACTACCCCCACTGACCCCCCCCACCACTACCCCCACTGACCCCCCCCACCACTACCCCCACTGACCCCCCCCCCACCACTACCCTCACTGACCCCCCCACCACTACCCCCACCCACCACTACCCCTCCTGACCCCCCCACCACTACCCTCACTGACCCCCCCACCACTACCCCCACTGACCCCCACCCACCACTACCCCCACTGACCCCCCCCACCACTACCCCCACTGACCCCCCCCCCCACCACTACCCCCACTGACCCCCCCCACCACTACCCTCACTGACCCCCACCCACCACTACCCTCACTGACCCCCACCCACCACTACCCCACTGACCCCCCCCCACCACTACCCCCACTGACCCCCCCACCACTACCCCCACTGACCCCCCCCCCCACCACTACCCCCACTGACCCCCCCCACCACTACCCTCACTGACCCCCACCCACCACTACCCTCACTGACCCCCACCCACCACTACCCCCACTGACCCCCGCCCACCACTACCCCCACTGACCCCCCCCACCACTACCCTCACTGACCCCCACCCACCACTACCCTCACTGACCCCCGCCCATCACTACCCCCACTGACCCCCGCCCACCACTACCCCTCCTGACCCCTGCCCACCACTACGCCCACTGACCCATGCCCACCACTACCCACCATTACCCGTACTGACCCCCGTCCACCGCTACCCAAACCACCCCATCCGCGTGTCTGGGCAAGGGGGCAGGGCCGACATAGAAAGAGGCGGGGCTTCAAGAAGAAGGGGCCGATTGCTAAAAAGGAAAGGCGCAGAGCCAATAGAGGAAGAAGAGGTAATGGGCGTGGCCTGATCAGCAAGGGGGCGGGGCTTAAACAATAAGGGGCGGGGCCTGATCAGTAAGTGGGCGGGGTTAAAAGGAAAGGGCAGGGCCTACAGAGGATAAACTCCCCTACCAAGTTAACTACCAAGTTCAATTTCGATGTAAAGCTTTCGTGACTGCAGGGATTCATCTTCTTGGTTCTTTCGGTAAAGTCACGTAGAATGGAAATAATAAAATAATATTTTTTTCCCTTATTTTTATTATTTCCATTCTACGTGACTTTACCGAAAGAACCAAGAAGATGAATACCAAGTTCAACTTTAGCTGGCTTGCAGTCTACTGCAGTTTACTGCAAGGCAGCTAGTTTATATTCATATCCATGTTCCCAGTCTTTCACTCCCAGCTTTACACACTACCATCACTAAGACATTTGACTGCAAGCCCTGCTTACTACCATCACTTGGAAATTTGCCGCGCGTTGTTTCGAGCGTGCAAGCTTAGCTCCCTAGCAACTCTCGTTTACTCCCCTGCAGCATAAAAAAGGGTGTCATTAATCGGCTTAATTTAGCTTTCTTATCAACCAGTTCAGCTTCCGCCCCCTGCATCACATGCGCACCTCCCAGCCCACCCCCCGCCCCCACACTCACCCTAGCCCCCTCCCCCCCCTCTTCTCCCCCCTCCTCTACAGCTATATATTCCCTCATCACAGCCATCTCTTAGGCACACTTAAGCGGTTGTTCTTTCGCTGTGTCTGTCCCCACCTGAAGACGGACTCTTGTGTTTCGCCCGAAACGTCGTGATTCAATTCAGTTGTTTTCATTTTAATTCATTGAGTTTTTTACCTACGTGACTTCACCGGAAAAAAACCCAAAAACTATAAACTCCCGGATCAAGTTAAGGCAATAGCAGCAGCGTAGATTGCAACATGAAAGGCAGAAGCAGCAACGTCACGGCCACAGCGACGGAGACGCAGCCACGGAATGCCGACGGTCAATCACGGAACCAGTCGTGGAACCGTCTCTCGCGCGTCATAGCCTCATCTCTCCCCCCCCCCCTCTTCTGCCAGCGCTAAGATCCGCAACATCGAGATGACGGAGGAGGCGAAGCAGCTGCTGCTGGCCGAGCGGCGCCGCCACCGCCAGCAGAACAACACCTCCTTCGTGCCCACCAACATGGCCGTCAACTACGTGCAGCACAACCGATGTGCGTGCACGCGTGACATGCGCGCGCGCGTACGTGTGTTGCGCGTGTATCGTGTTCGTGCGTGTACAGGTGGGCGTGTGTACGTCAATGTGTGTGGGTGGGTGGACGCGTGCTGGCCACCCACCCCCTCGCGTGCCGTGCGCCAGCCTTCATTGGCAATTGCCCCAACAGTCTATTCAGGCTATACGAGGGATCTTTGTATTTGTTTGTACGTACATGCGTGTATGTGTTCGTGTGTGTACAGGTGTGCATGTGTGTGTGTTTGCCCGTGTCTGCAGTTGAGTGTGTGTGTGTGGGGAGCGGTAGTGTAGTGGTTAGCGCTCTGCGCTACAAACCCGGCGATGCAAGTTTGATTCCCATTCACGATTATACGAACTGGTCCTGGGACCCTCCCAGGTCTATTCTGTCTCAAATGAGTACCTGGTGTGGTGTGTAAATGTCGGCACTGGAGAGACCAAGGCTGTTTCGCTCGTTTCCCGCATGCGTCCTAGCGAGATGTTCATTACTTCGCCTGGTATACAGGAGTTCGTGGGTTCGATCCCGACCCTGACGCTTGCTGTATATTTGGAGTTTGCGTGTTTCTCGCCCCGTGGCATAGTGGATTTTTCTCCGGGTCCTGCGGTTTTTCCCTGCGCATTTAGAATCAACATCACACGTTTATGAGTATTTGGCTGCTTTACATTTCCACGTGATAAGCCACTTCGTTGAGCTATTTAGCTCTGTGGGCCTTACCTTGTAAAATAAAAAAAATTAGGTTAGTTTTAATTAGTTTATAGCAGGACGGCTCAGCTTGCGCGTTGGAAAAAGAACGCGGTCCCTCCTGAGCTGGGCCGTGCCGAGCCGGCTTGGCTCAGTTGTGGTAAAGGAGAAGCCGGGGCCGTGAGTCACGTTGAGTCTGTGTTGATGTGAGTCCCTGTCGCGTCTCCTCCCCGCCCTCCCCGTGCAGTCTCCCACGAGCAGCTGGGCCATGGCTCTCGACGGGGCTATCACCGCGAGGAGAGCAAACCTCGTGCCAGCAAGGCCCAGCAGCACCCCGACAAGAAGGAGGGTGCGTGGTCGCGCTCGCCACTACGCTCATACACACACGGCCGCCCCTATAACCGTCACCACCTTCATAACCGCCACTACGCTCGTACACACACGGCCGCCCCTATAGCCGTCACCACCTTCATAACCGCCACTACGCTCATACACACACGGCCGCCCCTATAGCCGTCACCACCTTCATAACCACCACTACGCTCCTCCAGACACAGCCACCCCTACTACCGTCACCACCTTCATAACCGCCACTACGCTCATACACACAACTGCCCCTATAACCGTTACCACCTTCATAACCGCCGTGTACTCCCGTGTTTCCCCGCGTGTCCCCGTGCGCCGCCGTGTATCCCCACCTACAGGTGACCACCGACCTGGGTTCAAGCGACCCAATGCCGACAAAGCGACGGACGACTTCCACTACGAGAAGTTCCGCAAGATGAACCGGCGCTACTGAGGGGGGGGGCGGTGGGGGGGGGGGGCAGGGTCACCGGAGGGGTCACGACCCGCCCCCCCCAACCCACGCCAGCCGGGGGGGCCCAGCGTGGCGTGACGATCGTTTTCCGAAGGAGGGACGGCGCCCAACAGACAATCGGCGGCCGTTGGAGCCGCAGGACGTTTACAATCGTAGTCATCCGTGAGACGTGATCAACCCCCTGGTGGACGAAGGCCTCGAAGGCCTCCCCCCCCCCCACCAAGCCACCGCCGCTCGCCCCTCGTGTTCCCGTGATTGTGATAATCTGCCTTGGAACCTGCTGCGCAGAACCAGTTTCATCGCTCCGTCTCCCGGACGAGCTGTCCTCTCTCTTGAGCCCGGTTTTGACGTTTGCTCCCGATCCACCACCGATGGGGGGGGGGGGGGGTCCATGGCCCCCGTCCGGTGACGAGTGCTGCCCCCCAAGCGCGCTCGCTTTGCCCCAACGCGATCGATCGGATGCCGTACGATGACTTTCCTGATATTACACCACTCTTGATGGACTCAAAGTTTTGTGTGTGTGCGTGTCCCCGTCGTGGTGGGGAGCGGTAGAGTAGCGGTGAGCGCGCTGCCGTATGGACACGGTGACTCGAGTTCGATTCCCACTCACAGCCAACACCCAGTGACGATTATCTGAATGGGTCATGGGGGCTTCCCTAGGTCGACTCAGCCTCAAATGAGTACCTGGTGTGATGGTGTGTACACATCGCCACTGGGGAGACAAAGGCAGCCGGGCGTGGTGTTGGCCACCCACTCCCTCGTCTGCCATGCCGGCCTTCATCGGTGCTCGCTAACAGCACTTGCCCCAACAGTCTGTTCAGGCTATACGGGGGATCTTTGCTTTTGCCCCCGTCGCGGTGGCGCATGAGATGTTACCTCCCTAGCCTGGCGCGCAGGAGCGAGTAGGTTCGATCCCGAACCCTGATGATGCCGATACATTTGGAGTCTGCGTGTGTGTGTCCCCTCTATTCTGTGTGAGTGTGTGAAAGTGAGTAAGTGTGTGTGTTAGTCTGTGTTAGTGAGCAAGTACGGATGTTGAACTTCTTTTGCAATGTACGTAGCCAAGCATGCTAATAGGAGGTGTGTACGTGTGTTGGTCTATGTGAGTGTTATTCTTTATGAGTGTAAGTGTGTTAGTCTATGTGAGTGAGTGAAAGTGTTGTACTTATGTATGTTGAACTTATTTGGCACCGTACGTAGCCAACTGTGCCAATCGGAAGTGCGGGGGGAGGACAACAAATCTATACACAATGACAGTTCTAAGTAAATGAGTTATAGATTTAAAAGTGCGTAGCGCCAGTGGCTGACCATACTTCACCACGCTGGTCCGGACGGGTCACTGGGCTCGCAGCACCACGTGCTGCTAACGAAACCAGCCCGCTGCCGTGTACTTAATCGGCACACAATGTGCTCTTGCCATCGTTGAATTGGGACGGAGACTCTCAAGGTTTTAAAACCAAAAAGTTATATTTTAGGGCACTTTGGTTTTTTCGGTAAAGTCACGTAGGTAAAAAATTTAATGAATGAAAACAACGAAATTAAATCGCGTGATTTAATTTATTTTTATTTTTTACCTACGTGACTTTACCGAAAAAACCAAAGAGTGAATCCTTGCAGTCACGAAAGCTTCAAATCTAGAATTAATATTTTAGGTGGCCTGGTCGACTGCACCCTCGTCTGGCCTGGTGGGCAAGAGAACTCCCCCATAATGCACCCCTCTCGTCGTGGCGAGCAGACCTCGACGTTGGCATTCGGCTCACGAACCACCTGTAGTGTAGTGTGTAGTGTATAGTAGTGTAGCGTAAAGTGACGTGAGGCTGTAACAGTTGAAGACCTTGGTGTCCGAAGCAGACTTTGTGTGACGCTGCTGCGTAAGCTTCTCGACCATGAGCTTCCTTGCAGCGCATTGTGCAAAATGGAATAGAATGCCGTCTGTCCGGGTGATGGGAGGGAGGTGGTCGCCTGTGCATTGCTGGCAGGGGTGTTCAGGAAGTACAGTCTTTCTCCTGTAACGATGTGTGTTTTCATAACGCTTTTTTTTTTTTAGAACGCGGATGCGAATTGGATATAAGGGACCGTCCATAAATGACGTCACGCGATTTTTGACGATTTTTTTACCCCCCTCCCCCCTCGTCACACGTGTTCACAAAAGTCCGACCCCCCCCCCCCAAATATGACATCACAAAGCTCTGCCCCCCCCAAACCATGTTTATATTTTGAAAATAAAACATGCTTCAAATCGCTTTAAACTATTGTCATTGTAGTGCGTATTTAATGTGGCGCTGCACTCTGATGTTGTAGGAGTGTTGTTATAACAATTCTATATTTAAAGTTGCACATTTTGATGTGACATCACATTTCTCAACCCACCCCCCCCGCCCTCGTCACACATCGTCACAAAGATCTGACCCCCCCAGGTGCGTGACGTCATTTATGGATGGCCCCTAACGCGATCGAGTGAACAGAAACTACGTCGCGCGAGTTCGAATCAGCGGTCTTACGGCTGCCTTGGCGGAGCATAGCATAAGGCGGGATGCTGCTGGATGCTTCTACTAGATACGACCAACACGCCTCGGTCTGTTCAGCCTGCATTCGCATGTCATGTGTTATGGCGGACTGATTTACCCTGTATATTATATGTATATGATTTATTTTACGCGATATTTCCATAACGCGGTGATTTTCAGGAACTCTGTTACCGTGTTGTAGGAGAACAGACTGTAAGAGAATAGTATGTCATCGTTTCCACCCTGCTGCAACTCCGATTGGCACGTTTGGCGATGTACGGTACGACACAAGTATAGCATGCATGCATATCCCGTACGAATCAAGTGCGGCGATGATCTTGCTTTGCAAAATTTCGTCGCGTCGTGATTATCTTGGCCCTGTTTTAATGTTTGTTGCTTTATATGCTGACGGTAGATTTGTGAAACAACAGTTTTAAATAAATGAGTAAAGTCCTACAGATAACCGTTACCCATTCCTACAAACGAGTGCTTAGCCAATCACCAATTGTCGATTTTGCGAGCTCACGTCCATCCGTCGTATTCTGGCAAGTGTGCGCGTTGCCGGCATTGCCGAGCGGAATTCTTTCTCCGGGTCCTCCATTTTTTCCCCTCCACATTTTTAGAATCGACCTGCGTTTCGAGTATTCGGCTGCTACAAATGTCCACGCGATAAGCCACTGTTGAGCTATAATTTAATTTGTGGGCAGTTCGCTTCTGAAAAAAGCTGCATAGCTCAGTGGGCCTTACCTGGTAAAATAAAATGTAAATTGTTTTAATCTTAACTTTGGAGCTTTCGTGACTGCAAAGAGTAAATTGTTTTGTAGTTTTTTTTTTAATAGATGTTCAGTCGTAGGGATTGATGGTGGCATTAGTCATGATTTCTCTCTTTCAGTACAGTGGGCCATGTGTATGCTGCTGCTGCTGCGATCTTCACCAACCCCCATCTCGTATCCCCTAGCCAGGGGTCGGCAACCAAAATAACAAGAAGAGCCATTTCTTTCCAATTCGGTACAAAATTCAGTATTTCAAGAGCCGCAATGCATCTGAGTACATACGTACTCATCGTCAAGAAGCAGCCCGTAAAGAGCCGCATGCGGCTCCGGAGCCGTAGGTTGCCGACCCCTGCCCTAGGGCCTAGGCCACCGTCCTGCTACTGCTGCTACTCCCTGCCCTCCAGCTACGACCAAGCCTACCCGAACCCCTATCACTACTATCAATACCCCAACACCTACCCCAATCCCTATCACTACCCCAACCCCTATCACTACCCCAACCCCTATCACTACCCCTATGACTACCCCAACACCTATCACTACCCCAACCCCTATCGCTACCCCAACCCCTATCACTACCCCAACCCCTATCACTACCCCTATGACTACCCCAACACCTATCACTACCCCAACCCCTATCACTACCCCAACCCCTATCACTACCCCAACCCCTATCACTACCCCTATGACTACCCCAACACCTATCACTACCCCAACCCCTATCACTACCCCAACCCCTATCACTACCCCAACCCCTATCACTACCCCTATGACTACCCCAACACCTATCACTACCCCAACCCCTATCACTACCCCTATGACTACCCCAACCCCTATCACTACCCCAACTATCAGTACCTCCCTAACGCTCACAGCTGCCCTCCTGTCACCATCGCTACACCGCCACTTTCAATAGCAACCCCACTCGTTATTTGAACCACGATCATCTTCGGTATAACTTTTTTAAATCATTTATATTAAGTTCGCTTGCTTGCTTGCTTGCGTGCTTGCTTGCTTGCTTACGACCGTACAAATCTTTCGGTCGTTTTTTAACCCACTTCCCGTGATCCAATCGAGCTGACATTTTCCACACAGACTCGTTGTGCGTGACAATTAATTTTCGTGAAATTTTTTTCCCAAAATTTTACACTGTTTAGGGAATTTTTTAAAAATATTTAATTACCAATTGCTTAATGCTGGCAGACAATCATTTGACCCATAGGTGGCAGCCATCTCAAGCCAGAGAACGAGAGGACTCTAGCCGCCACGCATATAAAGGATTTATAGTGAAAAACTTAGTTTTTACGGGTTAATTTTTTTTATTATTTCCATTCTACGTGACTTTACCGAAAGAACCAAGAAGATGAATCCCTGCAGTCACGAAAGCTTTAAATCGAAATTTAGTGTTGTTGTCCTTCACCCGGCAGCTCCGATTAGCACGGTTGGCTACGTACGGTGCGACATGAGGTCAGCACACATACACTCCGTGATCACGAACATTTTCGTGATCACAGAAGTTCATAGTCGAGAGCTCTACGCAGCAGCGTCACTCAAAATATTCTTCGGACACCAATGTCTCGAACTACACTATGATACTCTATTCTAGATTTGAAGATTTCGTGACTGCAAGGATTCATATTCTTGGGTTTTTTCGGTAAAGTCACGTAGGTAAAAAATTAAAATTAATAAAAGTAAAAATAATGTAATAAAATAATGTAATATATTTATAATATATTTTATTTTTATTTTACTTTTATTAATTTTAATTTTTTACCTACGTGACTTTACCGAAAAAACCCAAGAATATGATACTCTACAGTCTACACTATACACTCATATACACTACACCACTATACACTACTATGCACTACACTATTATAAACCACTACTATACACCCACACTATACTATACACTATTATACACTACACTATACTGACACTATACAATACATTATACTGTTACAGCCTCACGTCACTATACACTACACTGATACTCTACACTATACACTCCTATACACTACACTATTATAAACCACTACTATACACCCACACTACAATACACTATTCTATACTACACAATACACTGCAGCACTAACACTATACACTACATTATACTGTTACAGCCTCACGTCACTATACACTACACTATGATACTCTACAGTCTACACTATACACTCCTATACACTACACTATTATAAACCACTACTATACACTACTACACCCACACTACAATACACTATTATATACTACACTATACTGACACTATACACTACACTATACACTACATAATACTGTTACAGCCTCACGTCACTATACACTACACTATGATACTCTACACTATATACTCTTATACACTACACTATTATAAACCACTACTATACACCCACACTACAATACACAATTATATACTACACTATACACTACACTATACACTACACTATACTGTTACAGCCTCACGTCACTATACACTACACTATGATACTCTACACTATACACTACACTATACACTACACTATTATAAACCACTACTATACACCCACACTACAATACACTATTATATACTACACTCTACACTACACTATACTGTTACAGCCTCACGTCACTATACACTACAATATGATACACTACACTATACAATACACAATTATATACTACACTATACACTACACTATACACTACATTATACTGTTACAGCCTCACGTCGGTTCTCTGCTGTTGCTCCCACGGTGTGGAACTCTTAACCATTTGCACATCCGCAACATCAAATGCACTCCTGACTTTGAAGAAACATCTAAAGGCCTAAATTTCGATTTAAAGCTTTCGTGACTGCAGGGATTCAGCGTCTGACGCTGTCTTTCCGACAGACCTGTTCTTCACCTGAGGACGGCTGCTTGCGTTGTGGCTGAAACGTCGTGAGAATTATTTTATTATGTTTTATTATTATTTTATTATGTCCCTTCTACGTGACTTTACCGAAAGAACCAAGAAGATCTAAAAGCCTATTCTTAGGTTTTTGTCGGTAAAGTCACGTAGGTAAAAACATTAAAAAGTAAAATAAAATAAAAAATCACGACGTTTCGGAGGCAACACAAGCTTCCGTCTTCAGGTGGTACCGTCACAGCCACGACAGCTGTATCAAGTAAATCCGAAACGTCGTGATTTTTATTTTATTTTTTAATGTTTTTACCTACGTGACTTTACCGAAAAAACCTAAGAATATGAATCATTGCAGTCACGAAAGCTTCAAATCTAGAATCTAAAGGCCTCTTGTCTCTTTGGGTCGTGGCTTTCGAGCAGCCCTGAGACGTCTCTGTATAATTGTGCGCATTTTGAATGTCATCATAATTTTTGTTCTTCTGTGTTGAAGAGTGATTCCGCAGCAGCACCTCGTCGTTATTGACGTCGTGGGATTTCTAACCGACGCTAGCGGAATAGAATGCTGCTGTCACGGTTATTGGCGCTTTCAAAAAGTGACCCCTTGGCAATTCGTTTGTTTGTTGGGTTTGTTAAAATCCTTTTTGTTTATACATTACGCTGACGTTGATCTATTTCTATCCTTTGTCTCCGTTACCACAGCATCGCAATAAACGCACGTGGTCACGCACGTGGTGTGGCCAATGAGCGCGGTTCCTTACAAGAGGCCAACTCTGACCCCCTGACCCGAGTGCGGACTCTGAAACCCCTAAGGGGTCGTCCATAAATGACGTCACGCACCTAGGAGGGAGGGGGGGTCAGACATTTGTGACGATGTGTGACGAGGGGGGGAGGGTTTGAGAAATGTGACGTCACATAAAAATGCGCAACTTTAAATCAATATAGACAACACGTTCTACTTAATTAAATAGACTTTTTAATAAATGTTTTCTCCTACAACATCAGAGTGCAGCGCCACATTAAATACGCACTACAATGACAATAGTTTAAAGCGATTTGAAGCATGTTTTGGGGGGGGGGGGGCAGAGCTTTGTGACGTCATATTTGAGGGGGGGGGGTCAAAAATCGTCCAAAATCGCGTGACGTCATTTATGGACGGCCCCTTATCGGATTAGTATATTAAATACAGATTATTGAATCTTATAAAAAGAGGGTCAATGATCCACCCCATCCATTGGGCCACACCCAAGGCCACAGACAGACACCCCCCGCGTTCCGTCTCCACTGCGGGACGTTCTGTGGACGTTCAAGACGCAGCGTCAGCAGCACCCATAGCGACCGTCGACAGATCGACAAACAAAACACGTGGGTCACGTGGTGCCCCGCTCGGCCAATCGTAAACGCCCGCGGTTGCAATGGGGGGGGGGGGGTCACAGGCCCGGCGGTGGCCATGTTGGGTAGGGAAGCTCCGCGGCGGCCATGTTGGGTAGGGAAGCCCAGCGGTGGCCATGTTGGGTAGGGAAACCGCCCCCACCACTCACCCCACCACTCACCCCACCCCCCATCCTGCCGACAGAATATTAATCAGAATATTTGTTTGGGCTGCAGCAGAAACAGGAATCCCGATGAACTGCGAAGCTATTTTTTTGCTTTGTTTAACACGTAGCAGCCTTTCGCGACCAATATCATCCATAATAGAGGGTTTTTTTGGGGTTAGATCGCGTAAATATATAAATGTGTCGTTCAAGTTCAAGTTCATTTATTAGGTGTAGCCCTGTGAGCCATTCGGCTCTTGAATCGGGTGCAACCGCAACAAACAACAATCAAAAACATGAACAAAAAACATCTTAAAGTGAATATGTGACTAAGTGCAAACAGAAAATCCAAGAAAAGACAGCAAAATCTTGCAGAAAAAAAACACCGTACACCAACGCTGTGTGCAAAAATCCCAGTGGGATGCAAGTCAAACAACAACAACAACCACGAGACAACTTATATTAAGGCCATCAGTCTAACTCTGTACTACAACAAACAAACATGGCCAAACCAATACACTTTTCGAAATCACCAAAATAAAGCCATGAAAGCAATGAAAAAGCAATCATAGGAACTGTGAGGGAATTTTCACAATAAATGGCATAAACATGTACTACCAAAACCCTGCAACCATAGTTGGCTGCATGAGCCACTCCACAACAGCGGGATCATCAATAGGAGTATTTTAATTTTTCAATGCACCTTTAAGATCAGCACACTAAATCAAAACACAGGTCATACTTTGTAGCGATCATCCGGAGCGAAACATTTTATTTTAGGCCACTGAATAGCACTGGCAGCTAGGGGTGTACAACTCCTCTAGAGCAGTTTTGAGTGAAGATCTCATAGGTAGTGATTCAAGTTGCAGTTTATTGGCAACAGCATTCCAGACCCTGGGGGCATCAATATAGCACCACCCAACACAGCCAACTAGTAAGGGTTGTCACGTAAACAGAACGTGGCCAATTCGTCACTAGCACAGCACTAGTGTATAGTGTAGTGTATAGTAGTGTAGTGTATAGTAGTGTATAGTGTAGTGAATAGTGTAGTGTATAGTAGTGTATAGTGTAGTGCAGCGGTCGGGAACCTATGGCTCGCGAGCCATATATGGCTCTTCCGGTGACGGCATATGGCTCCCAGACAATTTTGAGTTGAAAAAAAAATCAGTTTGGAACTGATTTTAAAATGCTTGTGATATTGCTTAATAATACTGTGTCATTTTAAAGTAAACAGAAATTAGTTTTGAAGATAAAATTTCTCGGGTCACGGATCCCGTGACCAGAAGTCGCATTAAAAGTAAGACATTTAATTTATTATACGTTAAAATACTATATGGCTGTCAATGAAATATATTTAGAAATATTTGGCTTTTATGGCTCTCCCAGTCAAAAAGGTTCCCGACCCCTGGTGTAGTGTATAGTGTAGTGTATAGTGTAGTGTATAGTAGTGTATTGTATAGTGTATAGTCTTCTTGGTTCTTTCGGTAGTCACGTAGAAGGGAAATAATAAAATAATACAAATTAAACAATAAAATACAATTCTCACGAGGTTTCGGCCACAACGCAAGCAGCCGTCCTCAGGTGAAGAACAGGTCTGTCGGAAAGACAGCGTCTGAATGACGTAGTGTATAGTGTAGTGTATAGTGAATAGTAGTGTATAGTGTAGTGTATAGTAGTGTAGTGTATAGTGTAGTATACTAGTACAGCAACACCGGTGTGTTGGAGAGCCAAGCCACAACATTTACAATCTGAGTACGACGTTTCGCCAGTAATTACAACCAGCTTCATCAGGCGACAGACAGATTTGTGTAGAAGTCCACCTATTTAGTGCTTTATGTAGAGGCGGAGATGTGGTGACCACGCTTTTGCGCTCTTGCGCCAAGTCGGGGGGGGGGGGGATTAATGAGTCAACGTGGTCACCACATCTACGCCTCTACATAAGGAACGAAACAGGTGGACTTCTACACAAATCTGGCTATCGCCTGATGAAGCTGGTTGTAATTACTGGCGAAACGTCGTACGTCAGATTGTAAATGTCGTGGCTTGGCTCCAACACAACCTGTGTGTGATGGACTAGTATACTACACTATACACTACACTAATATACACTACACTATACACTACACTACTATACACTACACTATACACTACTATATACACTACACTACTATACACTACACTATACACTACTCTACACACTAGTGCTGTAATAGTGACGAATTGGCCACGTTCTGTTTACGTGACAACTCTTACTAGGTGGCTGTGTTGGGTGGTGGCGGGTTTAACGACACATTTATATATTTACGCGATCTAACCCCCCCCCCCCCCCCCCCCCACTTCTATTATGGACTTTTTTTCTGTTTTGTTGACACAAACGTCCGGTAAGGGCAGCCAACGGTGTCAGAAAGCAACAACAATCCCCTCCCCAACCGATATGAGTGCAAAGTAGAGGGAAGCCAAGCGAGTCACTCAATGTAAATAAATAAAGAGGGCGTGCGAGTTCAAATTGCAAACGTGCATCCCAACACGAAGTACAAGCACAGCAGAAGGGGGTGGGACTGGAGGAGGGGGCTGGGGGGGGGGGTGGAAATGGAGGGGGGGGCAGGGGAGGGGGGGTGAGGAGGGAGGAAGGGGGCTGGAGGAGGGGGCTGGAAGGGGGGGGAAATGGAGGGGGGGGCAGGGGAGGGGGGGTGAGGAGGGAGGAAGGGGGCTGGAGGAGGGGGCTGGAAGGGGGGGGAAATGGAGGGGGGGCAGGGGAGGGGGGGTGAGGAGGGAGGAAGGGGGCTGGAGGAGGGGGCTGGAAGGGGGGGGCAGGGGAGGGTGAGGAGGGAGGGGGGTGAGAAGGGTCTCAACGAATCCCCACGCGCCCACTCGGGTCACGTGCCCCCCATCCCGCACTGCCCCCCCCCACAGCCCCCCACCACCCCCCCTTCCTACCCAAGATGGCGGCACGAGGCTTTCCCTACCCAAGATGGCGGCGCGAGGCTTTCCCTACCCAAGATGGCGGCACGAGGCTTTCCCTACCCAAGATGGCTGCACGAGGCTTTCCCTTCCCAAGATGGCTGCGCGAGATTTTCCCTACCCAAGATGGCGGCGCGAGGCTTTCCCTACCCAAGATGGCGGCACGAGGCTTTCCCTGCCCAAGATGTCGGCGCGAGGCTTGTATCTCTCTACGCGCTGGGCGTGAACCGCGTAGCCACCGCGACGCAGACGCGCGCGTTCTGACGGCGCGGGCACCGCGGTGGTAGTGGCGGTGTTAGTGGTGGTGGTAGGCGGCCGTGTTGAGGTGCGTGGGGGAGGCGATACACTCGAAAGCCTTGGGACTCGAGACCTGGATTGGGACCTGGGACCTGGCAGTCGCCTTCAACGGAGGGGGGGGAGCCCCCCTATCGCTTGGTGGGTCCCCACATCGAGCGCGCTAGGGGATGGGGGGCGCGCCACGGCTCTTCTCTCCCTGTCGCTCTCTCTCTGTCTCCTCTCTGTCCCCTCTCTCTCTTGTCGCTGTGCGTGCGCGCGGCGCCATGGACGCGCGCGTTGCTGAGCAATTAGAGCAGCAGCGCAGAGACAGCCGCTCCCCCCCGCACCCCCCCCCTCGCTCCCTGCCCCCCCCCGCTCCCTGCTCCCCCCTCCCTGCCCCCCCCCGCTTCCTGCTCCCCCCCCCGCCCCCTGCCCCCCCGCTCCCTACACCCCCCCCCCGCTTTCTGCTCCCCCGTCGTGAACCCCGCTCCCCCCCCCGCCTCCCTGCCCCCCCCCCCGCTCCCTGCACCCCCCCCCCGCTCCCTGCTTCCCCCCCCTCATTGCACCCCCCCCCGCTCCCTTCACCCCCCCACCTCCCTGCACCCACCTCCCTGCACCCCCCCGCTCCCTTCACCCCCCCCACCTCCCTGCCCCCACCTCCCTGCACCCCCCCACCCGCTCCCTGCTTCCCCCCCCTCATTGCACCCCCCCCCGCTCCCTTCACCCCCCCACCTCCCTGCCCCCACCTCCCTGCACCCCCCCACCCGCTCCCTGCTTCCCCCCCCTCATTGCACCCCCCCCGCTCCCTTCACCCCCCCCACCTCCCTGCCCCCACCTCCCTACACCCCCCCGCTCCCTTCACCCCCCCCACCTCCCTGCCCCCACCTCCCTGCACCCCCCCGCTCCCTTCACCCCCCCCACCTCCCTGCCCCCCACCTCCCTGCACCCCCCCGCTCCCTTCACCCCCCCCCACCTCCCTGCCCCCCACCTCCCTACACCCCCCCCCGCTCCCTTCACCCCCCCCCCACCTCCCTGCCCCCCACCTCCCTACACCCCCCCCCGCTCCCTTCACCCCCCCCACCTCCCTGCCCCCCACCTCCCTATACCCCCCCGCTCCCTTCACCCCCCCCACCTCCCTGCCCCCCACCTCCCTACACCCCCCCCGCTCCCTTCACCCCCCCCACCTCCCTGCCCCCCACCTCCCTACACCCCCCCCGCTCCCTTCACCCCCCCCCACCTCCCTGCCCCCACCTCCCTGCTCCCCCCCCCGCTCCCTTCACCCCCCCCACCTCCCTGCCCCCACCTCCCTGCTCCCCCCCCCGCTCCCTTCACCCCCCCCCACCTCCCTGCCCCCACCTCCCTGCTCCCCCCCCGCTCCCTGCTCCCCCGTCGTGAACCCCGCTCCTCCGCTCCCTGCTCCACCCCCGCTCCCTTCACCCCCCCCTCTCTGCACCCCCGTCGTGAACTCCGCTCCCTGCTCCTCCGCTGTGCTGCTCTCACTGCGGCAGTGTTGCAGCGCACCGCACGAACCCCGCCCGTTACCCTGGTTACCATTGTGTTACCCTGGTTATCAATGTACTACCCTGGTTACCATTGTGTTACCAAGGCCGTTACCATTGTGTTACCCTGTTATCAATGTACTACCCTGGTTACCATTGTGTTACCAATGCCGTTACCATTGTGTTACCAAGGCCGTTACCATTGTGTTACCCTGGCTACCATTGTGTTACCAATGCCGTTACCATTGTGTTACCAAGGCCGTTACCATTGTGTAACCCTGGTTACCATTGTGTTACCCTGGTTACCATTGTGTAACCCTGGTTACCATTGTGTTACCCTGGTTACCATTGTGTTACCACGGCCGTTACCGTTCTTCCCCGGCCGTTATCATTGCGTTACCTCAGCCGTAACAAGCGCGGCGTTGCCTCATTGCCCGAATGAATCTCTGCCGGTGGTGACATCCCGTTACTCTGCACGTTACCCATCGCGTTACTTATTCCGTTACTCATCCCGTTACTCATTCCGTTACTCATCGCGTTACTTATTCCGTTACTCATCGCGTTACTTATTCCGTTACTCATCCCGTTACTCATTCCGTTACTCATTCCGTTACCCATCGCGTTACTTATTCCGTTACTCATCCCGTTACTCATCCCGTTACTCATTCCGTTACCCATCGCGTTACTTATTCCGTTACTCATCCCGTTACTCATTCCGTTACCCATCGCGTTACTTATTCCGTTACTCATCCCGTTACTCATTCCGTTACCCATCGCGTTACTTATTCCGTTACTCATCGCGTTACTTATTCCGTTACTCATCGCGTTACTCATTCCGTTACTCATCGCGTTACTCATTCCGTTACTCATCGCGTTACTCATTCCGTTACTCATCGCGTTACTTATTCCGTTACACATCGCGTTACTTATTCCGTTACTCATCCCGTTACTCATTCCGTTACACATCCCGTTACTCATTCCGTTACACATCGCGTTACTTATTCCGTTACTCATCCCGTTACTGGTCACGTTACTTATTCCGTTACTCATCCCGTTACTGGTCACGTTACTTATCGCGTTACTCATTCCGTTACTGGTCACGTTACTTATTCCGTTAGCGTGCCGTGTCAACCCACCACGGCTTACCCCGTGTTCTTGTGCAGGGAAAATGAGTTTTCAGGTCCCTACGGCGTACAGAGCCGATTTCAATACGGGCAAAACATGTTTAGTCTCCTACGTATTTGTTTGTGTTTCTCTGCTTGTGAGAGATTCATAAAGGGCACGGGGTGACCAATAATGTCTGAATTGGTCTGCGATAAGGTAGGGGCAGTGATAAGGGGTTGACAGGCATGATGTTGTGGTGGTTGTAGTGGTGAGTGTACTAGTGGTGAGTGTAGTGGTGAGTGTAGTGGTGGGTGTAGTGGTGGTGAGTGTACTGGTGGTGAGTGTACTGGTGGTGAGTGTACTAGTGGTGAGTGTAGTGGTGGTGGGTGTAGTGGTGCTGAGTGTACTGGTGGTGAGTCTACAAGTGGTGAGGGTACTAGTGCTGAGTGTACTAGTGGTGAGTGTACTGGTGGTGAGTGTACTAGTGGTGAGTGTACTAGTGGTGAGTGTAGTAGTGGTAAGTGTACTAGTGGTGAGTGTACTAGTGGTGAGTGTAGTGGTGGTGAGTGTACTAGTGGTGAGTGTACTAGTGGTGAGTGTAGTGGTGAGTGTACTAGTGGTGAGTGTAGTAGTGGTGAGTGTACTAGTGGTGAGTGTACTAGTGGTGAGTGTACTAGTGGTGGGTGTAGTGGTGAGTGTACTAGTGGTGAGTGTAGTAGTGGTAAGTGTACTAGTGGTGAGTGTACTAGTGGTGAGTGTACTAGTGGTGAGTGTAGTGGTGAGTGTAGTAGTGGTGAGTGTAGTGGTGGGTGTAGTGGTGGTGAGTGTACAAGTGGTGAGTGTACTAGTGGTGAGTGTACTAGTGGTGAGTGTAGTAGTGGTGAGTGTAGTGGTGGGTGTAGTGGTGGTGAGTGTACTAGTGGTGAGTGTACTAGTGGTGAGTGTAGTAGTGGTGGGTGTAGTGGTGCTGAGTGTACTAGTGGTGAGTGTACTAGTGGTGGGTGTAGTGGTGAGTGTACTAGTGGTGAGTGTAGTAGTGGTGGGTGTAGTAGTGGTGAGTGTAGTGGTGGTGAGTGTAGTAGTGGTGAGTGTACTAGTGGTGAGTGTAGCAGTGGTGAGTGTACTAGTGGTGAGTGTAGTGGTGGTGAGTGTACTGGTGGTGAGGGTACTAGTGGTGAGTGTACTAGTGGTGAGTGTAGTAGTGGTGGGTGTAGTAGTGGTGGGTGTAGTGGTGGTGAGTGTACTGGTGGTGAGTGTACTAGTGGTGAGTGTACTAGTGGTGAGTGTACTGGTGGTGATTGTCTATTTGTGTGTGCATCCACATATCAAGCAAGCAGCAGCCATCAGCATGCAATATCACAGACAGTATAGCATGATAAGTAGCATCATTGACACCTATTATCAACATTAATACATACAACAGCTGATGTTTAGTGATATAATTTGTGTCTATTTGCGTTTCTCGCTTGCGATGGGGCTTTGTAGGATGAACGTTGAGATTTATATCGGGCAGGCGGTGACTAATACGGTCTGAATTGGTCTGTAATAAGCTAGGGGCAATGATAAGGGGTTGCCAGTCTATGCGTCAATCTTGATTTCAAGCTTATCCCCAGTTTTTTTATTTTATTTATTAGTTCATTTATTTGGTGTAGCCCTGTGAGCCATGGCTCTTTAATCGGGTGCAGCCGCAACAAACAAAATTCACGAACAAGAACACATCTTAATGTGACTTCGCGCAAATAGAAACATCTAGAAAAAACCATCAAAGTCTTCCAGAAAAAAGCACCGTATATCAACGCTGTGTGCAAAAATCCCAGTGGGATGCAAGTCAAACAATAACAACCATAAGACAATTTATAGTAAAGTTATCCAGTCTAACTCTGTACGACAACAAACAAATATGGCTAAACCAAAACGTTTTCGAAATCACCAAAATAAAGCTATAATGAAACAGTGATCATCGGAACTGTGATTCAAATTTAACAATAAACGATCCACATAACATGTACGATCAAACTTGAGTCACTCCATAACAGCAGAAGTATCAGTAGGAGTATCGAAACGTTTCAATGCACCTTTAAAGATGAATATTCTCCGTGAGCCAACGGCACTCACTCCCCCCCCCCCCCAGTGCATTAACTCAACCATCACCATCTTCATCCAAGGCAAAGATCCCCCGTGTAGCCTTAGCATACTGTTGAGGGCAAGTGCCGTTAGCGAGTAGCACCTGTGAAATCTGACACGGCACACGAGGGGGTGGGTGGGTGGCCAGCACCACGCCCGGCCGCCTTTGTCTCCCCAGTGGCGATGTTTACGCTGAGTCGAGCTAGCGGGGAGGCCCAGGACCGAAAACGATTTGAAGCTTTCGTGACTGCAGGAATCCATACCCTTTGGTTCTTTCGGTAAAGTCACGTAGGTAGAAAAATAAAATAAATCACGACGTTTCGATCGCAACAACAAGCAATTTTCATCAAGTGGGACAACCACAGAAAAAAAGAAACTGCTGAAGTAGAGTAGTAGGTTTTTACCCTTTAAACTGGTACAAAAACTGACACATTTATACAAGGCATCATGTTTGCAATAACCACAACACAAGCAGTCAAAATGCAAACTAAAAGAAAACAACTCTGATAATGATAATGATATGCACTGTCCTTGAAGTTGATTGGTCCACACCAATTGGTCATTATCAGAGTTTTTCTTTTTGTTTGCATTTTGACTGCTTGTGTTGTGGTTATGGCAAACATGATGCCTTGTATAAAGGTGTCAGTTTTTGTACCAGCTTAAAGGGTAAAAACCTACTACTATATTTTGCCACTGGTAAAGGAGGTCTCATAGTGCTGAAGTAGACTCGGGACCGGCTAAGATATTTGTCACTTGTGTTGTCCGTGAGCAAGAATTGAACTCGCATCACCGGGGTTCGTATTGCACCGCGCAAACCACTACACTACCGCTCCCCACCATCGTCATCACCATCACCACAACCACCATCGGTCACGATCGATCCACTGCTCGATGAAGGCTTCACCAAGGCCGCCGTTGTTACCACTCACGATCCATTCACCTTTTGATCTCCCGACGCGGCAGCTGAAACATTGGCGCGTTTTATTTCTTAATCTCCCCCCCCCCGCCTCTATCCACCCATCAGTTTACACGGCTGCACCACAGTTGTTGTTGATTGGCTGGTCGCGCGTGGCGGGGTAAAGTGTGGGTAACTCCCCACCTCGCTGTCTTCCAAGACCTTCTGACCGGCCAAAACTGTTTAAGATCAAACAATTTTTTTATTTTAGCAGGTAAAGCCCACGGAGCTTTTTTAGCTCTTTTGCAAAAGCGACCTGGCCATAAGGGATGGCTCAATACAGTGGCTTATTATCATGTGGACATTGATAGCAACAGCCAAATGCTTGAAACGCGTGACGTTGATTCTAAATGTGGATAGAAAAAAACGGAGGACCCGAAGAAAAATCCACGTGGCCACGGGGGGAGAGAGACGCACTGCAAACTCCAAATATACAGCAGCAGGCATCGTCAGGATCGGGATCGAACCCACGACCTCCTGCATACCAGGCGAGAGATGTCACATCTCCTAGCCACCGCAGCGCCCCTAAAACACGCTCCAAGTCGAGCGGAGGGCCCTACCGGCAGGAGTGGCGCGAGCGGGAGACATTGCAGCGCTGTACCTCTACCCCTGTGTGCGTCCTTCCACGTGCCAGCCTTTGCATCCATCTTCCTAGGTGTCACAAGCTGCTGCGGCCCCCTCCCTCCTTTAGTAACGCCGCTAACACGGAGAGGAACACTCCTCTTGGGAGCTGTCGTCATCACGCCGCCATCCTTGCCGGGGCTCATGAGCCAAACTACCATTGGCTCCGCTGTGGAGTTTTAAAGGCATCAAGAGGTTAGGGCAAATTGTCGAGAATGGGCGACAATTCCTCTAACTCAGGGGTGGGGAACGTCCAGCCCGCAGGACGTACGAGGCCCGCAAAATCATTTGGTGTGGCCCTGCCAAGGCAACCGCAGGCGGGACTCGAAATTGAATAAATCTAGGAGCAAACCTGGAAAAGCAGTTGCGAGTAGCAGCAACATCATCAATACCAGCTAACATCACACGCCTCGCCAAAGAGAAGCAGTTCCAGCCATCGCATTAGGGGCGAGTTAATTAAATGTTTGACCAAATATAACGGGCTAATTTTTAATTTGATAATTTTGTATGGCCCCCGAATGATGTTATACATTTCCAAACGGCCCTTGGCAGAAAAAAGGTTCCCCACCCCTGAATTAACTCATTTAGAAACACGCGTTTAGATTATTTGGCTGCTATACATGTCCAATAAGCACGGTTGGCTACATACATTCAGCATACACACATGCGTACACTTTGTTGAGCTATCATTTATGGCGATGTCGCTTCTGGAAAATAACTATGAGGTCAGTGGGCTTTATCTGGTAAAATCGAAAATTGTTTATTAATTTATTTTATCGATTTGTTTACCATTACATACTTTGCACTCGAATCGTTTTTGTATTGTTTGTTATTGTAACCTTACCCGCCCCGACTAGGACACCCGTGAAAATGATCAGTCATATTTCTCCAGGATAAATAAAGATTCTGATTCTGAATAGGCACGGCGTCTCCTGATGCGACACGGGCAACACAGGTGGAATAAAATGATCGTTAAATACTACCTACTAATAATGAATAATGTCAACTTGCTAGCGCACGGCGTTGGCTCATCGCTGTCGAAGAGAGAAGGAGAGAGAGAAACATCCTGGATAAAACAGCAAATCTTCCAAAAAACACAAAAAAAAACGTATTACAACGCTGTGTGCAAAACTCCAAGTGTGATGCAAGTCAAACAATAACAACCATGAGACAATTTAGATGAAAGTTATCAGGCCAACTCCGCACTTCCGCAAGAAACATGGCTTAACCACATGTTTTCGAAATCGCCAAAATAAAGCTATAAAAACAATGCAACAACAGTAATCATAGGAACTGTGATAGCTGCTCTCTCGTTATGTTCAGCAGTTCCACCGCTGGATGATATTTTTTCCGCCTGAGGACGACCGCTTGCTTGTGTTGCGATCGAAACGTCGTGATTGATTTTATTTTACACCCACGTGACTTTACCGAAAGAACCAAAGACCATAGAGAGAGGGGACGACGACTCGGTGACGCTAGGCAGAGGACTCGCAGACGTACGCATGCACGGTACGTATTCCGGACTTCTTTTGTACCGCCGTACGTAGCCAACCGTCCTGATCGGAGGTGCGGGGCAACCAGAGACGAGGCGCGGGAAGGCGGCAGCAGCAGCGCAGCACCAGCCACGTGGCAGCGGTGAGGAGCCGGCGCCACCAGCAATTGCCCCGGCACCAAATCGCATCGAGGTGAGCTGGTAGCACCTGAGAAGCTGGGTATGAATCCAGGCAGCGGCTGCCCATGATTGAATTGTCACTCTCGTGCCGGTTAATCTGCCGTCCGTCGCCAGCGGTGGTAGGCCAGGCGCCTGGTCTGTCGAGGACGCGCCGAGTATGTGGGTGGGTAGGTGAGTGGATGAGTTGGTGAGTGAGTGTGTGGGTGTGTGGGTGAGTGTGTGGGTGGGTGAGTGAGTGTGTGGGTGTGGGGAGCGGTAGTGTAGCGGTCAGCGCGCTGCGCTATGAACCTGGCGACCCGGGTTCGATTCCCGCTCACGGCCAACACCGGTGACGATGATCTGAACCGGTCCTGGGCCTCCCCTAGGTTGTCTCAGCCTGAAATGAGTACCTGGTGCGGTGTGTAAACATTGCCACTAGGGAGACAAAGGCGGTCGGGCGTGGTGCTGGTCACCCACCCCCTCGTGTACCGTTCTGGCCTTCATAGGTGCTCGCTAACAGCACTTGCCCCAACAGTCTGTTAAGTCTATATGGGCGATCTTTGTCTTTGTGTGGGTGGGTAAGTGAGTCAGAAAGTGTGTGGGTGGGTGGGTGAGTGGGTGAGTGAGTGGGTGAGTCAGTGGGTGAGTCAGTGGGTGAGTGGGTGGTTGGGTGAGTGGGTGGGTGAGTGAGTGGGTGAGTGGGTGAGTCAGTGAGGTGTAACTTGCAATGTGCTGGTGGTTGAACACAGTGTCGTGGCGGCGGTGGTGGATGAGAAGAAACAGTCAGTGTCTGGTAGACACTGCATCCCCAACATGGGTGGTGGGAGAGAGACAAGGGGGTGACTGACCACCGTTGAGTGTGTAACTGGAGTGAATGGATCAGTGGCATATTAACCACGGTCGTAGTAGCGGCAGCAGAGAGACAAGGAGGGACCTGGAGTGAGACAGTGAGTGCCGGACCATCGCCGTGCCCGGCGACTTCACGGCGAGAAGCGCGATGCGGACGAGCCGCCCTCTAACGCGCCGTGCGCTCTCCCCGCCAGCGCCGCGTTCCGTCCCCCGCGAGCTCCTCCGCCGGCCCCTTCCAGGGCCACCCCCCCCCCCCCCCCCCCGGCCTCCATCCCTTTCCCATCGGCGGTGCCGCCGCCATGAGGATGGAGGAGGCTCTGAACGTGAAGGAGGCGGAGGTGATCAAGCTCGTCCTGGACTTCTTGCACTCGCGCAAGCTGCACGTGAGCACGCTGGCTCTGGAGCGCGAGAGCGGCGTCATCAACGGCCTCTACTCGGACGACATGCTCTTCCTGAGGTGCGCCAGCCTCTCCGGGCTCCACCCTCCACTCGTGCTCATCGCCACCCAACCACCCAGCCACCCACCCACCCAGAGACACCTACCCAGGCACACCCCGCGCACCCAGCCACCCACCCAGCCAGGCACCCACCCACCCAGAGACACCCCGCCCACCCACCCACCCACCCAGAGACACCCATCCACCCAGAGACACCCACCCACCCAGCCAGGCACCCAGAGACACCCAGCCACCCACCCATCCAGCCACCCATCCACTCACCCATAACCCATCCAGCCAGCCACCAACCCGCCCAGCCACCCACCCAGCCACCCAAACCCACCCACCCAACTACCCAAACCACCCACCCAAACCTACCCACCCAACCACCCACCCAACCACCCAACCACCAACCCACCCACTCACCCATAACCCAGCCAGCCAGCTACCAACCCACCCAGCCACTCACCCAGCCACCCAAACCCACCCACCCACCTACCCAAACCATCCACCCAAACCTACCCCACCCACCCAACCACCCAACCATCCATCCACCCTACCATCAACCCAGCCACCCACCCACCCTCTCACCCACCCATCCCACCCACCCATCCCACCCACCTGCACAGTAAAAACAATGGGCGAGTTTCTTAAACTCCCCCCCGCCTCGCTGGGAGATTGAACCGGTGACCTCTGGCCATTGCAAGGTGGCAGCCTGCCCTGGGTCACTGCTGTGGAAATGCGAGTGACTGTTGCGTGAGTGAGTGCGTGAGTGAGTGAGTGCGTGAGTGAGTGCGTGAGTGAGTGAATGCGTGAGTGAGTGAATGCGTGAGTGAGTGCGTGAGTGAGTGAGCGAGCGAGTGAGTGCATGAGTGAGTGCGTGCATACGTGTCGGCGAGCAGAGCGCCGGGCAGCTCAAGTACAGCAAGTTGGCACAGTTGGGGGCACAGTTGGTGAAAACGAAATTATTCTTTATTTTCCCAGGTAAGGCCCACTCAGCCACATTATTCTATTTCAGAAGCATCCTGGCCACAAATAATAGCTCGGTTAAGTGGCTTATCGTGTGGAAATGTATTGCAGCCAAATACTCATACCCACGACCTCCTGTATACCAGGCGAGGTAGTTAACATCTTTCAACCGTGGCACCAGAAACATCTCTGCCGGTCATCTCAGTCACTCGATCTGTGGCAGCCTGGGCCTGTCCCGTGACCTCCTGCCAGTGTGCCTTCGACACTTCACGTGGTAGCCTCAAAGTGCACCTTGCCTGGCACAGGCACCGTGGTGACATCACCGATGCTTAGTGGCAAATGACAGCTGTTGTGGTGCGTGCGTGCGTGTGCAGGCAGCTCATCTTAGATGGGCAGTGGGACGACGTTCTGGAATTCATCCAGCCACTGGAGGCCATGGAGAAGTTCCAGTCGAAGAGGTGACTCTCTCGCATTCGCAAAGATAAATACTCCCCCGAGTATATCCCTGACAGGACTGTTGTGGCAAGTGCTGTTAGCGAACGGAACCTGCGGAGGCTGGCATGGCCCACGATGGGGCTGATGTTGACACACCACACCAGGTACTCGGTTGAGGCTGAGTCGACCTAGAGGAAGCCCAGGACCGCTTCAGGGGGGTCCAATGTTTAATCTTTGGGCAGTGTTGAGTCTTTGGTGCAGTGTTGAGTTTATGGTGCAGTGTTGAGTCTATGGTGCAGTGTTGAGTTTATGGTGCAGTGTTGAGTCTATAGGTAGTGTTGAGTCTATGGGTAGTGTTGAGTCTATGGTGCAGTGTTGAGTCTATGGTGCAGTGTTGAGTCGATGGTGCAGTGTTGAGTCGATTGGCAGTGTTGAGTCTATGGTGCAGTGTTGAGTCTATGGTGCAGTGTTGAGTCTATGGTGCAGTGTTGAGTCTATGGGTAGTGTTGAGTCTATGGTGCAGTGTTAAGTCTATGGGCAGTGTTGAGTCTATGGTGCAGTGTTGAGTCTATGGGGCAGTGTTGAGTCTATGGTGCAGTGTTGAGTCTATGGGCAGTGTTGAGTCTATGGTGCAGTGTTTAGTCTATGGTGCAGTGTTAAGTCTATGGGCAGTATTGAGTCTATGGGGCAGTGTTGAGTCTATGGTGCAGTGTTGAGTCTATGGGCAGTGTTGAGTCTATGGGCAGTGTTGAGTCTCCAGTGCAGTGGTGAGTCTATGGGCATTGTTGAGTCTATGGGTAGTGTTCAGTCTCTGGTGCAGTGTTGAGTCTATGGACAGTATTGAGTCTATGGGGCAGTGTTGAATCTATGGTGCAGTGTTGAGTCTATTGGCAGTGTTGAGTCTATGGGCAGTGTTGAGTCTATGGGCAGTGTTGAGTCTATGGGTAGTGTTGAGTCTCTGGGCAGTGTTGAGTCTATGGGCAGTGTTGAGTCTCTGGTGCAGTGTTGAGTCTATGGGCAGTGTTGAGTCTATGGGCAGTGTTGAGTCAATGGGTAGTGTTGAGTCTCTGGTGCAGTGTTGAGTCTATGGGTAGTGTTGAGTCTCTAGTGCATTGTTGAGTCTATGGGCAGTGTTGAGTCTATGGGCAGTGTTGAGTCTATGGGCAGTGTTGAGTCTATGGGCAGTGTTGAGTCAATGGGTAGTGTTGAGTCTCTGGTGCAGTGTTGAGTATATGGGCAGTGTTGAGTTTATAATGCAGTGTTGAGTCTATGGGCAGTGTTGAGTCTATGGTGCAGTGTTGAGTCTATGGGTAGTGTTGCTTCTGCTGTCAGCAGGGTTCCGAGCGTCGCTGTCGTCGCGTCCGTAGGTTCCGCTATCTGGTGCTCAAGCAGAAGTTCCTGGAGGCGCTGTGCATCAACAAGGCGGTGCCAATGGATGAGGAGCCACGCCAGGTGAGCCAGCAGTGGCCCTGTGTGGGGGCTCCAACCCCCTCTTTCCTCCTTCCCTCCCTCCTTGCTCCTCCCCCCTCCCTCCCTCCCTCCCCCCTCGACCTACCTCCCACCCTCTATCTTGATATTTCACGCAACCTCCGGACATCCTCGCAGCAGCGGCTTCGAACAGAGACGGTCACCGCATCGCGCGGCGCTTTCGGATGCGCTTCTGCGGCCGTCTGGAACGTTCTGCCTTCCGATATATGGAAACCACTTGGGAGCGCCACACTTTTAAATCGTCATCTATATTGACAACCTCATTTTTTTTAAAGTGCTATTTGTGTTCAGTTTCTTTCTTGTCCTTCCCCTGCACCTCCGGTTAGCACGGGTGGCTACGTACGGTGCGAAAGAAGTTCAACATACATGCATATGTAATGTAGCACTCGGAGACGCTGTCTTGCTTAAGTTACATATATTTATTATATTATACAGGTAGTCTTCTACTTACGATGGAGATGGGTTACGATGACCCCATCGTAGGTCGAAAATATCGTAAGTCGAAGATGGCCTAGCCTACCCAGGAGTCTTAAAGAATGGTGATTATTTAGCAAAACAGCAATTTACAGTAGCGTACTGTATAAACTATATACTGTATTTATTTATTAATTACAATACTGTATTGCGCTGTAAAATGTAAAGTAAAAAAAACAAGGTAAATTCTTAGCCTACCTATATGAACTGCAATTTAATAGAAAGTTTTTTCAGGAAACAATCCTATCTGCTATAAAAAAAACTTTTAACATGCTTTGAACGTATCGTATCGTGGTAACCTTAAAATGATATCGCTGAAGCTACGTATCATACATGCATTGAACGTATCGTAACGTATCACATTGTACTGCACTCGCCAAGATTCTGTCCGTCGTCTGCACACTTGAACGATGTTAAGGTTGTTGATGGCAATTTTGTCGTATCGCTATCGCCATCGTAAGATCGAAATATCGTAAGTCGGACCCCATCGTAACTCGGGGACTACCTGTATATCACAGCCCACCCGACTCGATCACGTGTTACCAGGTGGACGCAGGTTGACTCTATACAACTGGGTGACTCTATGGAGCTGCTACACGACGTTCGCTTTATAGCCGACTGACTACTATATAGAAGCCGTCGATGTAGTTGCCACGGGGAAGATATCTAACTCCCTTTCAAGACGAGGAGGGCGATCGCCAGCGACGACAGCGACGACGGCCCGGACCCCGAATCCCCACGGCAGCCCCGAGCCCCGCTCCGCACTGCCTTTTATTTCCCCTCGGCTCTGGCCACGCCCCTTTTCCTCGAACTCTCTCCCCCTCGCCTCACGAGAACACCCCGGGGGTTCCGTCTCTACCCCCCGCGTTGACTCCCTCACCCAGTTAACCTCACCTGACCCTGCCTGTCCTCATCGCTGCAATCATTAATTACGGCCAATAGGCCCCTACTGTCCTTACACATACATCATACATCTCTCTCTTTGTCTGTCCGTTCCTTCTCACTCCCACCTCCCACCCTCCATCTCTCCGTCCGTCCCCCGCCCGTCCACTCGCCCCCGCACCCCCCCGCCGCAGCTGGAGTTCACGGTGGAGGCGGTGGTGCAGTGCCTGCAGTCGCTGGAGCCGTTCTGCCCCAGCCGCGAGGACTACAGCGGCCTGTGCCTGCTGCTCACGCTGCCCCAGCTCACGGAGCATGCCGAGTTCCGCGAGTGGAGCCCCAGCGCGGCGCGCGTGCGCTGCTTCGAGGAGGCTTGCGCTCTCGTCTCCGACTTCATCCCGGCCGACCGCAAGCTGAGCGAGGCCGGCTTCCGCGCCAGCCCCGACCGCCTGCTGCAGCTGCTCGTCAAGGGGCTGCTGTACGAGGCTGCCCTGGAGCTGTGCCAGGCGCAGGCCACGGGCGAGCCGCTGCTGGGCGACGCCGACGTGCTGCAAGGTGGCACCCCCTACCCCCGCCCGCTCCTCTCCCAACACCGGTCTGCCGGCTGGGTCACCTGCTGAGTCACCCGCTGGGTCACCCGCTGGGCCACCCGCTAAGTCACCCGCTAGGTCACCCGCTGGGTCACCCGCTGGGTCACCCGCTGGGTCACCCAGTGGGTCACCCGCTGGGTCACCCATTGAGTCACCCGCTGAGTCATCCTCTGCTGCTTGCCTCGTTTGCTTCCCTATCTCGCCCCCTCGCTTGTTCCCTCGCTCGGCTGTGTTTGTGTGTGTGCTGCCGTGCGCATCACAGTGTGCTGCCGTGCGTGTCGCTGTGTGTGCGCGGCCGTGTGCAGGCGTGGACCTGCTGAGTGGGAACGGCTGCGTCTGTGTGTGTGTGCTGCCGTGTGTGTCGCTGGTTGTGTGTGTGCTGCTGTGTGCAGGCGTGGACCTGCTGAGTGGGAACAGCTGTGTGTGTGTGTGCTGCTGTGTGTGTGGCTGGTTGTGTGTTTGCGCGGCCTTGTGCAGGCGTAGACCTGCTGAGTGGGAACGGCTGTGACGAGATGGACCCGAGCCTGCTGTCGTGGCTGCGCTGCATCCCGGCGGAGACGTTCTCCTGCGCCTTCGAGCAGAAGACGCTCGCCGTGCAGCTCGACCGCCTCGTGCGTCCCGTCAAGGCCACGCTGTCCGACCTGCTTACCCCACTCATGCAGGTGTGTGTGTGTGTGTGTGATACAGGGTGTGTGTGTGTGATACAGGTGTGTGTGTGTGTGTGATATACAGGTGTGTTTGTGTGTGTGTGATACAGGGTGTGTGTGTGATACAGGTGTGTGTGTGTGTGTGAGATACAGGGTGTGTGTGTGTCAGATACAGGGTGTGTGTATGTGTCAGATACAGGGTGTGTGTGTGAGATACAGGGTGTGTGTGATACAGGTGTGTGTGTGTGATACAGGTGTGTGTGTGTGAGATACAGGGTGTGTGTGATACAGGTGTGTGTGTGTGTGTGAGATGCAGGTTGTGTGTGTGTGTGATACAGGTTGTGTGTGAGTGGGAGCGGTATTGTAGCGGTTAGCGCACTGCGCTACTAACCCAGCGAACCGAATTCGATTCCCGCTCACGCCCACCAACACCGGTGACGATGGAATGAACCGGTCTTGGGCCTCCCCTAGGTCGACTCAGCGTCAAATGATCACCTGGTGCGGTGTGCAAACATCGCCACTGGGGAGACAAAGACGGCCGGGCGTGGTGCTCGCCACCCACCCCCTCGTGTGCCATGCCAGCCTTCACTAGGTGCCACTTGCCTAACAGCACTCGCCCCGACAGTCTGCTGAGGCTATACAGGGGACCTTTACCTTTGTACAGTGGTACCTCGGTACACGTCGTTAATTCGTTCCAGAAGGGGTAGGACTTGTACCGAAAATGACGTGTACCAAACGAATTTTTCCCATGAGAAATAAAGGAATAGGAAATAATCCGTTCCAGAGTATAAGAAATGATATTTTATATGGCATATTATACATTAATGGGGTTGTATAAAATAATAAAATAAATCTAGACACTACTTATTACTAAAATGCATACGTAAATTTAAATAAATGCATAAATAAATTAAAATAAATTGAAATAAAAATCAAATTTTTACGTCACTTTACCTTGCTGAGAGGAGTTGATAGCCTACGAGGATGGTGGTGAGGAACGGTAGGAGTCGTGAACGGGGTCTACGTGGGCACGCGGTGACTCATCCCGACCCATACAAGTTCTAGCAAGCGCCTCGTATCCCAAGCAAGACGTCGTATTCCAAGCAAGACGTCGTATCCCAAGACATTTTTTTCTCGTCAAAACACGACGTATACCAAATTCGACGTATTCCACAGCCGAGGTATGACTGTATTTACATTACCCCCCCCCCCCCACGCAGAAGCTGTCCCCGTTCCCCGCGTCCCCGCTGCGCCGGCGCCCGCAGTCGGCCGACACCTTCGCGATGTCGCGCTCGCTCACCCCGGCGCTCGACGGCCTCGCGTGCGGCCTCGCCAGCCACCAGCAGCAGCTGCTGCTGGTGGCCGGACAGCGGCACGCCGGCGCCGGACCCTCCGCGGGCCTCCGCGGCCCTCCCGGCAGGGGCTCGGGTCCCGTGGACGACAGCGGCGGCTACGCGGGAGGCCGGTCGCTGCCGCCGATGACGCCGCCGGCGCCGCCTGCCGCGCTGTCGCGCTCCTTCGCCAGCTTCCACTACCCCGGCGCCCTCGGCCGCAGCCTCATCCCCGAGAGCCCCGAGGGGCCCGGCGCCGGCGAGGAGGAGACGGCCCCGGCGGGGCACGACAGGTGTGCGCGGGGGGGGGGGGGTCACGCGGGGGGGGGGGGTCACGCGGGGGGGGGCCGCGCGGGGGGGGGGGGCGCGGGGGCGGGGCCGCGCGGACCTGCGCAGCGTGGCCGCCGTTGAGCCGAGGAAGCGACCGCCTCCCGTTACGAGGAGGAGGGGGTGCAGGAGTGGGAGGGAGGGGGGGAAGGAGGGGGAGAGGGAGGGGGAGAGGGAGGGAGAGAGCGAGGAAGAGGAGGGGGGGAGGAGGGGGGGAAGGAGGAGGGAGGGGGAGAAGGAGGGGGAGGGGGATAAGGTGAGGGAGGGAGGGGGAGAGGGAGGAGAAGGAGGGGGAGGGAGGGAGGGAGGGAGGAGGATGGGAGGGAGGGAAGGAGGGGGAGGAGGTTATTTGCTGTGTGTCTCTGTCTCCCCCGCAGGGCTCCGGAAGCCAGCAGCTCAGGACCAGCCGCGGCCGCCCAGCCAGCAGAGTCCCCCGTCAAGGCGGCAGAGGTCGGTACACGGCACGCAGAGCGTCACGCTGTGCACGGCACGGTACACGACACGGTACACGACACGGTACATGGCACGGTACACGGCACGGTACACGACACGGTACACGGTACACGACACGGTACACGACACGGTACATGGCACGGTACACGGCACGGTACACGACACGGTACACGACACGCAGAGCGTCACGCCGCGCACGGGCACACGGCGCGCAGTTGAGAGTGGATGATGGGGCATGGTTGGTCGTGGGGGGTGGTGGGGGTGGGGCACGGTCGGTCATGGGGGGGTGGTGGGGGTGGGGCATGGTAGGTCATGGGGGGGTGGTGGGGGTGGGGCATGGTAGGTCATGGGGGGTGGTGGGGGTGGGGCACGGTAGGTCATGGGGGGGTGGTGGGGGTGGGGCACGGTAGGTCATGGGGGGGTGGTGGGGCACGGTTGGTCATGGGGGGGGTGGTGGGGGTGGGGCATGGTTGGTCATGGGGGGGTGGTGGGGCACGGTTGGTCATGGGGGGGGTGGGGGGGTGGGGCATGGTTGGTCATGGGGGGGGTGGTGGGGGTGGGGCATGGTTGGTCATGGGGGGGGTGGTGGGGGTGGGGCATGGTCGGTCATAGGGGGGTGGTGGGGGGTGGGGCATGGTTGGTCATGGGGGGGGGGTGGGGGGTGGGGCATGGTAGGTCATAGGGGGGTGGTGGGGGTGGGGCATGGTTGGTCATGGGGGGTGGTGGGGGTGGGGCATGGTAGGTCATAGGGGGGGTGGTGGGGGTGGGCATGGTGGTCATGGGGGGGGTGGTGGGGTGGGGCACGGTCGGTCATGGGGGGGTGGTGGGTGGTGGGCATGGTAGGTCATGGGGGGGTGGTGGGGGTGGGGCATGGTAGGTCATAGGGGGGTGGTGGGGGTGGGGCATGGTAGGTCATGGGGGGTGGTGGGGGTGGAGCACGGTCGGTCATGGGGGGTGGTGGGGGTGGGGCATGGTAGGTCATGGTGGGGGTGGTGGGGGTGGGGCATGGTAGGTCATAGGGGGGTGGTGGGGGTGGGGCATGGTAGGTCATAGGGGGGTGGTGGGGGTGGGGCATGGTAGGTCATGGGGGGGTGGTGGGGGTGGGGCAAGGTAGGTCATGGGGGGGTGGTGGGGCACGGTTGGTCACGGGGGGGGGGGGGTCCAGGGTGGTGCATCGGCGATCGTGGGAGACTCTGCGCCTGACGCCGTCCACTTCCCGCAGCCGCGCGACTCGACGGAGCAGCAGTTTGCCGAGTACTGCCGCCAGCGCCTGCGCTACCAGCAGCACCTGGAGGCGCAGGAGTCCCAGCGCCAGCTCTACCAGGCCATGCTGCTGGAGGGGGGTGTGGCCGCCACTGACGCCGCCCCCGCCCACCCCAGCGCGCGCCAGCAGCGGCTCACCGATCAGTTCCTCAGCCGGTGAGTGGGGCGGTGGGGACGGGGGGGGGGGGGCGTGGGGGGCCGGCGAGCGCTCAGTCGTGTTGCCATCGGGGTGGCGGCGGCGGCGGTGGTGGCTGCCTGTGATCCAGCAGCGTTATGTTGAACTTGTTTAGCACAATACGTTGCTAACCGTGCTAATAAATGCGTCTCTATGCGTCTCCTATGGGTGTCTCCTATGGGTGTCTCCTATGGGTCTGTATTGATGTACGTATGTGTATGTATGTTGAACTTCTTTCGCACCGTACGTAGCCAACCGTGATGGTCTATGGGTCTCTCTATGGGTCTTTGGGTGTTTCTGTGGATCTCTATGGGCCTGGGTGTCTGTGAGTTTCTGTATATGTATGTTGAACTTCTCTCGCACCGTACGTAGCCAACCGTGATAATCTGTGGGTCTGTGGTTCTCTATATGGGTCTTTGAAGGTCTCTATGTGTCTCTGGGTGTTTCTGTGGATCTCTATGGGTCTGGGTGTCTGTGGTTTTCTGTATATGTATGTTGAACTTCTCTCGCACCGTACATAACCAACCATGCTAATCAGAGGTGCGCGGGAGGGGAAGGATAACAAACTAAACGCAACAAGTTTGTTGTGTGGAGGCAGCAGCAGCCAGGGTTGGTGGATCACCGCACAGATGGGGCTATGAAACTCCCTTCTACCCGTGGGTGGGTGTCGAAAAGGAGCCATACCCCTGGCTCACATGAGAAGGCAGTACAGAAAGCAGACTAAATCACCGTCTGTGTATTCCCTCTGTACGGGGGATAGAGCGTTGCCTCCCCGCGCAGGGCTTGGGATTTCTCCGGGCGCTCCGGTTTCGTTCCACACGTGTGTAAATCAACACAACTCATCATGGATTTGGCTAAAAATGTCTTGCAAATACGAAGCCAATGCAGTGGCAGGACCCTCCTGGCTAGGCCCCGTTGGCTACGTACGGTGCGAAAGAAGCACAACATACTTACATACCTACATAAACTAAACTTTAAAATGTAAACTATATTTATTTTACCAGGTAAGGCCCACTGAGCTATGTAGCTCTTTTTCAGAAGATGTAAAAATAGGGGGGAAACGCGAGAGCTCGGGACGCTGGGAGTGCAGGGAATCCTTGAAGAGAGAGAGAGTGTCTCGTGCCTAAAGAAATAAAGCCTCGTATTTGTCACTGCTACACAAACTCTATTTCCGCTCACAGTTTTAGTAACTGGTGTGTGCCCTGTGGTTTGTCGCCTGCCTCGCACCCGATGCACACACAGGTCAATGCAGAAGCTGGAGGAGATGACCGTGAGCATGGAAGGCCTGAGCCCCGACCTGCAGCAGTCACTGGGCCTGGGTGAGTGAGGCTCGTGCCGGTCACATTTTGAACCCCCGACGCCCCCCTCCCGTTTGTGCCCTCGGTGGCGGAGCCGCCGAGTCCTCAGCCCAACCCCGGCCCCAAGCCCGTCTCTCGCACTCGACGCACAAACACATTCGCCGGAACCCGACGCCCTGACGCCGCCGATGCCGCCGCAGATCCGGTGACCGCCGAGGCGTTCGCGCCGGCTAGGCCTTCCCACGAGGGCAGCGCCCTTCAGCGCGGCGGCGCTAACGGTACGCGGCCGGGCGCCGGCGACGACGGCGGCGCCGGTGGCGGCGGCGGCGATCGGCCGGACGTGGAGGCCGGCGGAGCCCAGAGCAGCACGCCGCGGAAAGGCTCAACGCCGACAAGGGTGCCCCGTCCACAGGAGTCGCCCGTGCGATTCGCTGACAAGTGAGTGTGAGCGTGGGGGGGACGGTGGGGGGGTCAGGGGAGGGGCGGGCGGGGGGGGGCGGTCGTGTGAGCGGTCAGAGGGGGGGGCGTCGGGGTTATATGGGGGTCAGGGAGGGGGGTCAGGAGGGGGTCGGGGGGGCTCTCCCCAGCCCCCCAGGAGGTTTGTGGGTGCCCGGTGCCCAAGGCTTCTCAGTTCTCAGTGCCCTCACCCCCAGTGCGCTTTCCACTCTCTCAGGGTTCGGGGGCAGCGGATCCCAACCGCTGTGAGCGTGCGGACGCCTCTAAAACGTCCAAACATTCCCACCACCACCACGCTACTACTAGTTAGGGGCTATACATTGAGTACGTACGCATGGAGGGGAGTGAGGGGGGTTAACCCAAATGCGTATGGGGGGGGTCTCCTGACAATGTCCGTACGCATAGGAAACGGGATGGGTGGGGGGGTGGGTGAAGCCTCGATAATAATTTGTCTACATTGGCCTTCAGATGAGTTAGATAGTCCGGCGGTGGACTATCTGTTTGCTTAAACACGTTAATATTATTAGTTATTGATCGTTTCTGCGTGGATTAAATATTGGCCGTTCTATAGGATTCGGTGGGGGGGGGGTGTAAAAAGTCTGCGTGCGTACAGGGAGGGGGTGAGGGGTCAAGTTTTGACAGATTTTTGCGTCCGTACTGAATGGATGGCCCCTAAACGGCGTTCCCTCCTTCGTCACGAACTCGCTCTCCGCGATTCTGGATGTCCGCGAATCGCGTCCGGGATCTCTGCACGACTGCCGCATCAAGAGAAAAAGAATGCGATGATAATGTAGTGATGAAAGAGAAATTGGTGTGAGAAATTGATGTGGTAAAGTGATGATGATGCTACTCTGCAGCATCATCACCATTTAAGGTGAGATAAAGATTTATTTAACTTCATGTTCATCATAACCAATTTACATTTTTTGTTTCACGATAATTTTCATTTATTTAATAGCCAATTTTCGTATGTTTTAAGGTAATGACGGATTTCCCGAGGCCAACATCATTATCCGCGAAAATCGGCTATTCACCAGCATCTTGTACATTTCCGTGGCGAGGCTGTTTATTTAGCTTTTTCCGTGGTTCCCCGTCGTAGTAGTAGTAGCCTCGCGGGCCACAGGTTTGGGAACCGCTGGGTCAGGGGTTAGGGCTTTGTTAGGGTTGTTAATCGCCCAGTGCAGGCAATGGCGGAGCCAGGATTTTCAGGTAGAGTGGGCAACCCCTCCAGCAAAGAGAAATGATAGAGGAGTTGTTAGTAAGTAATGAGTTGTTAGTAAGTAAGGGACTTGTCCCTTGCTTTTTATTCGACGCGTTTGCGGCGATGGCACAGCCATCGATCGAGGGTCGAATTCGAACCACGTTGTGTGATCGGCATCGCGCTCGCTGAAGGGAAGTCGTGTGCTGTATGCGCAACTGCGCACAATTCTGTGAGTCTCGTATAACTGCTTTGCCGTTACTTATTGCCAATTATGGACTCAGACTATTATCCTATCATCTCATAGAGTCCCTGGCACGTAATAATATGTTACACAGTGGCAGTGGGGGTCGCAAAATGCCGATTTATTGCTAATAAACCCCAATGATCCGATCGAAATGAGGGATTTTGATCGGATCATTGGGGGGGCACATGCCACCCCCCCCCCCCGCGGCTCGGGAGCCGTGTGCGCGAGGGCTCTCTAAGGAGCGCCATCTCGTGTTCGCCACGTGCATTGCGGCTCTGGGAATGTTGAGGGGTTTCATTTATTCCCATTAACTCCTCGTGGCTGTGTCCAGGCTGGGGGTGTCTGGGCGGCTTGAGGACTCGGGAGGCGCTACCAGGAGCTCCGCGCGGGACGAGCAGGTGAGACCGCCACTGTGTGTGTGCGAGCGTGAATACGGGGGATCTTTGTCTTTATTTGTCTTTGTGTCTCTGTGTGTGCGTCACCCGTGTGCGTGTTTGCGTCACCCGTGTGTGTGTGTGTCACCCGTGTGTTTGTGTGCCTGTGTGTGCGTCGCCCGTGTGCGTGTGTGCCTGTGTGTTTGCGTCACCCGTGTGCGTGTGTGTGTGTGCGTGTGTGTGCGTGTCTGTGTGTGCGTGCCAGGAGAGTGACGACCGCCCCTTTGTGGCGGTGACCACGCTTGAGGACGCTCAGGCCGTGCGCGCCGTCGCCTTCCACCCGGGCGGGCAGCTGTACGCCGTCGGCTCCAACTCGAAGACGCTGCGTGTGTGCGCCTACCCAGACTCCTTCTCCTTCCGGTGCCGCACACACACACACGCGCACGCACACACACACACGCGCACACAGACACACACGCGCACACAGACACACACGCACGCACACACATGCACACGCACACACGCACGCACACACATGCACACGCACACACACACACACGCACGCACACACACGCACACAAACAAAGACACATACGTACAGCCAGACATACAACAACAACAACAACCGCCATTCGCCACTAAGTGGCGGTGACGTCACCACGATGCTTGTGCCAGGCCAAGTGCACCTTGAGGCCACGTGAAGTGTCGAAAGCCCGCTGACAGGAGGTCACGGGGCAGACCCAGGTGCCACGGGTCGACTGACCGAGATGACCGAGATGACTGGCTGATGCACCACCTGTGCCCCCTACTGTGCCGACTTGCTGTGCTTTAGCCACCCGGCGCTCCGCTCGTTGTTGTGAGCGTCGCTCCTCCGCCCTCCGTTGTTGTTGGAGGGCGACTGCCTCCAACTGCCCAGTAGCGTCCTTCACGAGCCTCCTCCACTGAGGCCGATCTTGACACCGCTGGTACCAGTCATCGGCAAGTCCACTCAGCTCCACGTCCTCCTGTACCACATCACTCCATCTCTTCTCCAGCCCGTGCCGCGCCCGTCTAGCCCCCTCGATCCGGCCGAACAAAAGCTGTTTAGGCATTCGGTGGCTGGGCATGCGGGCTACATGACCCAGCCAACGCAGCCTTGCCTGCCGGAGGAGCTCACTGATGGGACTTTGCCCAGATCTTTCAAGGATTTGTGAGCTCCTCACACAATCCAGCCTGGTTAAACCCAGGATGGATCGTAGGCAGGCCAGCCTAAATGTTTCCAACCGGCGAAGATGCTCCACCAGGGGGGTCCACGTCTCGCAAGCGTAGAGAAGGGAGGGAATGACCGTGGCCGAGAAGACCTGAAGCTTCGTGCGGAGCGACAGACCAGGTAGGTTCCACACAGCGTTACGCAACCGATGAAAAGATATTGCCGCTCGACTGATTCGGAGTGAGACCTCTGCTGATAGACTGGAGCCGGTCATAAGCACACTGCCCAGGTATGGGAAACTCTCCACTCTCTCCACAACTGCCCCATCACCAATTGGGAGTTGTGGGGGTGGAGTGTCCGATGGTACAAAATACCCAGGCAGGTGCTTAGTTTTGGTGGGGCTGATGGTAAGGCCCCACCTCTTATTGGCACGCTCCAGTCTCAGCAGCAGCATCTCCAACTCCTCTTCTGAATGAGCAGCTATTACCAAATCATCGGCATACATAACATGGTTGACCAATAGGGAGCCATCCCTTGATCGCACCCGGGCGTCGATCAGCCTCCCATTATATCTGTACCAAATGGAAATTCCCCCGGTACAGCTATTGAGGGCTTCACAAACTACGCGGTCAAAATAGATGTTAAATAATGTGGGAGCCAGAGGACATCCCTGTCGCACCCCAAGGTGTACAGGGAAAGGCTCCGACTCCCGGCCACGTAGTTTTACCCGGGCCCGCTCACCATCATGAAGGTCCTTAATGATCGTGAGCAGAGGGTCAGGGACTCCGAAAGCACGAAGAACAACCCAGAGCCCAGTCCTACTGATGGTATCATAGGCCTTGACCAGGTCAATAAAGCAGAGATGTAGGTCTTTTTGGAATTCCCTACACCTCTGCTGTAGCAGACGGACAGAAAATATGGCATCTGTGCAGGACCGCCCTTTCCTGAAACCGCATTGGGGCTCCGCAAGCCTCTCCTCAGCGTGCCTAGCAAGGCGATGTTGAATAATCCTTGCCAGGACCTTACCCGGCACACTGAGGAGTGAGATGCCCCTGTAGTTGTTACAGTCGGTACGGTCCCCCTTCTTAAAGAGGGGGACCACCAGGGCATCCTTCCAGTCCTGCGGAACCCGTCCAGTGGTCCAGACTGTTGTTATGATGTCATATAGGGCAGTCTGTGCACAAACGCCACCCTCCCTCAGCATTTCGCTTGGGAGATCATCTCTGCCCGATGCCTTCCCTGGTCTCAGACTCCGGATTGCCCTCAGTACTTCCTCAACAGCTGGCACCTCAGCCAGCCACTCACAGGGGGTGACCTCTTCCAATATTTGAGGCACCGCAGCCTCAGCAGGGTTATCACCACTTTGTGCCATGATGTTTTCCTGGCTGAGAGAATTTCCCTCCCCCAGGACCTCACAGAAATGCTCAGCAAATCTGCAAACCTGTTCCTGGGGGTCGGAGATTGGATCACCGTTTTTTCCTCTAATGATGGTAATAGGTGTGGCGCTGCAGGTTACTTTTTTGATGGAGTTAAATAGTGATTTGTGATCACGGGCCACTGAGGCAGACTCCATCTCCTCAGCAACCCGCGACCACCACCCATCCTTACAGCGCCTTACGGCTCTCCGAACTTCCGAGCGAAGGCTGCGGTAAACCTCCTCATTCTCTGACGTGGGATGCTGTAGGCGATGAGAGTGGGCCTGACGCTTTTCCTCAATTAACCTGAACACCTCCTCTGTCAGCCAGGGTTTCTGTGGAGGTCTGGACCGCGTACCCAAAGCAGCCATTGCAGCTGCATGAGTCACAGTCTTAAACCTCGCCCATTTCCCCTCAACATCAGGTGGAGTGGGGGACGATGCCAACCCCAGCTGCAAGCGATGATGAAATTCTTGCTTGCAACTTTCATCAGCTAACTGAGACCAGGCCACTTTTGGTTGGAATGGGATCCTGGGTGTACACCCACCACCGGAGTGGAAGAAAGGCAGGCGCATCTTACAGATGACTAGTCGATGGTCAGAGGACAGATCAGCTCCACGGTAGGTCCTGGTGTCAAGGACATGGGTTCGCATCCGCTGGTCCGTCACTATGTAGTCCAGCAGATGTTCTTGCTTGGACCCGGCATGTATCCATGATGTTGTGTGGATGCGCCGATGCCGGAAGAGCGTGTTGGTAATTACAAGCCCATGGGCTGCACAAAAATCTAGCAGCCTCCTACCGTTATTATTGAGCTGATCTGGCCCATGCCTTCCAATCACTCCAGACCAGGTATCAGCATCATGACCAACTCGGGCATTGAAGTCACCCAACAAGATGACTCTGTCCCGAGTGGCCACTTTAGCCAGCACCTGTGACAGGAGGTCATAGAAAGAGTCTGACTCATCGGCTTTGCCTGCATCCCTCCACGGATGTTCGTCTTCGGTGGGGGCATAAGTAACCACGACCACCACTCCTCGCCTCTGGTTGATGGGAAGGCGAGCCCAAAGTATCCTGGGGCTTACAGCTTCCCACACCTCACCGCCACGCTCCCACGCCCCCTTCATTCTTTTGTTCAGAAGAAGAGCCACACCCTGTTGTTTGGCAGTCTCCTGCCCCGAGTAGAGGACTGTCCACCCCTCATGGTGGCAGGAGCCAGAACCGGTCCACCGGACCTCCTGAATGCCACAGAGATCCAGGCGGTACCGGTCCAGCTCTCGACAGAGGAGTGGCAGCCTCTCCTCCGCAGTGAGCGTTCGAACATTCCACGTGGCCATCCGCAATGGTTTTTTGTTGTTTCTGGAGGAGCCCCAAGGGTGAAAATTCTATCTCCTGGCTCCGCCAAATGGGGTTTGGCCAGGAGACGTCATAAAAGCCTGACCCCCCGGGGCCTCCGGCACAAGCTTATTTGTTACAGGTTTATGTTTAATTCGTGGTTTAGTGGTGGTTAATTGAAGGTGGAGGGGTTACCAGCCCCTCACACCCGTCCAGAGCCCCCGTTTAGCCACTGTGGTGGTCACAGACGCCATGAGGGGAGAGGGCCAATGGGCATTGGCCCTCCCCCCACAGCACTGCCCACGACAGTGTTGCCCGTCCGGCACCGCGAGGAGGTAGGAGGTTGTTTTGCCGGACATACACACACACACATACACACACGCACACACACACGCACACAGGCACATCCACACACACACATACACAGACACATCCACACACACACATACACGCACACAAAGACGGCCACATAGACACACCCATTCCCGCCATTCACCACTGAGGGGCGCCTGTGCCAGTCTCGGTGCACTTTGAGGCCATGTGAAGTGACGAAGGTTCACTGCTGTTACTGGACAGACCCTGCAGGTGCTATGGGTTGATTCACTGAGATGAATGGCAGATGCACCAGCTGTGTACCCCCTACTGTGCCAACTTACACACTTTACTCTCACCCCCAAAGACAAAGATAAAGGTCCCCCGTATAGGGTTAGCAGGCTGTTGGGGCAAGTGCTGTTAGCGAGCAACTATGAAGGCCGGCACGGCACACGAGGGTGTGTGTGGCCAGCAGCACCGCGCCCGACCAACTTTGTCTCCCCAGTGGCGATGTTTACGTCACACCGCACCGGGCTGCGTGCACGCTCGCCAACAACCCTTGCCCCGATGATCCGTTGAGGCTGTACGGGGGGGTGGATCTTTGTGCGTGCAGTGACGACCAGGAGGTGCGGGCTCCAGCCGTGCGCTTCAAACGCAACAAGCACCACAAGGGCTCCATCTACTGCGTGGCGTGGAGCCCCCGCGGGGACCTCCTGGCCACCGGCTCCAACGACAAGTGTGTCAAGGTGCTGCCCTTCAGCGCCGACACCTGCAACGCCGTGGGTACGTGGCACGCACGCACGCACGGTGGCACACACATGCACGGTGAGACGCACACATGCACGGTGGGACGCACACACGCACGGTGGCACGCAGACATGCACGGTGAGACACACACATGCACGGTGGGACGCACACATGCACGGTGGGACGCACACACACGCACAGTGGACGCACGCGGTTCGCACAGGTAGGGCCCACTGAGCTACGTTGCGCTTTTGCAGAATCGAACTGTCCACAAATAGTTCAACGAAGTGGCTTATCATCAGCATTTAGAAATTTATAGGAGCAGCCAAATAATCTAAACGTATATTCTTTGGGTCTCTCGGTAAAGCCACGTAGATGGAAAAATAATAAAAATATCACATTTTCATCGCAATCATCAGGTGACGATTGCTTGTGTTGCGATCGAAACGTCGTGATATTTTTATTTTTTCTATCTACGTGGCTTTACCGAAAGTCCCAAAGAATATGAATTCCTGCAGTCACGAAAGCTTCAAATCAAAATTTTATCTGAACGTATGTTGCTTCTACAGACTCATAGACCCATACAGACCCACTAAGGCCCACAGAGACCCATACTCAAAGAGACTCATAGAGACCCAGAGACATCCAGAGACTCATATAGAACCGTAGAGACCCACAGAAACTCACAGATACCCATAGAGACCAATGCTAAAACAAACAAAAAATCTTGCCGGGTAAGCCCCACTGAGCGAATACAGAGCTCTTATTTTAGAAACGACCTGGCCACAAATGATAGGTCGACAAAGTGGCCTTATCATCACGTGTACATTTCTAGCAGCCAAATGACTTTACATGCACACTAGCATAAGTACCCGGCGTTGCCCGGGTGAAAAATATATTTCTTAAAAACCTTACATATATACACAGATGGGCTGCTACCCCTGCCCCCCCCAGCCACGATCTCCTCGGCCGCTGTGCAGTAATATGTACGGCCTATAGTGTGGTGGGGGAATTGACGGCAGGAACTTCTTGACGGGAACACACTTTTATTAAATCTTTACGTATCAAAATACAACGTGTAGTCTCCTTTCTTCCGACTTCACACTCCACTACTCTCGTGTAAACTCTAGGCCTCTGGCTACACACGATACCCTTCACTCGTGTAGACCCTACGCCTCTGGCTACACAATACACTCGACTCGTGTAGACCCTATGTCCCTGGCTACACAATACACTCGACTCGTGTAGACCCTATGTCCCTGGCTACACAATACACTGCATTCGGCTCGTGTAGACCTTACGCCTCTGGCTACACACACTACACTCGCCTCTGGGTTACACAGAGTCCCGGTCCCGTTAGGACAGCGGGACTAGGTACCGCAGGGCCCTAGGTCTTCATCCCCGTCTTCATTCTTCGCTGGTTACACCCTGCCCTCACGCCTGTGTGCATCCCCTTTTATAGACCCTGCTCACGAGAGGCGGAGCTGATGCGTACTTCAACGTGAGCATCACTCCTTAATGAACCAATCACGACGCACTCTCTCTACGATCCGTTTTCCCCAGCGCGTGTTAACACTCCTCCACCAATCACACCGCGCTGCCACCCGATCACTCCCTCTCAGCACGTCACCCGTCCACAGCCAATCAGTACCCCGTAACCCACGACCCCGCGCTGACCCCTGATCCTCCACCGTCAGCGCACGTCACCACCTACACAGCCAATCATTACGCGCTGGCATACAATCTCTAATCCCAGCGCGTATCACCTCTACAATAGTAATAGCACACATTGGGGTGGGGGGGGAGTGAAAAGGACGTGAAACTTTGATGAATTTACCTCAGAGTCGCGTGTTAATGCGTGCGCATATTTTTTACGTGAATTAAAAATGGCGTCCACCCCGCAGCGAATGCGTCGCTACCCATTGCCAGGGGCAACCGCCGTCCAATGAAACTGCGTATGGTCCGGCGACACACAGACAGACAGATTTGCGATTTTATATATATAGATTTCTAATATACAGGATCGGGATCGAACCCACGACCTCCTGAATACGCCCCCCCACCTCCACCCACCCCAGGGCCTGACCTGGAGTTCAGCATGCACGACGGGACCATCCGTGACCTGGCGTTCCTGGAGACGCCCGACAGCGGCGCTCCCGTGCTGGTGAGCGCGGGAGCCGGCGACTGCAACATCTACACCACGGACTGCCGGGCCCGCCAGGGCCTGCACGCACTCAGCGGGCACACGGGTACGTGCCGACGGACACACGGTCTACTCGCGAATCGCGCGGCTGACTCGCAAACTGTCCGTGCGTGCGCGCATGCCCCGTGTGCGTGTGCGTGTGTGTGAAATTGTGGTGACTCATTAGGGAGACGGCATGGCGCTGGCCATCCAAACCCCCCGCGCTCGTGCGCCGCGCCCGGCCTTCACAGCTGCTGCTGCTGCTCTTGCTCGCTGACAGCACTTGCCCCGACGGTCTTAGCAAGGCTACGCGGGGGATCTTTGTCCTTGCAGGCCACGTGCTGTCACTGTACGCGTGGGCCGGCTGGCTCGTGGTGTCCGGGGCGCAGGACAAGACCATCCGCTTCTGGGACCTGCGCGTCCCCTCCTGCGTCAGCGTCGTGGGCACCGCTCTCTCCGGCTCGGGTAACGACGCCGCTGAACGGCCGGCAGCCTCCGTCCACCCTGACCCTGACCGCCCCTCCGTTCCGCCGTCTCCGCACCCCGCGCTTTCTCCGGCTCCGTAGCGGCCGTGGCGCAAGGGGTTACCGGCGCCCCCGATTGGCTCTTGTCCCCCCACCAGGCAGCGTAGAACGGCAGTCGATCGGCAGGTCGCGTGCGGGTGGGGTAAAGCGTGGCTACGCGGGGGACCTTTGTCTTTGTGTACACGCGTAGCGGGGAGCGGGCAGTGTAGGGGTTAGCGCGCGGCGCTACGAACCTCGTGACACGGGTTCAATTCCCGCTCACCGACAACACCATTGACGATTTTCTCAACCGGTCCTGGGCCTCCCCTTAGGGGATTTTTATCCTTGTTGTGGCCTTATGGGGGATCTTTGTCTTTGAACCCCACGACCCGAGTTCAATTTCCACTCACGCTCAACACAGGTGACGATTATTTGAAGCGGTCCTGGGCCTCCCATCGGTCGAGCAGCCTAAAATGAGTACCTGATGCGGTGTGTAAACATCGCCACTGGGGAGACAAAAGGGGGGGGGGCATCTTTGTGCGTGTGTGCGTGTACACGCGGTGTCCCCTCCTTACCTTTGCGTGCGTGTGTGCGTGCGTGCGATGCTCCGGGGGCGACAGCGGGCAGCGCGGTGGCGGCGGTCGCCGTGGACCCGAGCGGGCGGCTGCTGGCGGCGGGGCTGGAGGACAGCAGCTGCGTGCTCTATGACGTGCGGGGCGGCCGCGTCGTGCAGCTCTACCGCCCGCACGCCGCCGACGTGCGCTCCGTGCGCTTCTCCGGCGGCGCGCACTACCTGCTCACCGGCTCCTACGACGGGCGCGCCATGCTCACCGACCTGCAGGGTGAGGGTGGCGGTGGTGGCGGCGGCGGCGGTGGTGGTGGCGGTGGTGGTGGTGGCGGTGGTGGTGGCGGTGGTGGTGGTGGTGGCGGTGGTGGCGGCGGTGGTGGTGGCGGTGGTGGCGGTGGCGACGGTGGCGGCGGTAATGGGGCCCCGGGAACAGCACCTCTAGAGCCCCCCCCCCCCAAACTCATTGGTTTGGTCGAATGTGTCGTAGAGCCCTGATGTGAACAGTGCAGAGCCTGACTATGTTTTTAGGATGGTGGTTATCATGAAGGAGATGATGATGACAATAATGAGATGATGGCGATGAGGATGGTGGTTATCATGAAGGCAATGTCGAATAATGATGATGATCGTGGTTATCATCAAGGCGATGCCAAATGATGATGATGAGACGATGGTGGTGACTGTGGTGGTTATCATGAAGGAGATGATGATGATGACAATAATGAGATGAATGGCGATGAGGAAGGTTGTTATCATGAAGGCCATGCCAAATGATGATGGGACGATGGTGGTTATCATGTAAGAGATGCCAAATCATGATGCTGATTGATGATGGTAATGGGATGGCCTTGTCTGTCTGACTCCCCCCCCCACCACCTCCGCCTGTACCCCCAGGCGACCTGACGAAGCCGCTGCCCGTCACGGTGGCGGCCGAGCACACGGACAAGGTGATACAGTGCCGGTGGCACCCGGAGGACCTGGCCTTCCTCAGCTCGTCCGCCGACAGGACCGTCACCCTGTGGGCCTACAGGGGATAGGCCAATTGCGGGGCACAGCATCGTCGGGGATAGACCAGTCGGGGCGGCGGGGGGGGGGGGGGGGGGCGGCTTCAACGGGGACGACCAATCACGGAGCAGTGGTGACAGCGGAGATAGACCAATTACAGGCCAGGGATATTGGAGGTGGACCGGTTGTTGGGTGGCATCACCGGGAATGGGCCAATCGCGAGGCAGCGCCCGTTGGGGGGATAGAACGAATGACGGAGCGGGATTAGCTAAGATAAACTATTTTTTATTTTACCAGTTAATGCCGACTTAGCTATGTATCTCTGTTTCAAAAGCGACCTGAACGGAGTGGCGTATAATGTGGAGATTGAAAGCAGCCAAATACTCTAAGCGCACGTTGATTCTAAATGTGGAGGGAAACACTAGAGGCCTCAGAAAAATCCACGCGACCACAAGGAGAGAGAAGAGACATGCAAACTCCAAATATACGGCAGGCGTCGGAGTCGTGCGTACCAGGCGAGGTGGTTAACATCTCACCATCGTGGTACCTGAGACGGACCAATTGGTGAACGGAGCCCTCGGGGATACACCAATCATGGAGTAGAATAGACCAGCGATGATCGTGGGGGAGGGCGGGAAAGTATTTGAGAAAAGGCCAATCGGTGGAGAGTACCCCGGTGAGGATAGACCAATCACAGTTGCGGTAACTCGGAGGGAACAAGCCAATTGGTGAAGAGTACACTGTAAGGATAGACAAATCACAGTGGCGGTAACTCGGAGGGAACAAGCCAATCGGTGGAGAGTACCCCGGTGAGGATAGACCAATCACAGTGGCGGTAACTCGGAGGGAACAAGCCAATTGGTGAAGAGTACCCCGGTGAGGATAGACCAATCACAGTGGCGGTAACTCGGAGGGAACAAGCCAATCGGGGGAGAGTACCCCGGTGAGGATAGACCAATCACAGTTGTGGTAACTCGTGCCAATCGGCGGGACAGCACCCATGAGGGAGAGAGACCAGTCATGGGAGGGCGGCCGCCCCAGTTGATTGCGTCGCGCGCTCCGAGTGAACCCCCCACCCCGCTCCTCGACCGATTTATTTTTAAACGACGCCTCAAGGCAAAATAGCGACATCGCGTCGAGCTGAGGGCGGAAGCAAAGGCTGCTGTGGCAGCCGCGTCGGAAGCGTCACCGACTCGTAACGAACCGACGGCCGACTTAACCCCGCTGTTAACCCTTCCCCATTTCGACGGCGTGCACGTACGGTGATGTCCTCCGCCAGTTTTCAGAGGGGGGGGGGGGGGGCCACTTTCGCCTTCATGACATCTCGAGTGTGAGCGAGGGCCGCCACACATTTGAAACCATTGCGGGTTTGTTTGAGAGCAGCATGACGACGATGATGATGACGACGACGACGATGACGCAGGATGCTTTCACTCTTGAGTGTATTGTCGGGGAGGACCGCACGTCAGGGGCCGCACTAAAGGCCCCCAGGGGCCGCTGGTGGGCCGCGTGGCCTTGCAATGAAGAACACCGGTGTGGGTCGTACGTTTTTCTCCCGATGCCATGCCGACTAAGTTCACGTAAAAATGAACCTCATCGGTGCCCGAGGCTCCCACAAGGCCACGCGGGACGGCGTGTGGCACAGCGTTGGCGCCGGCTGTCGTGGAGTGCGGCGGTCGTGCCGCTACGGCTCCCCGCGGCGAGTAACGACGCCTTTAAAAACAACAGCGCTAACCTACTGCGCCTCTCTGATTAAGATTAACGCCGAGCCGCTTGCCGCAGGCGTCTCAGATCGGGGAAAGGGTGTAAAAGAACTCTTAATCTCCATCCTTTACTGGACTACAGCAAAGCACAAACACACACACGCACGGGGCGATCAACTCGAGATGAAACGAATCGCAAAGTTACGGGAAACCGATATCGCGACGCGGACAATTGATCTCGTGAGCGTGTTGTATCGTGAACAAAATTGATATCGCGGCCACCGCCTGTTGCACATCATTCCTGTCAACACGCCCACCAGTCTCTGTATGCGCAGTCGGTTCTCCTGTGCCGCCATGTAGTTTTCAAAACGCGATGAATGTATCGGGGGGGGGGTGGGGGGGGGAACGCATTGTTTTATAACGCGGATGCGAATCGGATAGAACACGAAGTAGGAATAAGTGGTCAGTACGGCTGCCTCGGCGTGGCGTCGCACAAGGCATTGGGATGCTGCTGGATGTTTCTAGATGCTGCCCACGCGCCTCGGTCTTTGTTCGGCCCGCGTCACGCATCTCACGCGTTATCGCTGACTGCGCTTTACCCCTATGTTATGTATTATTTATTACAACGCGATTTTCCCGTCACGCGGCGTTCTTCAGGAGCGCCAACTACTCCCGCGCCATCGGAGAACACGACTGTAATATACTCGCCAGCGGCTGTCGCTCACCGTTCCGCAGGCTCCACTGATCGGGGGCGGCATCCCGAAGCGGCCGTGCTCGCCTGCGCGCGTTTAAGTGTTCCTATTTAATGTTGTAATATTTAAAGCGGTCGTTTTATTTTTTTGCGTGGCGTGTGTTTGTCGTGCGTGGCAATGCCGGGGGGGCGCATTTGCCCCGGCCCCTCCGCCCGCGACGCCCTTCCTCCCGTGCTGTGGTTGTTGAGCGGTGGTTACGGCAGCGATCGATCGGCGGCAGGCGCGTTCGCGCGCGCGCAGGGTTCAATAAAACGAGAGGGGTGCCGGCGATCGCCTTGCGTTGCGGTGCTTTGTGCCGAACGGACGCGGAGTTCGGGGGGGAGGGTGTGGGGGGAGGGGGGGTTTCGCGTCACCTTACACCAGAGGTCGCAATCGGATACCCATACCCTACCCGACACCCGGCCGGGTACGGGTACCGGTTTGCGACCCTGGAGCGGCCGGGTACGGGTACGGAGGAGGCCATGAGTCACTGGTGAGTAACCGTTTGTCGCTCATTTCGGGTAGGGTACGGGTACGGGTAGCGTACGGGTACCCGTACCCGGCCGGGTACGAGTACCCGTTTGCGACACTGGTGTGGCCGGGTACGGGTAAGAAATCAAAACCCGTTTGCGACCTCTGCCTTACACGGCCTGAGTCCCAAGCTATCACTCCGCCCGCACTGCGTACCTCCAATTAGCGCGAAGCGTTGCGAAAGAAGTTCAACATACGTCTTGCTGTGGATTTCACACCTGATGACGATTGCTTGTGTTGCAGTCGAAACGTCGTGAGAATTTTATTGTTTTATATATTTTTATTATTTTATTATTTCCCTTCTACGTGACTTTACAGAAAGAACCAAGACTATACGTATGTACGTACGTGCCGGGCCCACGCCGGTCACCCGCGGGTTCGCGTTGAGAGTGGCTGAGCTGGTACGACCGAGGTTAAATGGTAACAGGCCGTCTACGGCCTGTACCACCCACGGTGGTCTGTGCTCCTGCAACGGAGGAGAAGGAGGGACATTGACACTGCACGAACTCTCAGTCTAAGCCCTCTCGTCGTAACTAACGATGCTACAAGTCAACTTTATACTGGTAGGAACCCACTGGTTTCACCAGCCCACAGGGGATTATTGTGTCCGTCCGTCCGTTGTGCATCCAAAAATGGGAGGGGTGGGGCTGCGTGGAGAGGGGAGGGGCTGGGTGGGGGAGGGGAGGGGCTGGGTGGGGGGTGGGAGGGGTGGGGCTGAGTGGGGAGGGGCTGGTCACCCCGTGGTGCCCTTATAAAACTCAACGTTTAACCTACTCACGCCGGCTTGTGCCCGCCCTCACAGTAGGGCATATTTGTGGAATACAGCACGCCGCCGTTGACCCTGGCCATTGACCGAGCAACCCAACGTTCCTACCAGCTCCCTCCACAGGAATGTGTTTTTTACCAGGTAAGGCCCACTCGGCTATCTACGTAGCGCGCTCTTTTTCAGAAGTGACCTGGCCACAAACGATCGCTCAACAAAGTGGCTTTTCACCTGGAGATTTATCGCCGCAGCCAAAGACTCTAAACGCGTGACGTTGATTCTAAATGTGGAGGGAAAACCCCGCAGGACCGTGGAGAAAACATCCACGCGACCACCACGAGGACCTGAGAGAGACGCGCAAATTCAAATTACACAGGCGTCGGGATCGAACCCCATGACCTGCGTACCAGGCGAGGGAGCTAACATCTTCTCGCCACCACGGCCAGCAGACCTCACCAGTGGCATTTGGCTGCTAAATACATCGCTGCTGCTGCCATCAAGCGCAAGAACAGATTAAAACCGCCGAGGTCCTTGGATAAGGATTTGGATCTTCTGCCACTTCCTGGGATTAAGATGAAAGTGCAGTGAGTCAGTGGTCTTCGTCAGACCACCAAAGACTACACACACACACATAAGTAATATTACTGGTAGGAACCTCCTGGTTACACCAGCCCACGGGATTATTGTGTCCGTCCGTCGTGCATCTAAAAATGGGAGGGGTGGGGCTGGGTGGAGAAGGGAGGGTGGGGAGAGGCTGGTCACCCCGTGCTGCCCTTAAACGTTTAACCTACTCACGCCGGCTTGTGCCCGCCCTCACAGTCGGGCATATTAGCGGAATACACCACGCCGCCGTTGACCCTGGCCATTGACCGAGCAACCCAACGTTCCTACCAGCTCCCTGCGCAGGATTGTGTTTGGAAAATCTTTTTTTAAAAACACGCTTTAATGAAATGTACCGTACTCGTAATGGCAGAACTCCAGGAAGTGGCCCCGAAGCTTGCCACAACGTAAGGGGCTGTGGTGATTTACAGTCAACGTCAGTTGAGTGTGGACAATTAGACCCAAGCCGAAACATAACATAAAAAATAATGTTTAAAAATATGTAATTTATATTTTTATGATAGAATATAGTATTGTCATCAGTATGACATAAGTATAGCAAATTTGCAGTCGATACCACATTGGAAAGTGGGTTAAAATTGAGTTACAAGATTTGAGGATACAACAACAGGCAGTGAGTTAATAAAAAGCGTGTAATAAAAAAGTTAACATTACAGTTTCAATTTGATTCTCTACTGGATTGACGTCAATTCGAGCTGTGATGATTTCCCAAATCTGTCCCGCGACGAACATTCTGCTGATGTACAAAGTGCGTGCCTCGAACTGTGTGGACCAGAGATTGTTTTTGCCGTTATTTGTTAAGTCTTATTAGAACGAGTAAAAGTGTTACTTTAATTTCTAACAATCTGGCCATCGCCCGATGAAGCCGGTTGTAATCGGCAGTGAAACGTCGTTTACCTCGGATTGTAAATGTTGCGGGTGAATTTAATTGATTTTTTATCTTGAAATAAATTAATAATAATTCATAAAGGTGTCCAGCCCATGGGATAAATACTAAACTTGAACGTCACTGGGTCAACGCACCGGTTACATGCAGACTTGTTGATGCCTTGCAATCGGCGTGTGTCTAATTTGGTGTTTGAACATCTTAGCACACCTCCTGTTTAATCGCCACAACAAATGGTGTAAAGCCTATTGTTATTTTTTTTCATCACCCCAAGTTATCACTCAATAACTTGTACGTCAATTTCGATTTAAAGCTTTCGTGGCTGCAGGGATTCATATTCTTGGTTCTTTCGGTAAAGTCACGTATAAGGGAAATAATAAAAAAATAAAACGTATTTTTTTTTCCTTCTAAAAATGTAAAAAATGTATTACATTTTTATTATTTTATTATTTCCCTTCTACATGATTTTACCGAAAGAACCAAGAAAACTTATACATAGTGGCTCCAACCGCCTCTAGTCATAGGGATTAATCTCACGAGTTGGACACCTTTGTAGATTTATTTCCAGTAGTTTATAATGAAAATATAAAACATTAATTATATTCACCCGCGATTCCTAATATGAGGGACAACGCGAAATCCTGCTCCCACCCACAAATCTACAAGTCACACTCCTATCAGATGTGGGCGCCACGGTGGCTAGGAGATGTTAACTACCTCGCCTGGTATGCAGGAGGTCGTGGGCATCGATCCTGACCCCGACTCCAGCTGTATATTTAGAGTTTGCATGTCTCTTTCACCGCGGCCGCATGGAAATTCCTGCACATCCGTTTTCTCCCTCCACATTTATACTCAACAACATGACGCGTTCAGAGTATTTGGCTTCTGCTCGACATTTCCACGATGAGCCAATTTGTTGCGCTGTCATTTGTGATAGCCAGGTCGCTGGAGATGAACACTCCGTGGGAAGGGTTCACCTGAATTCGCCCCTGTCTATCGAGGCGAGCGTGGGTTTGTATTCTATGTGCGCAGTGTGCCATGAAGAAGGACCATTACCTGAAACGTCCCCTGTTGTATAATTTCATTTTTAGGCCACAGTATTTTCAACAAATGATTTTATGATAATTGGTTCTTTACCCTTCTATCTGGCAACAAAACTGACACCTTTTTGCAAGGAGTCATGTTTGCATAGACCGCAATACCTGCAGTCATAATGTTCTTTTGTTTGTATTATGACTGCAGGTATTGCGGTCTATGCAAACATGACTCCTTGCAAAAAGGTGTCAGTTTTGTTGCCAGATAGAAGGGTAAAGAACCAATTATCATATTTTTACTGGCAAATGAGGTCCCCATAGTGTAAATGATTTTATATATACACTGACGTTTTGCAGTGGGCAGATCTGAAGTTAATATGTTATTCATTTGCAATAACGTTTTTATTTCTCCAATAAAAATGCACAAATGTAGGTGGTCAGGGCCTAGTCTAGGGCCCTCGTGTCTACAAAAGAGCCAACGCAGAAGATCCCTCCTTGGGTTTTCATCTTCCGCGACGCTGCTCTCATGGCCCACGCTAAACCGCATCACCCACCGCACATGCCATGGCAGCAGTAGATTTAGCGTTGATACCTTGATGCACGAATGGAAAATGGTAAAACTCTCCGGTAGCGTTGCGGTGACTGTGGTCATCCAGAATAGTGCAAGGTCCAACGAGACACATCACAGGTCTAACGAGACACCAACCCCCCGATCTGCTGGATCCTGGCGCTGTGGTTATCTGCTGGCTCTGCCACCTGAATGTGGCGTTGTAAAGTTGTTGACTGCATCAGTGGTACGAAATAAGAAGTCTCCAAACCCTATGACAAGCCCTTGCTGCGATCTTTCCAGTTGACCATACGTATTAGTGGGTAGACAACAGTTACGTGCGGTGAGGTCAATGGCTGGGGAGGCACTGGCTAGCGTCAGAGCCAGATTCACACACTGAGGGGGGCGTGGGGGACGTGTCTAACACGCCCCCCTCAGTGAGGCAGATGTGACAGCTGCCTCCCCTGGTGCTGTTTCATTGCAGTTTCATGAGACCAGCGAGCCTAAATATGTTTATACACATACGTGAAATAAGTTACCTGGAGCATGGAAGGAGAGGACATGAAATGAAGGGGTCTACAAACATTACATTGGTGACATACTGAGATAGTAACAGACACGCGCTTATTGCCCGCGCTCCATCCAGTTACTGAGGGGTTGCGTAATCAGAGGGGAGGCTGAGCTCGTCGCTGCCTCACCTCTCGTCTCTTCCTGTATTTGCAGCGGAGCTCCGCAAATTTGGCGATTTTGACTATGAAAATGATTGGAATCGTACAGAAGTGATATTTATAACACAGATCAGTGGAAAAATCTTAATTTTTATTTGATTATTCTTTTTTTTTTCGTAACGGCTATTTTCATTGGAGTATGACTGGTGAAGCTGTGCCTCCCCTGCCTCCCCTGACCGCACGTCCCTGGTAGACATTGGGTAGGGTCACGGGCACGTATCAATGGGTAGACCAGGGGTCGGCAACCAAAATAACAAGAAGAGCCATTTCTTTCCAATTCGGTACAAAATTCTGTATTTCAAGAGCCGCAATGCATCTATGTACATACTGTACATACGTACATATCGTCAAGAAGCAGCCCGTAAAGAGCCGCATGCGGCTCCAGAGCCGTAGGTCACGTAACGTGACGCAATTTATAAATGTGGGTGAAATGATATCATCCGTGAGAGTCAGTGAATCATCGTGTATAAATCTGCACGATACATTTTTAATTCCACGTGGTAGCCTATGACGACGTAAAATACCTTTCTGAACTCGCCGATCGTCAAAAATGTAGGTTTCCAAGAGTAGCCAGCGAACGATGAACAAATAACGTCACGTGCTGCAGAGCGTCCGCTTAACGTTTGTTTTGAACTCGCTTGCAAGTTACTCAGCTCGTTAGCGTGTAACCTCACAAAATTGGACAATTTGATTAAAATATTGACGTTCATTAATTCGCGCATTTATTTTACACGGAGCATTTGTTGGGGTCGGGCAATGGAGGTAACTGTCCTGAGGTTGAAACGAAATTCAACCGAAGAAGTAGCCATAAAAGCCAAATATTTCTAAATATATTTCATTGACAGCCATATAGTATTTTTAACGTATAATAAATTAAATGTCTTACTTTTAATGCGACTTCTGGTCACGGGACCCGTGACCCGAGAAATTTTATCTTCAAAACTAATTTCTGTTTACTTTAAAATGACACAGTATTATTAAGCAATATCACAAGTATTTTAAAATCAGTTCCAAACTGATTTTTTTTTATTTTCAACTCAAAATTGTCTGGGAGCCATATGCCGGCACCGGAAGAGCCATATATGGCTCGCGAGCCATAGGTTCCCAACCGCTGCATTAAAGGTAAGAGAGCCCACTGGGATCAGTGCCGGATTAAGCTAGTACGGCGCCTGTAGCATATGTTATAAAGGGGCCTTAAATAAAAAAAATACAAATATTAAAACACGTAAAAAAATTAATTGCATAGAAAAGTAATTGTATTGTTAATTTGCTATACAGCCAGATAATGCGACAAATCGCTAACCTTAAACACCCAGCCGTTCATAAAAGTTGAAGGCGGTATAGTACTAGAGTAATAGAGCAAGTGCAGAACCACTGAACCCGAATTGATAGCTTGAAAGCATTTATCGCGGGGCCCTTGAAAGTGCGCGGCCCATAGCATGTGTAGCTACTTTTGCTATTTTTTATTATTTTCCTTCTACGTGACTTTACCGAAAGAACCAAGAAGATGAATCACTGCAGTCACGATAAGCTTTAAATCGAAAAGTAGCTACATATGTAGCACATGCTACGGGCCACGCACTTTCAAGGGCCCCGCGATATTATTATTTTCCTTCTACGTGACTTTACCGAAAGAACCAAGAAGATGTAGCTACTTGTGTAGCTCCATATGTAGCTACTTTTGCTACGAGGATAATCCGGCACTGCGATACAGGACCCGGGGGAATCTCCCAGAGTGGCCAAAATAACCCAAACATATCGTATATGGGACCTTTTTGCCAGTATCAAAGAATTAACAAACAAGAACAGGACTTTTCAAGTCCTGTTCAAACGCTAAATAGAGACCTTTTGCAAAGAATAAAGTCTGCATTAACCGCACGACACACTATACACTACACTACTATATACTAAACTATACACGACCTTGCAAAAGGTAGCTATTTGGTGTTGGAACATCTTACCGCCTGGTTTATTGCCAGAAAGGGTAAATCCTATTCATTTTTGTTCATTATTTGACACTGGCAAAAAGGTATCCCATGATATACCTGATCACCCCAAGCTGTAGTGCATTGTCTTTGTGCTGTTTGCCTTTTGGCGTTCTCTCATCTGACATTGGCAGTGAGACTGGGCCATAAAGAAGGCTACTGTCTCTGATGTAGGCCAATCATTTTCAAAGACAATGCCATTTTCTTGGTTCTTTCGGTAAAGTCACGTAGAAGGGAAGTAATAAAATAATAAAAATAAAACATAATAAAACAATTCTCACGACGTTTCGGCCACAACGCAAGCAGCCGTCCTCAGGTGAAACCAGGTCTGTCGAGGTGACAGCGTCTGAATATATATAAGCTGGGTTGGAAGGGGAGAAAAGAGCGCCTTGACAAAAGAATATGCATATCAATAGGCATTTAGCATATTTATGGGAAATGCAGGTATGTGATTAGTACTACTCATGCCCGTGCATTATGCAGGATTAGCAGCAGGAAGGACGTAATAAACCATTTCTAGAATTGTTATAACAACACTAATTGTTATAACAACACTCCTACAACATCAGAGTGCAGCGCCACATTAAATACGCACTACAATGACAATAGTTTAAAGCGATTTGAAGCATGTTTTATTTTCAAAATGGAAATATAGTTTGGGGGGGGGGCAGAGCTTCAAAAGTAGAGAAAATGGCTATAATTCCCCACAAACTTTGATTTTGTGACCAGGACATTGGTATTTAGAAATTTACCAATTTTCAAGAACATTCCAGATAGATTCAGTGCTGAGTAAACTTGGAGTAACTTCTAGAGCATTCTAGAACTTTCCAGTACTATAAATAGTAGTTTAGTTCTTTAGTTCTTGGGGCCTTCAGTCCACCAGTTCAGTTTATTTCCAGCTGCCTAAGTGGATACATATTTGCATTTTTCTGAGATGGCATCAAGAGGCTGCAAGCATCTGGCAGACGCATTTTGCGATGTCTGCGGCCAATTTATCAATACAGGAGCAAAAAAATACTCTGTGGAAGCATCTGCTACGATGTGTGAGGCCTAGAAGGCATATTTCGCCATGCCTGTTGGGAATCAAGACAAACCCTGGGCACCTTATTTTACCTGCGAGCAATGCAAAAAAAAAACTCTGGAAGGTAAGATGAACAATTGTTGCTTGGAATTTTATGTTGTAAAATTTGTGAAAAACATTTAAATTGTAAAAGTTTTGAATTTTTAAATGTTTTACAATTTTCAATGTTATTGAAAAAATATATTTGAAAAATGTTGGGAGAATCGCTTACACATTAGTCATGTGTTTTGTAGGATGGGACAGAGGGGAAAAGAGAGCCATGAAGCTCGCTATCCCAAGAATTTGGCGGGAACTCACTGACCACTCAAGCAACTGCTACTTCTGCATGGTAGACCCTTCCAAACGTCGGACTTGCAAGAATGCACCTGCTATCACGTATCCGGACCTTCCTTCATCGCCCCGGTGCCACACTACCATTAGCTCCCCGTTCCCACTCCTCCGGAGAGAGAGCAGCCTGTCTTTAGAAGAGAGCAGCAAGTCAGAGAGCGAGGAAGACTTGATCAGAGATCTTGGTCTCACCAAGTCCAATGCCGAGCTTTTGACGTCTAGGCTTAAGCAGTGGAACTTGTTGGATGATAGTGTGCAAGTCGCAGATCAGAGGAAGCGTCACCAACCTTTTAGCAGCTTCTTCACCCGTCAAGATGGGCTCTGCTTCTGCCACAATGTGACCAGTCTGTTCGAGGAAATCGGAATCGCCTGTAACCAGAATGAGTGGCGCCTCTTCATTGACAGCTCATCCAGGAGCCTCAAAGCCGTGCTGCTCCATAATGGTAACAAGTACCCGTCTCTTCCCCTGGCTCACTCGGTGCACCTCAAAGAGGATTACAACAGCATCAAGACCTTGCTGGACCCCTTGATGTATGATGAGTACAGCTAGGAGGTCATTAGAGACTTCAAAATGGTGGCATTCCTGATGGGTCTCCAAGGCGGTTTTACCAAGTTTCCCTGCTATCTTTGCCCTTGGGACAGCAGGGACACCAAGGCGCTCTACCACAGGCGGGACTGGCCACAGCGGACCGAGTTCTCTGTGGGGACGAACAACGTCAAGTGGGAGCCACTGGTGGACCCCCAGAAGGTACCGATGCCACCACTGCACATCAAGTTTGGCCTTATAAAAAAATTGTCAGAGCTGTAGATAAGGAGTTGGCAGCCTTCAAGTACCTTCAAGACTTCTTCCCTAAGCTGTCTGAGGCAAAGGTCAAAGCCGGTTTCTTCGTCGGACCACAGATAAAGAAGATCTTCGAGTGCAATGAATTCCCCAAGAAGCTCAGATGTAAGGAGAAAGCGGCTTGGAACAGCTTTGTCGCAGTGGTTCGTGGCTTCCTGGGCAATCACGAGGTCGAAAACTGTGTGGAGCTGATTGAGACTCTGGTGAAGAAGTACGGCACAATAGGCTGTAGGATGTCCCTCAAAGTCCATATCCTTGATGCTCATCTTGATAAATTCAAGGAGAACATGGGAGCGTACTCGGAGGAGCAAGGCGAGCGCTTCCACCAGGATATACTGGACTTTGAACGCCGCTACCAAGGACAGCATAACGATAACATGATGAGAGACTACATTTGGGGGCTGATTCGTGAAAGTGATTTTCAGTATAATCGTAAATCTCGAAGAACTACTCACTTCTAAATCTTTCGTAGTAATTTTTTTATTACTTTAGTATAAATACATGTTCATTTTTATTCATATGTTGTTTTTTTCTAACCTTATGTGAAGGAAAAGACACAAATTCACCCGTTTTCTCATTGAAAATAGGTACATTTCAAAATATCAATATGCTGATCACAAAAGCAAGGTTTGTGGGGAATAATAGGCATTTTCTATACTTTTTAGGCATAAACAATTAGGAAATAACACTTACTACCCAGGAACAAAAATTGTGTTACACAGTGTTATCAGTGCCATGTTTTATTTGCACCTTCATCGCAAGTAGTGTGTGTAGTTAATTCAGTAACTTGATTCCATGCAAAAGGTTTCTGTTTGGTGTTTGAACATCTTAACACAACTCCTGTTTTATTGCCTGAAAGGGTAAACACATTCTTATTTGATAATTGGTTCTTTACCCTTCTATCTGGCAACAAAACTGACACCTTTTTACAAGGAGTCATGTTTGCATAGACCGCAATACCTGAAGTGTAAACACATTCTTATTTTTTTAACCCATACCGTGTCAACCCATGCGGTTTACCCCGTATTCTTGTGCAGGGAAATTGAGTTTTCAGATCCATACGGCATACAGCCGTTTCAATTCGGGCAAATTAAAAATCTCTCTTTGTGTTTCTCCTTTGTGATGGGACTTTGTCGGATGAACGTTGAGATGTATAGGGGGACACGGGGTGACCAATTACAGTCTGAATTGGTCTTTGATAAGGCAGGGGGCACTGATAAGGGGTTGACAGGTATGATGATGTACGGGTTGCTTGGCTACGTACGGTGCGATAGAAGTTTAACATACAGCACGTGAAACCGTGCCGGTAGCGAGGCGCGATTATTCACTGCGGGAGTCATTGGCGAATGATCCTAGAAGGACATAAAGCTTTTTCTCATCTCACCCATCGTCGACAACAGGGGCGGTTTCTTCATTAGGGCGATTGGGCGACGCACCACCAATGTCATTCAACCACAGAGTCACGCTAGCCGTCACTGCAGCCTCTGGATATAGTCCAATCAGCGTCATGTCACGTTCTGTGGAGTACCGCCTCTTTTTGGGCGATTTCACTCCGGCTGAGAATCGCCCCGAGTGGCCCCATAGACTTACATTCAAAGATGTTTTTTTTCGAACGGCGGGCGCTGCAATGCATTCTCTATGGCTTCCAGGAGGGCTCGCCCTAACGTGCTTACGTCATCATACGTAAGCACGTTTCATCCAACAATATAATTTATCGCCACCTAGTGGAATCTTTAATAAAATAAACTTGAGTGGTTTGTTTGAATAGTGAGTATATAAACAAACAAGATGTATTGTAAGAGTCACTTTATTTTTCATTAATATTGAAGAAGTGAAGTTGCCTTTACATGCTTAAGCTGTTAATTTATCCATTGCATGGGTGGACCTTATCCTTATCAATCATCCAGCACATTTGCCCCCCCTGAGAGATTTTGCAGGAGCCGCCACTGGTCGACAATGTTGGTTTAACCGAGGGTAGCCGGCAAAAAGAGTAAATAAAGGGCCGTCCATAAATGACGTCACGCACCTGGGGGGGGGGGGGCATATTTTTGTGACGATGTGTGACGTGCCGCGTCGTCATCTTACTTGAAGCAGCATCACGTTGTCGTCCACTCATTGATATGCTAATTTTTTCTCTGCCCCCTCCCTCTCTCCACCCCCGCCCCCCTCTCTATATTTAAGGCACCGTCACAGAAACGACCTCTCTCTTTGTGCCGATATGTGTCCTCTCTCTGTGTGTCCTTGTGATGTCTGTCTGCTTGTATGTCTGTCTATAGTTTTCTAGTTAGATTTTTGTTACTATTTCTTTTGTGCCTGATGATGATTGCTTGTGTTGCAATCGAAACGTCGTAATATGCTATTATTTAATTTATTATTTTATAAATTACCTTACAAGAAACGGAGCGTCCTTTTACATTGTTTTAGGGGTTTTTTTTTATAAGCTTGCAAGTTACTTAGCTCGTCAGGATGTTATGCACCTCACGACCAAAATGGACAGGTGGTTACAATATCGATGTTTGGTAGTCGTGTATTTATTTTGTTCAAATTGAACAACATTCTCACTCTAATAATAAGAGCGCGTAAATATAAATGTGTCGTGAAACCCGTCACCACCCGGCACAGCTGTGACCTCACTCTGACCTCACTCTGACCTCACGCTGACCTCACTATCACTTCACTATGACCTCACCTATGACCTCACTGTGACGTCACTCTCACATCACTATGACCTCACTCTGACCTCACTGACCTCACTCTGACCTCACCTATGACCTCACGCTGACCTCACCTATGACCTCACTCACGATGACCTCACTCTTACCTCACTATGACCTCACTCTGACCTCACCTATGACCTCACCTATGACCTCACCTCACCTATGACCTCACCTATGACCTCACTCTCACTATGATCTCACGATGACCTCACTATGACCTCACCACAGCGGCGGCGCGCCGTCACTGCCGGGAAGGCGCCCGATGCGTTCTACCATTTCTAGCGCCATTGCCCGGAAACTCGCCTATCCGCGCTACGGTTTCCACTTGCACTGTGGGGGCGGGGCGTAGGGGGGGGGGAAGACCCCGGAAGTCGTTGGGCAGCTCCGGGCAGCAGCGAGCAGCGGGCACTGGGCGCTCAGAGGGTGCAGGGCAGCAGCGACAGCGACATCGGGCAGCAGCGACATCGGGCAGCAGCGACATCGGGCAGCAGCGAGCAGCGGGCAGCAGCGACAGCGACATCGGGCAGCAGCGACAGCGGGCAGCAGCGACATCGGGCAGCAGCGAGCAGCGGGCAGCAGCGACATCGGGCAGCAGCGGGCAGCAGCGAGCAGCGGGCAGCAGCGAGCAGCGACATCGGGCAGCAGCGAGCATCGGGCAGCAGCGAGCAGCGGGCAGCAGCGGGCGACATCGGGCAGCAGCGGGCAGCGGGCACGGGGCGCTCAGAGGGTGCAGGGCAGCCAGGGGCTCATCGGTACCGTGAGTGGGGGCAGCGCTGGGCTACGAGGGCAGGGTCCGTCCATCGAGTCAGAGGGAGGGATCTTGAGGGGGGGAGGGGGGCAGCGCTAGGCCACTCGAGCGTTGTGCGTGGGCAGCAACATCCATCAGCTTGCGGTGTGTGGGGGGCAGTCACTCAGTCACTCAGAGAGAGAGCTAAGAAGGGCAGCTTCCTTGCCCACCCCACCAGAACCCATCCATCAGCTGCGGTGTGTGGAGGGCAGTCACTCAGTCAGAGAGAGAGAGCTAAGAAGGGCAGCTTCCTTGCCCATCCCACCCCACCACCCGAGACCCGCCATGCGTAACTCCACGCTGCTGCTGCTCCTGCTGCTGCCCCTGCTGCTGCCCCTGCTGGGCCCATCGCCGTGCCGCGTCGGCGCCTTCGAGCCCGTGGTGACGACGCTGGTCGTGGCCACGGCGTCGGCCCTCACCTGCCTCCTCTCCTACAGCGGGCCGCGCGTCTCCTGCTGGCTGGGCGAATGCTGCAGCGAGCCCTGGATACAGCTCAACGTCACCGGTGACTGATTATGACTGTGATGGTGATGTCTGTGATGGTGATGTCTGTGATGATATGATGATGTCTGTGATGATGATGTCTGTGATGGTGATGTCTGTGGTGATGACTGTGATGATGATAGCTGTGATGATGTCTGTGATGATGACTGTGATGATGACTGTGATGATGATGGCTGTGATGATGTCTGTGATGATGGATACAGCTCAACGTCACCGGTGATTGGTGATGTCTGTGATGGTGACTGTGATGATGATGTCTGTGATGATGATGACTGTGATAGTCATGGCTGTGATGATCATGTCTGTGATGATCATGTCTGTGATGGTGATGTCTGTGATGATGACTGTGATGATGATGTCTGTGATGATGACTGTGATGATGATGTCTGTGATGATGTCTGTGATGATCATGTCTGTGATGGTGATGTCTGTGATGATGGATACAGCTCAACGTCACCGGTGACTGGTGATGTCTGTGATGATGTCTGTGATGGTGATGTCTGTGATGATGATGTCTGTGATGATGATGTCTGTGATGATCATGTCTGTGATGATCATGTCTGTGATGATCATGTCTGTGATGATCATGTCTGTGATGATCATGTCTGTGATGATCATGTCTGTGATGATGATGTCTGTGATGATGGATACAGCTCAACGTCACCGGTGACTGATGATGAATGTGATGATGATGTCTGTGATGATATGATGATGTCTGTAATGGTGATGTCTGTGATGATGGATACAGCTCAACGTCACTGGTGACTAATGATGTCTGTGATGATGATGTCTGTGATGGTGATGTCTGTGATGGTGATGTCTGTGATGGTGATGTCTGTGATGATGGATACAGCTCAACGTCACCGGTGACTGATGATGTCTGTGATGATGATGTCTATAGATGATCATGTCTGTGATGATGATGTCTGTGATGATGATGTCTGTGATGATGATGTCTGTGATGATGGATACAGCTCAACGTCACCGATGACTTATGATGACTGTGATGATGATGTCTGTGATGATATGATGATGACTGTGGCGATAATATGATGGCTGTGGTGGTGATGATGATGATATGCCAATGATGATATGACTGTGATGATGGCTGTGGTGACTATGATGATGTCTGTGATGATGATATGCTGATGATATTATGATGACTGTGATGACTATGATGATGTCTAAGATGATGATGTATGTGTAGTGATGATATGATGGTTTTTTTTCGGTAACGTCACGTAGGTAAAAAAATTAAATAAATGAAAACAACTAAATTAAATCACGACGTTTCGGGCGCAACACAAGTGTCCTTCTTCAGGTGGGGACAGGAAGGCCACCCACACAGATTCCTACTTGAAGCCTGATTCCCACCACCATCCGGCACAAAATAATTCCCTCATAAAAACACTGGACCATAGGGCCCACTGCATCTCTGACCAACACCACCTGGCCAGTGAATTGGAACATGTACTTCTGGTCCTCAAGATGAACGGATACTCGGACCGTGCTATACGCCAGGCTGTTTCTCCCATCGTGCAGAAACAGGCCCATGAGACTCCGATCAAAATCATTACGTTGCTATACATAGCAGGCGTTACCAAAAAGATTTCCAAAACTCTAAACAAACACAAGATCCAGGTCCGATTCAGTACAATACACAAAATCCGTGATCTGATCCCATCCGTAAAGGATGTCATTCCTGACTTACAGAACCCTGGTGTCTACAAACTGAGTTGCACCTGTGGTGATTGTTATGTCGGGGAAACTAAACAACATATTTCTGACCGCATTCGCGAGCACAAGTCGGATTTGAAGCACGGCAGGACGAATTCTTCGGCCGTAGCTGACCACTCTTGGTTCTCATGATGTTGTGTTCTCCGATACCAAGGTACTCTGCAAGCCTCCTGGATACTACCAAAGATTTGTCCATGAAGCCATCCAGATATACAAACATAGACATAACTTCAACCGAGATGATGGATTCAAATTGAGCAATCATTGGAAGGATGTAATTAACCAAGTTAAACTTTAGCTGCCGTGCAGTTTACGGCTAGACAGCCAGTTTAGATTTATTTTCATAATCATATCCATATTCCCAGTCTGTTACCCCCAGCTTCACACACTACCATCACCATTACCACACGTTGTTTTTCATCTTGCGCATTTCTAATTTACCCCCCCGGCAGCATAACAAAAGGCTGCTTAATCTTAGCTTTCTTATCTACTTCTGCCCCCTGCATCACAAAGCTTCAGTTTGAACTCCATGCGTTGCCTCCCAGCGTCCGTTGCTTTCACAATGTCGCCTCCCAGTCCACAGCCTGCCCACACACTCACCATGGCCCTTCCCCTCCCTCCATCCTCCGTGACTATATAATTCCTCGTCACAGCCATCTCTGAGACACACTTAAGCGGTTGTGCTTTCGCTACGTTGTCCCCACCTGAAGAAGGACGCTTGTGTTGTGCCCGAAACGTCGTGATTTTATTTAGTTGTTTTCATTTATTTTATTGTGTTTTTTACCTATGTGACTTTACCGAAAAAAAACAAAAAGTATGAATATGATGATGATATGATGATGACCATGGCGATAATGGCCGTGGCGATGATATGATGATGACTGTGATGATGATGTCTGTGATGATATGATGACTATTGTGATTACTGATGATGTCTATGATGACTGATGATGACTAATGTCTATGCTATGATGATGACTATGGTGATGATGGCTGATGTCTATTATATGATATCTATGATGATGTCTACGATGATGACTATGATATGGTGATGACGACTGATGTCTGATGAGATGATATGACTGATGGTGACAATGGCTGATGACGTCTATCATGACGTTACCTGCCAACAGTGTAGCATCTCGCCTTATCACAACCACAACCACCATCATCATCATCGTTATCTTCATCAGCATGCACATACCCAATAATCACCCAGGAATGTCTGTCTCTAACGCTCGTAACGTCACTCCACGTCGACCAGCCCCCCTCATTAATAATCATGAGCAGGTGACGTCCTTCAAATGGACACCCCCCCCCCATTAATAATAATGAGTGGGTGACGTCACTCCACATGGGGGGGCCGAGGCGCCTCCTCCCCCCTCCTTGGCGTCAACTCACAACCCTCACTACAAAGGCAGAACCCTCACGTCACGCGATCTCCGTCACGCTGTTGAGACATCGAAGTAAAAAGGACGTCATGATGAACACGGGATTATAACCTTAAAATGAAATAAGTCTGTGTCACCGCGCCCTTATAAATTACACACAAATCGATGCAATGAATATATCACGTCGCGAGCTGCTTTTCGCTTGCAAGTTTCAGATTCACTGCAATACACCCATCCTTGGATGGGCAAAAGGCGAGTTGCTAATATAATGAGCCAAGAATGTCTGTGTGTAACGCACGTGACGTCACTCCACGTCGACCAGCCCCCCTCATTAATATTCATGAACAGGTGGGGTCCTCCACATGGACCCCCCCCCTCCCCCCGTCATTAATCATCATGGTCAGGGGTCAGCAACCTTCGGCTGCCAAGCCACATGCGGTGGCTCTTTGGCTGCCCCCCTTGTGGGCAGCCCGTTTAAAACAATTTTAAATCTTCAAACGTAATTTAACGTAAAGATAATTGATGAAATATGGCAGGCAATGGCGTCACTGTTGAATGTCTTGGCGACACACAAAATGCACAACAGTCAAACTGTCTTGTTCAAGAATAACCAAGGGGGGATAAACAGCTAAATAGACGCACTTTATTCCATCACCTACTTTGTTTATTTGAGTCATAATGTGTTGTTGTTGTCGTCAGCTGTATACCCGCTGCTTTGCGTGTACAAGTAGCTGTGCGTGTGATGCGGCTCTCTGTGAACTAATTGGGTCGGAGACAAAACCATGAATGGCTCTTCCTCTTCCGTGAAAGGTTTTCCGACCCCTGATCATGGTGATCAGAAAACACTCTTCATCATTATCATCGTGGTGGTGGTGGTGATGGTCATCTTCAAATACTTCATGGTCAGCCATCCAAATTTATATCATTCTTCATTATCAATTAGGTTGATGAGGAATTATAATCGTATTCATCATGGTCATATCAATCTTGATTTGAAGCTTTCGTGACTGCAGGAATCCATACTCTTTGGTTCTTTTGGTGAAGTCACGTAGGTCGAAGAAATAATAGATCACGACGTTTCGGTTGCAACACAAGCGTCCGTCATCAAGTGTGAAGGACCTGTCCTCCTGCTGTGTTTGATGACGGTTGCTTGTGTTGCGATCGAAACAGCGTGATCTATTATTTTTTCTACCTACGTGACTTTACCGAAAGAACCAAAGAGCATGGTCATATCATCACAGTAGTATTACAAATATAATGATAACACTGGTCAACACACTTTTTTTGGCATAAGGTATTCACGTCAGGTTTTTGAGATATTAAATATTGCATTTTGAATAAAAACTGCAGAAGAAAAATATTAAATAAATGTGGATATCTACATAAAATGATATTATAAACACACTATCCTAAAAATACAGCACCATATTTTAACACTAAAGCAGTCACTGACTCGCAATAACTTGCAATCATAAGTGACAGAGTTAATTTCGGGTAAAATCTATGAAAATGGGGTATGCCGATAGCATAAAAATGAGATGTGATAGGGCAAATCTGAGATCAGATTTGGAATCCGCACCCTGAAGTTAGTCTAAAACAGCTGTAAAAGTCCAGGCCAGAAAAGAATGTTTTTTTTTTTTGACCAGTGTTATTCATTGTAGTCATCATCATGGTGATCGAGGATTGCAATCATTCTTGATCATTATTCACGTGCCAATTAAAAAGCGTGTTTTTAAACGTTATCGTCCACCTTACCATCTCCACCCACGTTCCCCGACTCCACTTCTCCGAACCCGCCCCTTTAATCCGGAGGTAGCCGTCACGTACGGGGCAAAATCAAATTGACCGGGAGAATCTGCGGCGACACCGAGTGACTTCCGTTCCGTATCGGTGAGAGACGAGCCACCGAACCAGATGGAAGTTTGCAGTGCAATGTTTACTTCACATCGGAGCGAAGTACAGCAGCAAGACGCTTCCCTCCTACAACGTCCCACGGAATACAGACGTGTGTGTGTGTCGCTGTCGGCACCGGAGCGGGTATTATAGTTTCGCGGTTAGCGCTACGCTGCGCTATGAACCCGGCGACCCGAGTTCGATTCCCACTCACGGCCAACACCCAGTGACGAATATCTGAACCGGTCCTGGGCCTTCTCGCCACGGTTGACTCGGCCTCAAATGTGTACCTGGTGCGGTGTGTAGTCAACATCGCTACTGGGCGAGGCAAAGGCGGCTGGGCGTGGTGCTGGCCACACACCCCCTCGTGTAGCCGTGGCCGCCTTCTTAGATGCTGCTCTCTAAGAGCACTTGCCCCAACAGTCTGTTACAGGCTACACGGGGGATCTTTGCCTTTGTTCGCACCGGAGAGCCGTTACGCGTGCGTCAAGGGTCCCAAGTTCGTGTCTCTCGCCGCACAATACATCCTCTTGACCCTTGCTTGATCTTGTGTACAACACCCACGCTAATCTCGAAACAATGCTACTACGGCTGTTGCGACACCGTCATCGCGCAAACCACGGTCATCCCCGCAGCAGCAGCAGCAGCGGCGGCTTTTTGGCTGGCCAACGGACAAAGACGGTGGTCGCCGCGTCGCGTGGCGCTTTCAGATGCGCGTCTGCGGACCCGCTGGAAAGATCCTCCTTCCGATATTAGGAATCCGCTGGAGCTATGCACTTTCATATCCAGATTGAAGATGCGTTTCTTTCGAACTCCTTTTTGTGTGTTTAGTTTGTTCTCCTACCGCACCTCCGATTAGCACGGTTGGCTGCGTATGGTGCGAAAGAAGTTTCAACGTACGTACTGTGCATACGGTGAGGTAGTGCTACAATTGTAGTCACCACCACAGAAAAACAACACTTTCAATAACTACTTCCCATCTTTCAGTATGAATGTTCACATTGCTTTAGGCTATTAATAGCGATGTACATAACCGTGTCCGCTTTCAATAGGACGATAACTTCACATCCGCACGTCTAAGCATTGTATGTCATCACAGTGTTAAAGTGTCAGCAAAAATAGTCACGCTTTTCTGCCCTGCTCAAATGAGAGGTCTCAGCCGTGCACGATGACTCCTCTGAGAATGCTGCCTTCATCTTAACCGCCGCTTATATAGGTGAGGTAATTGTATCAGCTCCTCCCCCCGCCCCAGTGGCCTCTTCATTGTAAACGTTAGAGTAATGATCACACGTATCAAAAACAATCCGGTAGGTACCAGTCAAACCCCGTTTGCGAAAATTAAAAGCAACGAACATCAAAACGAACGTGAACATACATTGGCCCCCGTGGTACGGTGAGAGTGTGTGATTACCGTGTCTTACAGGTACTTTCCTTCACTATCTTAGTCCTCGCTGAGTTTGCAAACTCCAAATATACAGCAGCAGGCGTCAGGGTCGCGATCGAACCCACAGCCTCGTGTAGAGTAGGCGAGGTAGTTAACATCTCCTAGCCACCGTGATGATGAGAGACGCAAACTCTAAATATACAGCCGGCATCAGGGTCGCGATCGAACCCACGACTTCCTGTATACCAGGCGAGGTAGTCAACATCTAGCCACCGTGATGATGATGAGAGAGAGACACGCAAACTCCAAATATACTGCAGGCGTCAGGGTTGCGATCGAACCCACGACTTCCTGTATACCAGGCGAGGTAGTCAACATCTCCTAGCCACCGTGATGATGATGAGAGAGAGACACGCAAACTCCAAATATACAGCAGGCATCGGGGTCGCGATCAAACCCACGGCCTCCTGTAGACCAGGCGAGGAAGTTAACATCTCGCCACCGACGGCACCAGGACACATCGGCTTATTACATTTATTTCAACACTGCCATGAAAAACATTTTAATTTAAGTTAATATTTGACTTTGTATTGTTATTAACATCTCTTTTTCCTCTTCCTGTGGGTGGGGGGGGGGGGGTTCACCTCAAATCCGCCGTTTACAAAACCCGACCAAGAACCCAGAATGGATAGACATGAAACATAATTGATGAATATTCAAAGGTTACGCCCATACATTAATTTAAAAAAAAGGAGTTCATGTGCATTACTGAGAAGTCAGTTTGAACATGTTCAAATGAATGAAATAACCCGAAAGATTTGCTAAAATAACTATTACTCTATTTGAGTTGTTACAATAACCCTACGTAATTTGTTAAAATAAGTGAAATTACCCTACGGGATTTATTAGAACATAAATATGATAACCCTACGTGTCCTGGGTCTCGGTCCACCCTGTAGCATTACAATGGGCTCTGCACGCGTATCCAGGCAGTGTGGTGCCAAGGGATGTTACAACAACAGCCCAGTTTATGTAAATAATACAGTCCTTGTTCTCCTATAACGCTGCGTTGTTTTCATAACGCGAATTGGTTATCACGCGATGAACGTATTAGGGAACACTTTTTTTTAAATATATATAACGCGGATGCGAATTGGATAGAACGCGATCTAACTCCGTCACAGCGCGAGTAGGAATAAGCGGTTGTACGGCTGCCTCAGCGTAGCCTCGCACAAGGCATTGGGATGCTGCTTCTAGATGCTACCCACGCGCCTCGGTCTTTGTTCAGCCTGCGTCACGCATCTCGCGCGTTGTCGCGGACTACGCTTTACCCCTAAGTTGTATGTTGTGTACGATGCGATTTTTCCATAACGCGGCGTTCTTCGGGAACGCAACGACCGCGTTCTAGAACAGGCAGTACATTGTGGTTTGGGTACCGGGGTAGTTGGAGGCGAAGGCTGTTAGCGACGTGCGTTTGGGTTGAGGCGACGGAAGTCGCGTAGCGGTGTTAACCCTTTCCCGTTCCGATGACGTACGTGTACGTCGTCGTCGTTAGAACGTCGTCAGTACGTCATCGGAAGTAAAAGGCCATGCAGGAGGGCGTGTGGCACACTTTGGCGCCGGCTATCGTAGAGTGCGGGTGTCGCTACGGTTCTCTGCGGTGAGTACGACGTATTTAGAAACAACGGCGCTGCTGCTACGCCTGAATAAAATGAACGCTGAACAGCTCGCCGCGTCCCGAGGTTCAGCGGTGAACGGGACCGCACCCTGCAACCTGCAGACATCTCGGGAAAGGGTTACTAAAGTGACGACGTAGAGTCGTGTTCCCCTATAACATGGTAATTGCGTTCCTGAAGAACATCGCGTTACGGAAAAGTCTCTTTATAACCAATATATAATATGGGTTACAGTCCGGTCCGCGATATAACGCGTGAGATGCGTTACGCAGGCCGAACAAAGACCGAGGCGCGTGGGTAGCATCTAGAAGCATCCAGCAGCATCCCGCCTTGTGTGCGACGCTGCGCCGAGGTAGCCGTACAACCGCTTATTCATACTCGCGCGACGGAGTTCCATTCGTTCGCATGCTTAATGCATGAATTGCGTTATGTCCAAAAAGGGTGAGATGTAAATTGGGGTATGATTGTATGTATGTTGAACTTCTTTCGCACCGCACGTAACCATCCGAGCCAATCGGAGGTGTGGGGGAAGGACGGCAAACTGAACACAGAAAGCAGTTCTGAAGAAATTCGTTTTCAGTCAAGATGATTAAAAAAAGTGCAACGCTTCAGTAGCTTGCTGATATCGGAAGAGTGTTCCAGACGGCCGCATAAGCACATCCGAAAGCGCCGCACGATGCGGTGACCACCGACTTCGTTTGATGGCCAGCCAGAAGCCACCGCCGCTGCTGCGAGGAAAACCAGAGTTGACGTGATGATGCTTTGTGTTCCTTGACGAGATCGTGGTTCTTTTGTGGCAAGCCCTTTAGCACGACCTCATCAACTGCTCTCCGCCGTTGTGCCCACAGTTCTCAAAGAGGAGCTGGACCAACAACTCTTCGGGCAGCACCTGGTGCACCACGTGGTGTTCAGGGCCATGGGCGGGTACGGCACATCCACACCGACACACCAAAGACAAAGACCCCCCCCCCCCCCCGTATAGCCTTAAGAGACTGTTGGAGCAAGATCTGTTAGCGAGTGGCACCCATTTTCGCCTACCTCGAGTCCTGACGTTGGCTTGCACAATTCCACACAGACACAAAGATCCCCCCTGTAGTCTTAACAGACTGTAGGGGCAAGTGCTGTTAGCGAGTGCCTATGAAGGCCGACACGGGACACGATAAAAAAGTGTCTCTATTGATGCATCATTTAGCTGCCCCAGCTCGTCATCATCATGGTGGCTAGGAGATGTTAACTACCTCGCCTGGTACACAGGAGGTTGTGAGTTCGATCCCGACCCTGACACTTGAGAATATTTTGCTGCTGCTAAATTCCCCCACAATGATGATGATGACAAAAGCCACTTGGTCGAGCTACCGGTTATGGCCAGGATGCTTTGAAAGAGAGCAACGTGGCTCAGAGCTCCTTCCTCACCTGGTAAAATAAATAGAAACATTGTTTAGTTAAAACATATCCAGACGTCACACGGACAGTAGCGGCGCGGGTAAACGGGCAAATCCTGCACGGGTGAATCGGCGGAGTTCCGCTAATGACGATCCCTGTCGCCCCCCCCACGCCCCCTCCCCCCCCTCCCCTCCCCTCCCCACGCAGGTACGCGAGCAACCCGAGCCCGCAAAAGGCCCTGGCGTTGTCCTTTCACGGCTGGACGGGCACCGGCAAGAACTTCGTGTCGAACATCATCGCCAAGAGCCTCTTCGTCGAGGGCCAGAAGAGCAACTTTGTGCACACGTTCGTGGCCACGGTGCACTTCCCGCACGCCGCCCACGTGGACACGTACAAGGTGCCCGCGTGCCCACCACGGCCGCCACGCGATCGCGACAATACTGATCATATCCACTCGTAACACCGTCGTCGCCGCCATACAGTATTCGCTCATCGCTCTCGTATCGAGAGAGAGGACGACTCGGGGAGAGAAGACCACTTGGAGAGAGAGAGAAAGAGAGGACGACTCGGACAGAGGATGACTAGCCAACCAGACACTACCCCTGACACTAACCACACCAGTCACCCAGACACGAGCCCTGACCCTAACCACACTAGCCACCCAGACACTAACCCTGACCATAACCACACTAGCCACCCAGACACTAACCCTGACCCTAACCACACTAGCCACCCAGACACTAACCCTGACCCTAACCACACTAGCTCTAACCCTAGCCACACTAGCCAATTACCCCTAACCCTAACCAAATCAGCCAACCAACGCTCACCGTAGCCCTTCAGGAGGGCACCACCACCCTCTTCCACGCGGAGTCACGTTGCCCACCCTGGCATCTCCTTACGCCTTTCCCTGAAGCGCTCCTCGTCTTGACAAGCAGAATCAGCAGCAGCAGCAGCAGCATGTCCACGTCCACATTGAGCATCGGGCTCCTGGACATGTTGCTTACTGCCATTGTGAGCTTGAGTAGAAACTTTAAACGAGCCCGTGTCAGATTTGCGTGCTCACGGTTCGCCGCGCGTGTGCTTGTTTGCGTGTGGACGTGTGTGCGGACGCGCAACTCAGGAGAAGCTGCAGGGCTGGATCCGCGGGAACGTAACCGCGTGCAAACATTCCGTGTTCGTCTTCGACGAGATGGACAAGATGCACCCCGGCCTCATCGACGCCATCAAGCCGTTCCTCGACTACTACCCCATCCTGGACGGCGTCGACTACCGCCACGCCATCTTCATTTTCCTCAGGTCGGTGCCGCTCCGGGCAGGACACGGGGAGCGGGAGCGTGGAGCACGTACCGACGCACACACATGCACGCGTTTACCCGCACACACGCACACACGTGTACACACACGCACACACGTGTACACACGGCCTCTATCGGCAGAGTTTCGGTTTCGGCCGAAAGTAAATTTTTGACTTTCGGTTTGGTTTGGTTTTCGGGCCGAAACCAGAAATTCAGTTTCGATCGGCCTCTAAACTACACGCACGTGCGCGCATGCGGCTCCAGGCAGATGCTCCTCACTCTCTCCGGCGATCGCAAGCAACGCACACACGCGCACTCAAGCAAGGATGGGGGTGAGAGGGGTGTGGTGGTGGTGGCAATAAGACAGACGACGGAGAAGAATAAGAAAAAAATAACTTCCCCTCCCCCAGAACCACCTAGGGGGGGGTCAGACATTTGTGACGATGTGTGACGAGGGGGGGGGGGGGTGGTTGAGAAATGTGACGTCACATCAAAATGCGCAACTTTAAATAAATATAGACAACACGTTCTACTTAATTAAATGGACTTTTTAAATAAATGTTTTCCCCTACAACATCAGAGTGCAGCACCACATTAAATACGCGCTACAATGACAATAGTTTAAACCGATTTGAAGCATGTTCTATATATTTATTTGAGGGGGGGGTCTGACTTTTTGTGATGCCGTGTGATGATGGGGGGGTCAAAAATCGTCCAAAATCGCGTGACGTCATTTATGGACGGCCCCAAACTAGCGAGCAGCAGCAGCAAGCAGCAAGCAGCACACGCGTAGCCAGCACTCGCAGCAGCAGCAGTCCACCAGGAGCACTTTTGTTTGAGCGGCTCAGAGGCTGGGCTCTCACAGGCAGCTCGAGACGCACAGCACACAGACACACGCACAGCACACAGACATGCACAGCACACAGACACGTGCACGCACAGCACACAGACACGCACACACAGCACACAGACGCGCACACACAGCACACAGACACGTACAGCACACAGATGCGCGCACGTACAGCACACAGACGCGCGCACGCACAGCACACAGACGCGCGCATGCACAGCACACTGAGCAGATTATAGCAGCGTGCCGATACCAACAGTGTGCATATACGCGCGCACGCACACTCATTCACTCATCCGCCCACCAGCCACACACACACCAACCCACCCACCCCTCCAATGGTCCAATTCAACCCTCCCACCACCCCATCCCACCCCACCTCCTCCTCCACATGGGTCCGTGTGAGTCTGTGACGCGTCTAGAGGCCGACCGAAATTCGGTTTCGGCGCCGAAAGTTGGCAAATGGCCTCTTCCGGCATAGTTTCTGTTTCGGTCGAAGCCAAAAAGTTAACCTTTCGGTTTACTTTCGGTTTTGGCCGAAAGTACATTTTTTACTTTCGGTTTCGGCCGAAACTAGAAATTCAGTTTAGGTCGGCCTCTAGTGTATACACACACGCACACACGCGTACACACACACGCACACACGCGTACACACACACACGCACGCGTGTACAAACACACACACGTGTACACACACACACAAACATTCCCCGTACAGCCTTAACAGAATGTTGGGGCAAGTGCTGTTAGCGAGTAGCACCTCTATGAAGGCCGGAACGGTACACGAAGGGGTGGGTGGTCAGCACCACGCCCAACCGCCTTTGTCTCCCCAGTGGCGATGTTTACTATACCACACCAGGGACTCATTTGAGGCTGAGTCGACCTACACGCACACGTGCACGCACATGCGGGTCGTGGGGATTCACAGGAGTTGTGCAGCGGGCACCGCGTCGGAGGCGCGGGGACTCGCGTCCACCGACGTCACGAGCCGCTTCTCCCTCCACGCTTCCTACCTCACCGCTCCTCCTCTCTCCCCGCACGTCCCCTCCTCCCTTCCCGCTCCCCGTGCAGTAACGCCGGAGGTAACGACATCAACGAGGTGGCGCTGCGCTTCTGGAACGAGGGCCGCAAGCGCGAGGAGATCGTCCTCGCGGACACGGAGAAGGTGCTCACAATGCGCGCCTTCAACGACAAGAACAGTACGTGGCGTGCGTGCGCGTGTACACGCATGCGTGTGCGCGTGTGCTTTGCTCGATATGGGGAGAACAAGTGGTGCATCTGCCAGCCATCTCAGTCGGTCAACCCACGGCACCTGGGTCTGTCCCGTGACCTCCTGCCAGCAGCGAGCCTTAGACACGTCACACGTGGTCTTCAAAGTGCACGTGGCCTGGCACAGGCGCCGTGGTTACGTCACCGCCACTTAGTGGCAAACGGCTGCTGCTGCTGCTGTTGTTGTTATTGTGGTCCCGCGTGTGTGTACAGCGCGGAGCGTTGGTTAGCTCGCTTCGCTATCCTGATGGGGGATCTTTGTACAGGTAGTCCTCTACTTACGATGGAGATGCGTTACGACGACCCCATCGTAAGTCAAAAATATCGTAAGTCGAAGATGGCCTAGCCTACCCAGGAGTCTTAAAGAATGGTGATTATTTAGTAAAACAGAGCAATTTACAGTAGCGTACTGTATAAACTATATACTGTATGTATTTATTAATTACAATACTGTATTGCACAGTAAAATGTAAAGTAAACAAAGCAAGGTAAATTCTTAGCCTACCTATATGAACTGCAATTTAATACTGGTAGGAACCTCGTGGTTACACCAGCCCACAGGGGATTATTGTGTCCGTCCGTCGTGCAGGGAGGGGCTCGGTGTGGAGGGAGGGGCTGGGTGGGGATGTGGAGCTGGGTGGGGAGGGGAGGGTGGGGAGTGGCTGGGTGGGGAGGGTGGGGAGGGGCTGGTTGGGGAGGGTGGGGAGGGGCTGGGTGGGGACGGTGGGGAGGGGCTGGGTGGGGAGGGTGGGGAGGGGCTGGGTGGGGAGGGGCTGGGTGGGGAGGGGCTGGTCACCCCGTGGTGCCCTTATAAAACTCAACGTTTAACCTACTCACGCCGGCTTGTGCCCGCCCTCACAGTCGGGCATATTTGCGGAATACACCATGCCGCCATTGACCCTGGCCATTGACCGAGCAACCCAACGTTCCTACCAGCTCCCTCCACAGGAATGTGTTAGAAAGTTTTTTCAGGAAACAATCCTATCTGCTATAAAAACTTTTAACATGCATTGAACGTATCGTATCGTGGTAACCCTAAAATGAAATCGCTAAAGCTACGTATCATACATGCATTGAACGTACAGTATCGTACGCGCGAAATTAAAAATATTTTACAATTTTACCATCGTAACTCGGGGACTATCTGTATTTGTTGTGGCCTAACAAGAAGGGAAACATAGTGGGGAGCGGTAGTGAAGCGGTCAGCGCGCTGCGCTACGAACCCCACGACCCGAGTTAGATTCCCGCTCAAGGACAACACCGGTGACAATTATCCGAACCGGTCCCGGGCCTGCGCTAGGTCGACTCAGCCTCAAACGAGCACCCTGTACGGCGCGTCTCTCTCTCCGTCCGCCCGCCCTGCAGGTGGCTTTTGGCACGCGAGCCTCATTGACAAGCACCTCATCGACTTCTTCGTGCCCTTCTTGCCACTGGAGCACCAGCACGTGCGCATGTGCGCGCGTGCGGTGGCGCGGTCACGCGGGGTGCAGCTGCTTGATGCCGTGGAGCGTGTGGCCAAGGCCGTTGCCGATGAGATGGCCTACTTTCCCGAGAACGAGGGCATCTTCTCTGTCACGGGCTGCAAGAGCGTCGCCCAGAAGGTGGAGTTCCACTTGTGAAGACGACGACGACGGCGGAGGAGGAGGTGGAGGAGGGCATGGAGGGGGATGGAGGGAGGAGGTCGAGACTTTCCCAACGGGCGGAGATCAACGATGCCGCCCTGTTGCCATCGTGTGGACTTTTTTGTTTTGTTTAAATCTCTGCGGTGTTGCATCTCGTACACCACCAGATCATGAAGTTTTTGCTACGTATTCGCGTAACAATTCTATCAAATCTATTTAATGCTGACGACTTGTGTTTATAACAAACAAAAAATCGATGCGATCATTTTCCTGCGCGCGATGGCATCGGCGGTAATGTTCAGAGGCCAGTTGCCAATGTGGAGTTCCTGCTGCTGGTGCTGCTGGCCATGATGAGGGTTTCAGTAAAAAGTTTGTTTAGTTTCGCTGTACCTCCTCCTGCTTCCTCTACGTATTCTTTGGGTTACGTGGCCAAAATCACACCGTGGCTTATTTTTAAACACACCACCGAGTCTACGTGTAACTACATCTGTGTGACAACTCCGCGCGTGTCCATGGGTTTCGTAGTTTGTGCTGCGCGGCCACAACCTGCGCCAGTCCTGTGGCTTTTATTTTCCATCTACGAAGGTGTGGTGCAGCATCGGTCTGACACGGTTGATGGTGTTCCCCCTATGATGAGCGAGTGAGCGGGTGGGCAGATGAGTGACCGGGTGAGTGGGTGCGTCCGTAACTGGGTGGGTGAGTGACTGGGTGAGTGGGTAGGTGAGTGACTGGGTGAGTTAATGGTTCCACCGGTTGTGAGCGAGTGACTGGGTAGGTTAGTGACTGGGTGCATGGTTAGGTGAGTGAGTGGGTGAGTGACTGGCTGAGTGGGTAGGTGAGTTGATGGTTCCACCAATCGGTGTCTTCGAGGTGGAGGAGGAAGTCAAAGCCTGGAGAAGGTGCGATGACGATGTGTGGGTCTCAAATGAGCTGTTCATTTTTCTGTACGTCCGCGTTGTTCCACTCTGTACCGCACAGCAGCAGTAGCAGCTTTCCTGTGGACCTGGGTGGCGAGATTCTAGGATGGCAGCAACGCGATCCCAGAAGGATTTGGTGTCATTTAGCGCTTGCCTGTGTTACCGGAAGCCCACTTGCTCTCAGGGGGAGAGGAGACTATGGGAGGTCGTAGACGGGCAGCCGGTGTCACCGCGGCGGCTAGCCGGTGCTCCTGCGTTGGCCGGTGCTGCTGCTGCTGCTGCTGCTGCGGGTGCAAGCGTCGTGGCCCACGAACGCCGGAGTGGATCAACCCTGGCGAGCGTGTGCCGTCCTCATGGAACATAAAACCATCGCGCGAACTGCGGTCGCCATTCTCACAGCGGCGGCGGTGGCTTCTGTGGCTGACCATCGAAATGAAGGCGGTGGTCGCCACATCGCACGGCGCTTTCGGAGGCGCATCTGCGGCCGTCTGGAACGCCCTTCCGATGTTATGAGAAGCACTTTTGAATCGTCTCGATTGAAAACTGGTTCTTGCGTTTCGTTTGCTGCCCTTCCTGCGATGAGTGGCTACATACGGCGCGAAAGAAGTTCAACAAACATAATTAAGTACCGTTGTCAAGGCGACCGGTTAGCGACGTGATGATTGGCTGTTAATGCCATGGTGGTTGGATGATATTGTGGTGGGCAGTGCCGGATTAAGCTAGTGCGGTGCCTGTAGCGTATGTTATAAAGGGGCCCTAAAAAACTAATATTAAAACACAAATGTTTAACTTGCATAGTAATGTGATTGTATTTTTTCATTTGCTACACTGGCAGATAATACGACAAATCGCTAGCCTTAAACACCCGGTCGTTCATAAAAGTTGAAGGCGGTATCGTACTATATTAATAGAGCAAGTGCAGAATCATTGAACCGGAATTGATAGCTTTAAAGCATTTAGCGCGGAGCCCTTGAAAGTACAGGGCCTGTAGTATATGTAGCTACTTGTGCTACTTGGATAATCCTGCACTCGTGGTGGATGATGTCCTGATTGGATGTTTATAAACATGGTTGGATGAGATGTGATTGTATGATGTCATGGTGGATGTTGTCATGGTGATTGGATGTTGTCATGGTGATTGGATGATGTCAGCGTGGATGTCATGGCGATAGGATGGTGATGTCGTGACGATTGGGGCAGTCACTGACCAGTAGTGATGCTGATGGAGGTCGGATGCTGCAGCCACGACCAGCCGGTGTCAAGACCACCGCTGTTGCAGACCCCTCACCCCCAGCGCTGGTGACTATCAGTTAGCTTTCTAGACTCAACACTGCACCATAGACTCAACACTGCCCATAGACTCAACACTGCACCATAGACTCAACACTGCACCATAGAACTCAACACTGCACCATAGACTCAACACTGCCCATAGACTCAACACTGCACCATAGACTCAACACTGCCCATAGACTCAACACTGCACTATAGACTACACGGCCAGTGGACTCAACACTGCACCATAGACTCAACACTGCCCATAGACTCAACACTCCACCATAGACTCAACACTGCACCATAGACTCAACACTGCACCATAGACTCAACACTGCCCATAGACTCAACACTGCACCATAGACTCAACCACTGCACCATAGACTCAACACTGCCCATAGACTCAACACTGCCCATAGACTCAACACTGCCCATAGACTCAACACTCCACCATAGACCCAACACTGCCCATAGACTCAACACTGCACTATAGACTACACGGCCAATGGACTCAACACTGCACCATAGACTCAACACTGCACCATAGACTCAACACTGCCCATAGACTCAACACTGCACTATAGACTACACGGCCAATGGACTCAACACTGCACCATAGAATCAACACTGCACCATAGACTCAACACTGCACCATAGACTCAACACTGCACCATAGACTCAACACTGCACCATAGACTCAACACTGCCCATAAACAACTGCACCATAGTTTCAACACCGCACACATAGGACTGGATCATGGTCCCATGAGGCCACCTGGGCACATGTCTTTTGGAGCCCCCCGCTTTCCTATGTTGGTGTTTTTCTTGCCTTCCTCCTCGCAAAACATCCACTAGATCGTCAAAATGTAGCTGTCTGACAAGGTCTGACTATTGCCATAAGTGACAATGAGCTGAGTCGTGTTTGGCACAAGCTACTCTGCAGCTCATTTTTTTATTCTGCTTAAAAGGGAAAATGTCCGCTCACCCTGGCAGTTTGTCACTGGCAAAGTTAGAAAGTTAAAGTGCCACGAAAACATTGGGGAACGCTGACTGCAGATGAAGTGACCTGCAAAGTCTCAAGCAATTTAGTTGGGCACTCCTCACCCTCAGAGTCAGACATGAAAGACTTGAATTGGATGAGTTCGTTGGCAAAGTTCAGGTCCAGGTCTGATGGATATGTAGTGGAGAGTGCATTTACCTTTTCCACTATGACATCAGTGTTAGACAACTGGTCTGACATAAACAGAACTCCAAAGAGACTGGTCAAATGCTTGTAAGCGTCCAAGCGATGTTCAAGGCATGCCACTAGCTTATCAGTGACCACATAAAATGTTTCTATTTTGAACTTCTCCCTCTCCTAAAGTGTCAGACCTGGCTATGAGCTCTCATCTGCAAATGTTTTTGGTTTCTTCTTTCCTGAAGATCGTGCTCGCATGACTGACACCTGTCATTTAAGGCTGCCCTTTCAAAAGCCTCAAACTGGTCTCGCTGTCCCACCACAAAATCCCACAACGAAGACAAAAGCTGTTCTGCTTTAGAGATGTCAATGTCACTTTTCTATAGGTGCATGCTTGTAGCGTGGAACCGGTCAAGTATGACGTCCCAGAAACGTGCCATGAACACCATCTCTAAGGTGTCCAATTTAGCACGTAGTCCAGCGGCCTCAATTCGAGTATCTCTTCTCTCATTATCATCATTGCACATACCACCTAAGGCCTCTCTAATGTGGGTGTAATTTCTCCACAGTGCCTTGGTTGACTGCCCGAGAACTCCGAGTACTGGACAGCGATTTCAGTCTGACATTGGTCTTCCGAAAGACTTCCCTCATCTGTGTGTGGATGAAGAGCAAATTGTGTACAGTTACTGCAACATGTTAAAAAACTCGTCAGCCTCTGGGCTACTGCCGTCCAAGGTGTTAACACCAACTAAGTTAAGTGAATGCGCTGCTCAAGGCACAGACTATCAGAGGGTTTTTTTGTTTCAGGTGGGCCTGTAGCCCATTGCATTGTCATATGACGGACCTCTACAGTTTGAGAGGTCCAACCCAAGGCCCTCCACCATAACAGTCACAGTCTGCTAAACTTTTACCAGTGTGGCGCTCAATTGGCTCAAAGCTCAGGAATCACTCCACCACATTCCTGCTGCTGTTAACAAACTGGAATATGAACGTCTATGTCATCCCTCCTTTTCAATTTTTCCAGTTCCAAGCGTTCGTCTTTGCTGATATTACTAACGGGTTTCTTAGAATTTTTAAGTATGGTAGCAATTTCAGCTCTAGCAACATCTGTCGGGATGTGTCCCAAGCCTTTTAGAGCTATATCAACCTGGGAAATTACGGTATATCATCCACTGGGATATGCTTTGGGGGTGACAGCAAAATTCAACCACATAGTCATCCTCTCAGCTGACAAGGGCAATGCCACTGTCATCATGGATAAACCACATACAACAACAAAATCCAGGACCTTATTGATAGTAGCTACTCCAAAATCCCACTAACAGCCTGACGACAAAAAACAATATCATTACTAGTTCGACCTCTCTAATTGAACCAGCTAAACGGCTCTCCCTCAAACCTGCTGCTTGACCACCCAGATTCTATGGTCGTCCTAAGAGCCATAAAGAAAGCACACCACTTCGGCCCATCGTTTCGACTATCAACTCACCTACCTACAAGCTAGCCCGTTTTCTGTCTGCCGCCTTGCTTCCATTCACTGGCAAGACTACCTCAGCAGTACTTAATTCAGCTCACCTTGTCTCTCTAATCAAGGGCATTTCATTGTCCCCAGATGATCTTCTCGTCAGCTTTGATGTGGTTTCTCTGTTCACTAATGTTCCGGTGCCTGACACCTTAGCAATAATTGAAGATTTAGTCCAACATGGACTGAACCCCGATGTACCAAGCGGCCCAGGTGTTACGCTCGATGTGGTCAGCTCACGCTTTAAGCGCTGCGGGGCCCGGGGGCCAGAGGTCGCAAACGGGTTTTGATTCCTTACCCGTACCCGGCCGCACCAGGGTCGCAAATGGGTACCCGTACCCAGCCGGGTACGGGTACCCGTTCCCTACCGTACTCTACCCGAAATGAGTGACAAACGGTTACTCACCAGTGACTCACGGCCTACCCGTACCCGGCCGGGTACGGGTAGCCGGGTATCGGGTAGGGTACGGGTATCGGGTACCCGGTTGCGACCTCTGCCAGGGGCCCAAGTGGTCAGCTCACTCTTTAAACACCAAGGGGTCTGGGGGCCCTCACATTGTAAGTGCTGAGAGGTCTGGGGGGCCCTAGTGGTTCGCTCACGCTATACGCACCCAGGGGCCTAGTGGCCAGCTTGCGCTGTGCGCACTGAGGCCATTGGCGTTCCAACTTTCTTCGTAAGTCTTGGGCCACGCGTCGTGTGCGGTCTGAGGCTTGGAGGCTCCCTGGCAGTCCGAGGGCCCCGGGCACTGTCCCCATTGGCCTGGTCCATAATCCAGCTTTGCGCAAACAGACTCAACACTGCACCATAGGCTCAACACTGCAATTTAACCCATTAAATCCTCTCGATCCCAAATCGTGTGCAAAATCAGATGAACTACTAATAGACGATCAAGACGCACTTTGCCGATTGTTCAGGATTGTCCAACGGTAATAGGTCAGCCAAATACAGAGCAGGGCTACGGACAATAGCCTTGTACATTATTCGGTTTAAATGGTTTAATAGAGTCTTAAGAATAGGCTTTTACTCTTTCCGACAATAAAGCAGGAGTTATCAAGATGTTCAAACGCCAAATAGATACCGTTTGCAAGGAATCAAGTCTGCATTAACCGCACTTGTGGCAAAAAATTCAAACAAACATGGCTCTGATAATAATCTTGATTTGAAGCTTTCGTGACTGCAGGAATCCATACTCTTTGGTTCTTTCGGTAAAGTCACGTAGGTAGAAAATAAAATAAGATAAATCACGACGTTTCGATCGCAACACAAGCGGTCCGCTAGCTCAGCAGTTCCACTGCTTGATTATATTTTTTTCACGCCTGAGGACGACCACTTGTGTTGCCATCGAAACGTCGTGATTTATTTTATTTCATACCCACGTGACTTTACCGAAGGACACCAAAGAGTCTGATAATAATGCACACATTTTCTTGGCTTCTTTCGGTAAAGTCACGTAGAAGGGAAATAATAAATAATAAAATAAAACATAATAAAATAATTCTCACGACGTTTCGGCCACAACGCAAGCAGCCGTCCTCAGGTAAAGAACAGGTCTGTCGGAAAGACAGTGTCTGATTGGGTGACTACGTGACTTTACCGAAAGAACCAAGAAGATGAATCCCTGCAGTCACGAAAGCTTTAAATCGAAATGCACACATTGACTTTGAAACTGATTGGCCTCCACCAGAGATTGCCTCGTCTCACCGCGAGTGTTCGGCCAGAGAACGACAAGAGGTGGAGGACTTGCAGCTTGGCGTGAGCAGCTTTATGACACGTGCACACAAAAAAGGTCCGACAGACTATCAATCGTCAGTGAGCATCGACAACTCCGCCGATGAACGATCGATCACCCGTTGTCCCGAAACTCGAAACTCCAACCGGCGCGCAGATGAACGCTGCCCCACGCGGTACAAACGGGGTCAAGGCGCAGCCCTGCGACCTCCAGAGGGGGCCCATGCAGAGGGTACTTGGCCTACTCTTCCGTGCTGGTTCAGACGTCTTGGAAAAGGTGGCAGTCCTCAGGGCCGGAATAACCCAGAGGCGAAAAAGGCCCTCTCGTGTGTTGTAAGTTTTATTTTACCATTCCACGTTGAAGGAACAGCTGAGCGACGGTGTCAGCTGAGCCACGGTGTCACCTGAGTGACTGTAGCGCACACATCGGCCTAAATCTGTCTTTGAATGACCACGACGTCGTCGTTCACACTTCACTTTGCCACAGCTGCTAAAGCTCGGATGATGGGACGCTGAGTGTTCGTGTGATGTTTCATTCATTTATTTCGAGTCGAATAAATGCGTGAATATTTACAAAGATAAATAAATAATTTTTATTTGATTAATTCGTGTTTTTTTTTTCCGCAACATGTAATTACTCACAATATACCCAGTAGGACCCTTCCCTTCTATTCGCCTTGGGCACCTCATAACCTTAATCCGGCCTTGGGAGTACCCACGCTTTACCCCACCAAACCTGACTTTTGCCGATCGACTGCGGCGTAGCGACGAACGCTCCTGGGTGGGTGGACAGGTTTAAGAAACTGGCAGCGCGTGATTTTTTTTCACAGTCGCCGCGCCGGGAGATGGAATCGAAACGGCGCAAGCCCTTCCGCGTGCTGACCACCAACTCCTCTTCTGTGGCAGCGGCGGCAACCCTCAACGTATCCCAAGCGTGGGGATCGAATCAATCGACGCGTAAACATCTCCCCCATCTAACCACCCTCGGCCCTCCCCGGGCCCCGCACACCGGGATCCTGGGCCCCCACCCCACCTTGTCCCGGTGAGGCCGGCACCACGGCTCGCCCCACCGCCCCCACGGATCCACCGTGCCCGGTGGTGACCCCCCGTGATCCGCACTCCCTCGGCCCCGTGACCCCCAGGCTCTCCCCTCCGGACCCCGCCTCCTCCATCTCAGACCCCGCCTCCTCCATCCCAGGCTCCACTCCGCGCCCCGCCCCCTCACCCCCAGGCACCGCGGCGAAGTCGGTGGCGTCTTCGGTGGGCACGCGGCGAACGAGCTCCCCGCGTGCTGCCAGGATCTCCTCGATGTTCCTGCCGGCACAGCCAGGGGCCAGGCAGGAGGAGAAATCCAATGAGCTATGAAGCTCTTTTTCACAGAACTTCTTTCGCACCGTGCGTAGCCAACCGTGCCAATCGGTGGTGCGAGGGAAGGTCAACAGACTCAACACAAAAAGCAGTTCTAAAAAGGAATGGGTTTTCAATCTAGGTGATTTTAAGTGCCAAAGCTCCAAGTGGCTTGAAGGGTAGAGCGTTCCAGACGGCCGCAGAAGTGCATCCGAAAGCGCCGCGCGATGCAGCGGTCACCACTGCCTTTGCTCGACGGTTTTCCAAAAGCCGCCGCCACTACTGCTGCTGCGAGGATGAGCGGAGTGTCGCGTGGTGATGGTGGTTTATGGCTCCTTGACGAGATCATGCGGTCTCGAAACGAAGACTCCGATTGAGTCTCTCCCCGGAGTACGTACCGCTTGCCCTCCAGGTCGGAGAACCAGCGCAGGTTGTCGGCGATGATGTGGTGATTCCCGCAGCCTGGGCAGGTGACGATCACCACGCCGCTGTGGTACGCCACCTTCGAGATCCGCTTGGCTGTGCGGGTGCTGCACACCTGAGCTCGCACGGACAAAAGAAGAGAAATAACCTCTAAATCTAGATTTGAAGCTTTCGCGACTGCAGGAATCCAGCAAAGAAAAAAAAATCTTGCCGTGGTTTTCCCACCTGATGATGATTGCTTGTGTTGCAATCGAAACGTCGTGATTTATTTTATTTTCTACCTACGTGACTTTACCGAAAAAACCAAAGAGTAAAGAACCTTTACTTTAGAATGCAGGAGGGAGGAGGAGGGGGAGGAGGAGGAATCCCATGAGCTATGACGCTTGTTTTTTCACAGATGTCCAGCAAGGGTAGGTCAGAAAATTTGCTACTTTATTATTAAATGCTTTTGATCCCAAAAAGTAAGCAAGTCGTGAGAAATAAATGCAAAGTACATGAGTACGAACTAAAACGAAACTATTTTAGTTTATTTTACCAAGTAAGGCCCACTGAGCTACATGGCTCTTTGTCAGAAGCGACCTGCCCACAAATGACAGCTCAACGAAGTGGCTCGTCATCATCATCATGGGGACATTCATAGCAGCAAAATAGCGAGCAGCGAGGCCTGTGAATGCCGGCACGGCCCACGATGGCACGGGGTGGGCGGGCAAGCGCCACCGCCCGGCCCCGGCTGCCGAGTCGACCCGAGGGACGGCCCAGGACCGGTTCAAATATTCCGTCGCCGGTGCTGGTGGCTGTGCGTGGGGTCGCAGCCGGGTGCCTAGTGCAGCGCGCTAACCGCTGCGCCACCGCTCCCCGTGCACGCACGCATGCAGTCATGCCTGGTTATCGGTGGAACGGTGGGGGTGGCACAGGGGTGGCAAGGGGGGGGGGGCGACATGGGAGTGGCACCGGGGGTGGCACGGGGGTGGCAAGGGGGGCGGCACGAAGATGACATGGGGGATGTGGCACAGGGGATGGCACGGGGTGTGGCACGGGGGAGGTACGGGGGGTGGCACGGAGGGTGGCATGGGAATGGCATGGGAGGCGCCACGGGGTGCGGCACCTTGCAGGTGAACACCAGCTGGTAGTGCGGCTGCTTCACGGCTCCGAGCGCCGTCGCCGCCCCCGCCGGGTCCGCGTCCGCTCCGCTGCAAAGGCCCCGCCAGGCCCGCTGGTGCCCCGCCGGCGTAGGCGGGGCAAGCGAGGGCCGTAGCGTCGGCCTGCGGGTCGGGGCGGGGGAGACGGCGCCATTAACGCCGTCACGGCGTCGCGAGACGGAGAATCCGCTCGGAAGTGGACATCACAGAGCTACCTCTGAGACCCCCTACTTCATCTCCAAGTGATGCTCCGGTCATCACAGAACGCTCCACGGAAGCGGTCCCCTTGGTGGCCTTTAGTGCGGCCCCTGAACGTGCGGTCCCCCCGTAACAATACACAAAGAGTGAGAACATCACCACTCATCATCATCATAGACGTCGTTGCACTGCTGTCCAAACCCCCCCCCAACAGTTCCGCAAATGGTGTGGCGGCCCCTCGCTCGCACTGACGATGTCTTATCGGCGAAAGTGCCGCCACCACCCCCCCTCCGCCTCTGAACACGAGTGAAGGACGCCGGGTTGGAGGCACCCACCAAGAGGCGAGGGCGCGACGGGCTGCTGTCAGCGGCCCTTGGAGTCCCTCCGACCCACGGACGCCGAGAGGCGTCGCGAGTCCGGGCCGGGTCGCGCGAAACTTCCGGCCGACGCCGGCCGCGAGACGCGCCGCCACCACCGCCAGTCCCCGCATGCCTCTCGTACCGCCCCACTCCACTCCGCTGTGGCCGTGGCCCGGGCGAGGGAGAGACTCGGTTCTAGAGAAGGAGGCAGGGGGGCGGGGGGGGGGCTGGATCTCAAAAGTCGAAGGGCAGCTTCTCTCCGCTAGGTGCCAGTTGTCCGCGTTTTAGAGGTCGCAGGAATCAGGCGTCGTCAGGGTCTGGGCGTTCAAGTTATAGGAGGCGGAACCCATAGATGTCAACCCCTTATCAGTGCCCCATCTTATTACAGACCATTTCAGACCTTATAGGTCACCCCGTGCCCTTATAAATCTCAACGTGCATCCTACAAAGTCCTATCACAAGGGAGAAACACAAATAGACACATTTTTTTGTTGTTGCCTGTATTTTAAAACGGCTGTACGCTGTATGGAAAACTCAATTTCCCTGTACAAGAATACGAGGTAAACCGTATGGGTTGACAGTTATGCAGAACCGATCCAGGTTCCACATCCCACAGCCTGGGGTTTTGTCTGGTCCCAAATGTCGTCTGTAGCCCAGCGGTACGAGTCTTAATGTCCGGGGTTTTAAGCTTCACCTGCCAAAAAGGGGGGGACACATCCCCCCCCCCCCAATACTAAAATATATTCAAAATGTCCCCCCCAATATATTGCTATAAAATGTATTTCTGTTTATATGATTGTGGTCATGGTTGTACTTTATAAATCCCTAATCTCTGCCATTATATACAATGAAACAAATAAAAAGTCCATCCCATGTGTTCGTGAATTTTTTTTATATTTTAGGCAGGAAATTAGTTTTCAAATTAAGATTTTTTTTCCTGGGGGGGGGGGACCCCCAGACCCCCTGGAAGATTTGGTCCCCCCCAATGTTGACTCCATGGCTACGGCCTTGGCATACGTTGGACTTCTTTCGCACCGTACGTCGCCAACCGTGCTAATCGGAGGTGCGGGGGAAGTACAACAAACTAAACACACACACAAACAACAACTAAACTAAACACCACCACAGCCGCGGTTGTCAGAGACCAGTACGAACTCACTCAAGGGTCGTAGCAGAGTTCTAGACCCAAGGTTTTCCAGAGTTTTAGTCCCAAGGTTTGTAGGCGTAGGAGAGTTCTAGACCCAAGCTTTGCAGGCGTCCCAGAGTTCTAGACCAAAGGTTTGCAGGTGTAGCATAGTTCTAGTCCCAAGGTTTGCAGGTGTAGCAGAGTTCTAGTCCCAAGGTTTGCAGGCGTAGCAAAGTTCTAGACCCACGGTTTGCCAGAGTTCTAGACCCAAGGTTTGCATACGTAGCAGAGTTCTAGACCCAAGGTTTGCCAGAGTTCTAGTCCCAAGGTTTGCAGGTGTAGCAGAGTTCTAGACCCAAGATTTGCAGATGTAGTATAGTTCTAGTGCCAAGGTTTGCAGATGTAGCAGAGTTCTAGACACAATGTTTGCAGGTGTAGCAGAGTTCTAGACCCAAGGTTTGCAGGTGTAGCAGAGTTCTAGACCCAAGGTTTGCCAGAGTTGTAGATCCAAGGTTTGCAGGCGTGCCAGAGTTCTAGACCCAAGGTTTGCCAGAGTTCTAGACCCAAGGTTTGCAGGCGTAGCACCCACACACAAGGGTTGGAGGTTCGATTTCCCCGATGGTGGCTTCGTCTCTCTCACACACACATCCACCCGCTGCGTAGTTTTCCAAAGATTCGCGAATCGATGGTGGAGGGTCCACACTGCCACAGTTTCAATGGACCCAGAACCCGGAGTGGCAGGTTCGAGCACCTGACACTGCCCCCACTCTTGTCTCAAGCGGTCGAACCTCTGATCCCAGAGTTCCAGGTTCGATTCCCGGTCCCAGTCACTGCTCCCACTCTTGTCTCAAGCGATCAAACCTCCGGTCCCAGATTTCCAGGTTCGAGTCCCGGTCCCAGTCACTGCCACTCACGCCGTCTCAAGCGATCGAACCTCTGATCCCAGAGTTCCAGGTTCGAGTATCGACCCCAGTCACTGCTCCCACTCTTGTCTCAAGCGATCGAACCTCCGGACCCAGAGTTCCAGGTTCGAGTCCCGGCCTCAGTCACTGCCACTCATGCCGTCTCAAGCGGTCGAACCTCCGGTCCCAGAGTTCCAGGTTCGAGTCTCGACCCCAGTCACTGCTCCCACTCTTGTCTCAAGCGATCAAACCTCCGGTCCCAGAGTTCCAGGTTCGGCTCCCGGCCTCAGTCACTGCCACTCACGCTGTCTCAAGCGATCGAACCTCTGATCCCAGAGTTCCAGGTTCGAGTCTCGACCCCAGTCACTGCCACTCACGCCGTCTCAAGCGGTCGAACCTCCGGTCCCAGAGTTCCAGGTTCGGCTCCCTGCCTCAGTCACTGCCACTCATGCCGTCTCAAGCGGTCGAACCTCCGGTCCCAGAGTTCCAGGTTCGAGTCCCTGCCTCAGTCACTGCCACTCACGCTGTCTCAAGCGGTCGAACCTCCGGTCACAGAGTTCCAGGTTCGGCTCCCTGCCTCAGTCACTGCCACTCACGCTGTCTCAAGCGGTCGAACCTCCGGTCCCAGAGTTCCAGGTTCGAGTCCCTGCCTCAGTCACTGCCACTCACGCTGTCTCAAGCGGTCGAACCTCCGGTCACAGAGTTCCAGGTTCGACTCCCTGCCTCAGTCACTGCCACTTACGCCGTCTCAAGCGGTCGAACCTCTGGTCCCAGAGTTCCAGGTTCGAGTCTCGACCCCAGTCACTGCCACTCACGCCGTCTCAAGCGGTCGAACCTCTGATCCCAGAGTTCCAGGTTCGAGTCTCGACCCCAGTCACTGCCACTCACGCCGTCTCAAGCGATCAAACCTCCGGTCCCAGAGTTCCAGGTTCGAGTCTCGACCCCAGTCACTGCTCCCACTCTTGTCTCAAGCGGTCGAACCTCCGGTCCCAAAGTCCCAGGTTCGACTCCCTGCCTCAGTCACTGCCACTTACGCCGTCTCAAGCGGTCGAACCTCTGATCCCAGAGTTCCAGGTTCGAGTCTCGACCCCAGTCACTGCTCCCACTCTTGTCTCAAGCGGTCGAACCTCCGGTCCCAAAGTCCCAGGTTCGGCTCCCTGCCTCAGTCACTGCCACTCACGCCGTCTCAAGCGATCGAACCTCTGATCCCAGAGTTCCAGGTTCGAGTCCCTGCCTCAGTCACTGCCACTTACGCCGTCTCAAGCGGTCGAACCTCTGATCCCAGAGTTCCAGGTTCGAGTCCCGGTCCCAGTCACTGCCACTTACGCCGTCTCAAGCGGTCGAACCTCTGATCCCAGAGTTCCAGGTTCGACTCCCTGCTTCAGTCACTGCCACTCACGCTGTCTCAAGCGGTCAAACCTCCGGTCCCAGAGTTCCAGGTTCGAGTCTCGACCCCAGTCACTGCTCCCACTCTTGTCTCAAGCGGTCGAACCTCTGATCCCAAAGTCCCCAGAGCTCCAGGATCCAGTCTCGATCCACGCTCTCTGCCCGCACTCAACCCCGCTGGGCGAACACGTGGGGCGAGGGGGGCGGGGCCACTTCCCAGTGTCGGCGACGCCCATTGGCTGCGGTGTCGAGTCCGTGGGCGTGGCGTGACGGTGCGCGAGTTCACGGCCGCCTGCGATTGGACGAGACGGTGGTGGGGGGTGGGGGCTCGGGCGAGTGGTGGAGCCCCGCGTGCCGTGCACCCCCCCCCCCCCCCTGGCCACACGCGTGGCGACTCGGGATCGAACGCGGCTGCTTCGGCCTCGTCGGGTGATCAACAACAACAACAGCAGCCTCGGTGCGGTGATGTGTGCGTGCTACGCTATGAACCTGGCGACCCGGGTTCGATTCCCGCTCACGGCCAACACCTGTGACGATTATCTGAAGCCGGTCCTGGGCCTCCCCTAGGTCGACTCAGCCTGAAATGCGTACCTGGTGCGGTGTGTAAACATCGCCACTGGGGAGAGAAAGGCGTGGTGCTGGCCTTCATAGGTGCTCGCTGACAGCACTTGCCCCGACAGTCTGTTAAGACTATATGGGGGGTCTTTATCTTTGTGTGGGTGAGTAGTGGCGCGTGTGTGTGGGTGGTTGTGTGTGTGGTTGTGTGTGTGTGTGGTTGTGTGTGTGTGGTTGTGTGGGTGGTTGTGTGTGTGTGTGTGGTTGTGTGTGTGTGGTTGTGTGGGTGGTTGTGTGGGTGGTTGTGTGTGTGTGTGGTTGTGTGTGTGTGGTTGTGCGTGTGTGTGGTTGTGTGTGTGGTTGTGTGTGTGTGGGTGGTTGTGTGTGTGTGTGGTTGTGTGTGTGTGGTTGTGTGTGTGTGGTTGTGTGTGTGTGGTTGTGTGTGTGGTTGTGTGTGTGGTTGTGAGTGTGTGGTTGTGAGTGTGTGGTTGTGTGGGTGGTTGTGTGTGTGTGTGGTTGTGCGTGTGTGTGGTTGTGTGGGTGGTTGTGTGTGTGTGTGGTTGTGTGTGTGTGTGGTTGTGTGTGTGGTTGTGTGTGTGTGTGGTTGTGTGTGTGTGGTTGTGTGTGTGGTTGTGTGTGTGGTTGTGTGTGTGTGGTTGTGTGTGTGGTTGTGTGTGTGTGGTTGTGTGTGTGGTTGTGTGGGTGGTTGTGTGGCCACCCACCCCCTCGTGTGCTGTGTCGGCCTTCATAGGTGCTGCTTGCTAACAGCACTTGCCCCTACAGTCTGTTACAGGCTACATGGGGGATCTCTGTCTTTGTTGTCACAGGCGCGACCCTGTAGGGGTTGGGGTAGTGATAGGGGACTGGGGTAGTGATAGAGGTTGGGGTAGTGATAGGGGTTGGGGTAGTCATAGGGGTAGTGATAGGGGCTGGGGTAGTGATAGGGGTTGGGGTAGTGATAGGGGTTGGGGTAGTGATAGGGGCTGGGGTAGTGATAGAGGTTGGGGTAGTGATAGGGGTTGGGGTAGTCATAGGGGTAGTGATAGGGGCTGGGGTAGTGATAGGGGTTGGGGTAGTGATAGGGGTTGGGGTAGTGATAGGGGTTGGGGTAGTGATAGGGGTTGGGATAGTGATAGGGGTTGGGGTAGTGATAGGGGTTGGGGTAGTGATAGGGGTGGGGGTAGTGATAGGGGCTGGGGTAGTGATAGGGGTTGGGGTAGTGATAGGGGTGGGGGTAGCGATAGGGGTTGGGGTGGTGATAGGGGTTGGGGTGGTAATAGGGGTTGGGGTAGTGATAGGGGTTGGGGTAGTGATAGGGGTTGGGGTGGTGATAGGGGTTGGGGTGGTAATAGGGGGTGGGGTAGTGATAGGGGTTGGGGTAGCGATAGGGGTTGGGGTGGTGATAGGGGTTGGGGTGGTGATAGGGGTTGGGGTGGTGATAGGGGTTGGGGTAGTGATAGGGGTGGGGGTAGTGATAGGGGTAGTGATAGGGGTTGGGGTGGTGATAGGGGTTGGGGTAGTGATAGGGGTTGTGGTAGTGATAGGGGTTGGGGTGGTGATAGGGGTTGGGGTAGTGATAGAGGTTGGGGTGGTGATAAGGGTAGTGATAGGGGTTGGGGTAGTGATAGGGGTTGGGGTGGTGATAGGGGTTGGGGTGGTAATAGGGGTTGGGGTAGTGATAGGGGTTGGGGTAGTGATAGGGGTGGGGGTAGTGATAGGGGTAGTGATAGGGGTTGGGGTAGTGATAGGGGTTGGGGTAGTGATAGGGGTTGTGGTAGTGATAGGGGTTGGGGTGGTGATAGGGGTTGGGGTAGTGATAGGGGTTGTGGTAGTGATAGGGGTTGGGGTGGTGATAGGGGTTGGGGTGGTGATAGGGGTTGGGGTAGTGATAGGGGTTGGGGTAGTGATAGGGGTTGGGGTAGTGATAGGGGTTGGGGTAGTGATAGGGGTTGGGGTAGTGATAGAGGTTGGGGTAGTGATAGGGGTTGGGGTAGTGATAGGGGTTGGGGTAGTGATAGGGGTGGGGGTAGTGATAGGGGTGGGGGTAGTGATAGGGGTAGTGATAGGGGTTGGGGTGGTGATAGGGGTTGGGGTAGTGATAGGGGTTGTGGTAGTGATAGGGGTTGGGGTGGTGATAGGGGTTGGGGTAGTGATAGGGGTTGTGGTAGTGATAGGGGTTGGGGTGGTGATAGGGGTTGGGGTAGTGATAGGGGTTGGGGTAGTGATAGAGGTTGGGGTGGTGATAGGGGTAGTGATAGGGGTTGGGGTAGCGATAGGGGTTGGGGTAGCGATAGGGGTTGGGGTAGCGATAGGGGTTGGGGTAGCGATAGGATGGTTGCTCTGTGTGCTGCAGGTGGAGTTGGTTCAGTGGAGGGGAGCGAGAGAGAGCGACGGTGGAGACTTGGAGCGTAGGGGACGGGACGGCACAGGGTAGTGAGATGTAACTCATCGTGTGGAAACTGCGGGCAGAGGGCTCGCGTGTCGGCATGCGTCCACGTGTGTTCGTACAACGCACGCCAGTTGTGCCATCTGGCACAATGGGGAGCACGGGGGGTGCATCTGCCAATCATCTCAGTCAACCCATAACACATGGCTCCATCACGTGACCTCCTCCACCTAGCCCGGCACAGCAGTCAACCCATGGTACCTGCGTCTGTTCCGTGACCACGTCCTGCACCTAGCCTGGCACAGCAGTCAACCCGTGGCACCTGGGTCTGTCCCGTGGCTTCCTCCACCTAGCCCGGCACAGCAGTCAACCTATGGTACCTGCGTCTGTTCCGTGACTACATTCTGCACCTAGCCTGGCACAGCAGTCAACCCGTGGCACCTGGGTCTGTCCCGTGGCTTCCTACACCTAGCCTGGCACAACATTCAACTCATGGCACCTGGGTCCATCCCGGGACCTTCTCCTGTACCTAGCCTGGCACCAGCAGTCAAACCCTGCCAGTAACAGCGAGCTTTCCACATGTCACGTGACGGCCTCAAAGTGCACCCAGCCTGGCGCAAGAGCCGTGGTGGTATTGGCGGTGAACGTAGGCTGCTGTTGCGTGCGTGTTTACTAAGTGGTGGGTATTCATCACGGCGTTTGTGCCAGGCTATTTGTACGTTGAGGCCACGTGAAGTGCCGAACGCCCGCTGGCAGGAGGTCACAGGACAGACCCAGGTGCCACAAGTTGACTGACTGAGAGGACTGGCAGACGCACCACCTGTGCTCCCTACAGTGCTGTGTTTTAGCCGCCCAGCTCTCCGCTCGTTGTTGTGAGCGTAGCTCCTCTGCCCTCTGTTGTTGCTGGAGGGCGACTTCCTCCAACTGCCCAGTAGCAGCGTCCTTCACGAGCCTCCTCCACAGAGGCCGATCTTGACACCGCTGGTACCGGTCATTGGCAAGTCCACTCAGCTCCACGTCCGCTTGTACCACATCACTCCATCTCTTCTCCAGCCTGTGCTGTGCGCGTTTAGCCCCCCCTCTATCCGGCCAAACAAAAACAGCTTGTGCTTGCGGTGGCCTGGGCATGCCACCGCATGCCGTGTGTGTCCTTCGGGCCATACACACACTTGGATACGGACGCAGCGACATACGAGCAGATGGACGGACACTAATAATTATTATTTCAACAGCAAAAGGGAGTGAGCGTGCAAACTACACAACAACAGTAGCCAATGGGGTTTACACGAAACCCAGGCCTTGTGCCGCGGTTAGGAGGAGGAATCCGATGAGCTCTGAAGTTCTTTTCAACTGATGTCCAGCGGTATGGGGGCGGCGGGTCAGACATTTACAACAACAAACGATGCGATACTCGACTCAAACGAACCACAACACCTCGCTGATTTCGTCAAGGAGCATAAACCATCATCACGCGGACACTCCGCTCATCCTCGCAGCAGCAGCGGCGGCTTTTGGCTGCATATCACGTGCTTTCAAGTGCGCTTCTGCGGCCGTCTGGAACGCTCTTCCTTACGATATGAGAAAGCCACTGGGGCTACACACTTTTAATTCATCATCCAGATAGAAAACTCATTTCTTTAGAACTGTTTTTTGTGTTTAGTTTGGTGTCCTTACCCCGCACCTCCGATTAGTACGGTTGGCTACGTACGGTGTGAAAAAAGTTCAACATACATACAAAGATCCCCTGTATAGCCTTAGCAGACTGTTGGAGCAAGTGCTGTTAGCAAACTCCTATGAAGGCCGGCAGGGCACACGAGGGGGTGGGTGGCCAGCACCACGCCCGACCGCTTTTGTCTCCCCAGTGGCGATGTTTACACATCGCACCAGATACTCATTTGAGGCTGAGTCGTATGTATTTATTAATTACAATACTGTATTGCACAGTAAAATGGAAAGTAAAAAAACAAGGTAAATTCTTAGCCTACCTATATGAACTGCAATTGAATAGAACGTTTATTTCAGGAAACTATCCTATCTGCCATGAAAACTTTTAACATGCATTGAACGTATGGTATCGTGGTAACCCTAAAATGAAATCGCTAAAGCTACGTATCATACATGCATTGAACGTACAGTATCGTACCTCATACGCTGCCGCGTTTGCCTGCCGCGCGAAATTTTTTATATTTTACAATTTTGTCGTATCGCCATCGTAAGATCGAAATATCGTAAGTCGGACCATCGTAACTCTGGGACTACCTGTATACAATCGGAGTCTAGGTCGGGATCGTGCCCACGACCTCCTGCACGCCAGGTGAGGTCGTTAACATCTCCTAGCCACCACACGGACGACGATGACGATTGGTGAACCGGCTCTGTTTCTCACGTGGGGAGGGGGCCTCAGGCTGTGGAATCCCACTCACGAGGCCCACTTCATCTTAAGGAGCTTTCCTGTTTTCTCGAGTCGTACATTTTGGGGTTGGATTTGGGGTTGGGCTTGATTCGGGGGGGTACATCTCCTGGCGTGTGACGCTTGTGTGTTTGGACTTTTTAAATCCTTTATATTAAGTTCACTTGCTTGCTTGCGCGCTTACGACCGTGCAAATCTTTCGGTCGTTTTTTAACCCACTTCCCGTGATCCAATCGAGCTGACATTTTGCACACAGACTCGTTGTGCGTGACTAATTAATGTTCGTGAAAATTTTTTTCCTAAATTTTACACTTATTAGGAAAACATTTTTTATATTTAATTACCAATTGCTTAATGGTGGCAGGCAATCATCTGACCCATAGGTGGCAGCCATCTCAAGCCAGAGGACGAGAGGACTCTAGCCGCCACGCATATAAAGGATTTATAGTGAAAAACTTTGTTTTTACGGGCTAATTTTTTTCGGGTTCGATCGCGTGGATGTAAATGTGGCGTTGAACCCGCCTCCATCCGACACAGAAAGTTAGCGAGGTTTGTACGAAAGGAAACATGAAGCCAGTTGTAATCGCCAGCGAAATGTCGTACTCAAATGGTAAGTGTTGTGGATTTACTCTCCGCCGACACAGTGCTGTGCTAGAAGTAGCAACTAATTGGCGCGTTTTATTTACGTGACAAACTTTACTAATTGGCTCTGTCGGGTGGTGGTGGATTAGCAACACGATTATATTTACGTGATCTAACCCAAAAACAAACCTATATCTATATATATAAAAGGGAAATTTGTGATTATGTCTGTCTGTTGAAAATGCTTTGCGTACTTCCCGACATACAACAAACTTGAAATTTGCCATGGGGGTACTTTCCAGACTGTGCACCATGCAAAATTTGTAAAAAAATTACTTTTGTATTTTTTTTTGGGGGGGGGGGCGCAATAATGCATATATTTTGCACGGCAAGTGAGCTGTGATGTCACATCTGTCATGTGACCCGTGTGCGGAAGCGTAACAGAGTGTGCCTGCAGATGTCACCCCCAACCCTCCGTGGGTAAAGTGCCATACAAATGTGTTGCAGGTCTCAGGCGTTCTTCACGCAGCATTGCTGCTTTATTATTTCAGTCATTTACTGCACCCTGAAAGTTGTGTGTGTCTGCAGCAAGCGCGTGTATGTGTGGGAGGAGCGGTAGTGTGGTGGTTAGCGCGCTGGGCTACGAACCCGGCCACCCGAGTTCGATTCCCGCTCATGGCCACCACCGGTGACGATTATTTGAACCGGTCCTGAGCCTCCCCAAGGTCAACTCAGCCTCAAACGAGTAACTGGTGTGGTGTGTGAACATCGCCACTGGGGACACAAAGGCGGCCGGGCGTCGTGAATCCAAGTCCCGGGCGAAGCCGGGTAGTGAAGCTAGTTATTGTGTATTTGGAGTTTGCGTCTCTCTCTCTCTCCCCGTGGCCGCGTGGATTTTTCTCAAGGTCCTCCGGTTTTCCCCTCCACATTTAGAATCAACGTCACGCGTTCAGAGCATTTGGCCGCTATGAATTCGTGATGAAAGATCAGCCACTTCGGTGAGCTGTCATTCATGGGCAGGTAGCCTTTGAAAGAGAGCTACATTGCTCGGTGTGCCTTGCCTGGTAAAATAGTTTAGTTTAACATGTAGGTTTTCGTGACCAATATCATCCATAATACAGGTTTTTTTTTGGTTTAGATCGCATCATCAATATATAAATGTGACTGTCGCCTGATGAAGCTCGTTGTAATTACTGGTGAAACGTCGTACTCAGATTGTCAATGTTGTGGCTTGGCTCTCCAACACACCGGTGTTGCTGTACTAGTATACTACACTATACACTACACTATACACTACTATACACTACACTATACACTACACTATACACTACTATACACTACACTACTATACACTACACTACTATACACTACACTATACACTACTATACACTGTACACTATACACTACTATACACTACACTATACACTCCACTATACACTACACTATACATTACTATACACTACACTACTATACACTACACACTACACTATACACTACTATACACTACACTATACACTACACTATACACTACACTACTATACACTACACTATACACTACTATACACTACTACTATACACTACACTATACACTACACTATACACTACACTACTATACACTACACTACTATACACTACAATACTTTACACTACACTATACACTACACTATACACTACACTATACACTACACTATACACTACACTATACACTACACTATACACTACACTATACACTACACTATACACTACAATACTATACACTACACTATACACTACACTATACACTACACTATAAACTAGTGCTGTAATAGTGACGAATTGGCCACGTTCTGTTTACGTGACAACCCTTACTAGTTGGCTGTGTCGGGTGGTGGCAGGTTTAACGACACATTTATATATTTACGCGATCTAACCCAAAAAAACTGCTTAATGGAGAAATAGTTTAGTTTTAAATAATGTTTACATTGGCGTCAGCCTACATGGTTTTATTTTGTTCCCCAATGAACAGTGACCTCCATACAGCGACCTCCATGCAGTGCCCCGTGACCTCCATGCAGTTCCCCGTGACCGCTCTGGCTCTGCATGTAACTTTTGACGGTGGATCTCTCTCTGGTCTAACGCCAGTGGCGAGACGGGCGATGAATGAGGCCGTCTCTGGCGCAGTCCAATCGGTGTCAAGGACGATGCGTACATTTTGATCAAAGCGTATTTGTCCGTGCGTTTGCTACCACAGGCGCGGCGTATGTACATTGAACTTCTATTTCCACTGGGATATTTGCACAGGGTTGGTGTACGGTGATTTTTTCTGCAATATTTTGCTGTCTTTTCTTGGATTTTCTGTTTGCACATAGTCACTTTTAGATGTTTTCTTGTTCATGTTTTTGTTTGTTGCGGTTGCACCCGATTCAAGAGCCGAATGGCTCACAGGGCTATACCTAATAAGTGATCTTTTAACTATCTCACCACCGTACGCAGTCAGCGGCGCTGATCGGAAGTGCCTGGGGAAGGACAACAAAATTAAAACAACGCAAAGAGCGGTCCTAAAGAAATGAGTTTGTCCATCGTCGAGTTGACTTAAAAGGTGCGTGGCTGCCGTGGCTTCCTAATAGCGGAAGGAGGAGCGCTCCAGTTGTAAAGAGGTGATGTGCGGTAAATGCAGCCTCCATGCCTCGTGATAGGTGTGTGTCCGTTTGGTGTTAAGATGTTCCAACATCCGAAGACGTTCAAACATCCTGACACCTCTCCGTGCGTTGTTGTTGTTGTTACCGGACAGCGCAAAGCCGTCGCTTGTCTCGCCGCTCCTCGTTATCCCACGCGGTGGGTAGGTGGCGACGGCTGCCGCCGTGCTCTCTCCGCTGCTGGCCGGAGGCTGCCATGGCCCCCGTCCCCCCCCCGTCAGCCTCGCCATGGGGCGGTCTCTGGCTGTGTGTGCCTGCCTTTTATAGCCGTGCCGGCGGCCGTGCTCCACCGCCCCAGCTAAAGTTAGAATAGCGGCACAACGGCGCTGGCATTGCGCTGCTCGCCCGGTCTCGCGCGCGCGCGCTCGCTCATAGGCACGCACGTGCTCGCTGGACACACGGTGACACACGCGGTGACACACACGCGGTGACACACACATAGACACACGGTGACACACACAGACACACGTTGATATACAGACACGCGGTGACACGCGCAGGGACATGCGGTGACACACACAGACACACGGTGACACACACAGACACACAGTGACACACACAGACACACGGTGACACACACAGACACACGTTGATATACAGACACGCGCAGGGACATGCGGTGATGCGCACAGGGATACGCGCGGACACGGAGGAACGCGCGTAGACACACGCAGTGACACACAGGGACACGCGTTGACACACAGGGACACGCGTTGACACACACGGACACGTGGTAACACACACAGACGTACACAGTTACACACATTCTCACACGCACACAGTCACACACACACAGTCACACAGTCTCACAGTCGCATGCACACAGTCACTCAGTCACTCAGTCACTCAGTCACACAGTCACACAGTCACACACTCACACAGTCACACAGTCACACACAGTCACTCAGTCACACACTCAGTCACTCAGTCACACAGTCACACACTCACACAGTCACTCAGTCACACAGTCACACACACACAGTCACACAGTCGCACACACACAGTCACACAGTCGCACGCACACACTCACACATTCACACACTCACACATTCACACACTCACACATTCACACACTCACACATTCACATACTCACAGAGTCACATTCACACAGTCACTCAGTCACACAGTCGCAGTCACACAGTCACACAGTCACTCAGTCACACAGTCACACAGACACACAGCCACACAGTTGTACAGTCACACACGCACACAGTCACACGGACACAGTCGTTCAGTCTCACTCACACAGTCACACAGTCATATTCACACAGTCTCACGCGTGCATCGTCTGCGTTTCCCACAGGCTCTGGTCGAGTCCGGTCCACACGCAGGCGTGAGGAGGAGCAGGATCAGGAGGAGCAAAAGCGGCAACGTCCTGGTGGAGGACTGTTGCAGAAGACCTCGTGGGGAGAGCCATCGCGAGGAGGTGGCGGGAGTGAGGAGGTGTTGGGAGTGAGGAGGTGCCGGTGAGGAGGTGCCGTTGAGGAGGTGTCGGTGAAGAGGTGTCGGGAGTGAGGAGGTGCCGTCGAGGAGGTGTCGGGAGTGAGGAGGGGACGGTGAAGAGGTATCGGGAGTGAGGAGGTGCCGTTGAGGAGGTGTCGGGAGTGAGGAGGGGACGGTGAAGAGGTATCGGGAGTGAGGAGGTGCCGTTGAGGAGGTGTCGGGAGTGAGGAGGTGCCGGTGAAGAGGTGTTGGGAGTGAGGAGGTGTCGGTGAAGAGGTGTCGGGAGTGAGGAGGTGTCGGTGAAGAGGTGTTGGGAGTGAGGAGGTGCCGTTGAGGAGGTGCCATTGAGAAGGTGTTGGGAGTGAGGAGGTTCCGGGAGCGAGGAGGAGGTTCGTAGAGGAGGCGTCCAGTCGAGGAGGCAGGGCGACAACGAGGAGGAGGAGGCGGAGGAGGCGGCGATGACGAGCGAGGTGATTGACGACGAGCCCGAGTTCTACAGCCGGGCGGAGGAGTACTGGCGGCAGACGTCGCCCACCGTGGACGGCATGCTGGGCGGCTACGGCCACATCTCCAGCATCGACATCGCCGCCTCGCGCAAGTTCCTGCTGCGCTTCCTCGACGTGAGCACCCCTTGTGCTCGCTAACAGCACTTGCCCCTACAGTCTGTTAAGGCTATATGGGGGATCTTTGTGTTGAGTGAGTACCTGTGTGTACCTGTGTGTGAGTACCTGTGTGTGACTGTGTGTGTGTGTACCTGTGTGTATATACTTGTGTTTGTGTGATGAGTGAGTATCTGTGTGTACCTGTGTGTGAGTACCTGTGTGTGACTGTGTGTGTACCTGTGTGTGTGATGAGTGAGTACTTGTGTGTGTGTACCTGTGTGTGTGTGTACCTGTGTGTGTGTGTATGAGTACCTGTGTGTGTGTGTGGGTACCTGTGTGTGTGATGAGTGAATACCTGTGTGTGTGTACCTGTGTGTGTATGTACCTGTGTGTGAGTACCTGTGTGTGTATGAGTACCTGTGTGTGTATGAGTACCTGTGTGTGAGTACCTGTGTGTGAGTACCTGTGTGTGTGTACCTGTGTGTGTGAGTACCTGTGTGTGTGAGTACCTGTGTGTGTGTACTTGTGTGTGTGTGTACCTGTGTCTGAGTACCTGTGTGTGTGATGAGTGAGTGTACCTGTGTGTGTGTGATGAGTGAGTACCTGTGTGTGTGATGAGTGAGTGTACCTGTGTGTGTGTGATGAGTGAGTACCTGTGAGTACCCGTGTGGGGAGCGGTAGTGTAGTGGTTAGCGGGCTGCGCTATGAACCCGACGACCAGAGTTCGATTCCCCGCTCACAGCCAACACCACCGGTGACGATTATAATCTGCACCGGTCCTAGGCCTTCCCTAACTCTACTCAGCCTGAATAGAGTACCCGGTGCGGTGTGTAGTAAACATCGCCACTAGGGGAGACAAAGGCGGCCGGGCGTGGTGCTGGCCACCCACCTCCTCATTAATAATCATTAGCGGGTTACGTCACTCCACATGGAGCTCCCCCCCCCTCATCAATAATAATGAGCTGATGACATCACTCACGTGGACCCCGCTCCCACCCCCTCATTAATAATCATGAGCGGGTCATTATTTTATGTTGAATATTTCAGGATGAACTGCAATACGCTCGTCCATGGACGGGCTACGGGGCTAGTGTACGATAACATGGGTTTAGTTTTTGGGTTAGATCGTGTAAAACATAAATGCGTTGTTATCATCCACCACCACCACAACCACCCGACGACCTCCTGTACACGAGGTGAGGTCGTCAACGTCCCGCCACCGCGGTAAGATGTCAACGAACCAAACATCTGGGTGGGGGGGTGAGTGCGGAGGATCTTTGTCCTTTGAGGGAGCAGTATTGTCCGTTGGGGGGGCACCTGCTCTGCGAGTGGCTCAGAGTCACTCTGTCACTGTGTCCGTACGTGCCTGTGTGTGTCCGTCCATACGTGTCCGTCCGTGTGTCCGTGCGTGTCTCTGTAACTGTGTCCGTGTGTGTCCGTATCCGTCCGTGTGTGTCCGTGTGTGTCTCTGTAACTGTGTCCGTGTGTGTCCGTCCGTGTGTGTCCGTGTGTGTCTCTGTAACTGTGTCCGTGTCTGTCTGTGTCCGTCTGTGTGTGTCCGTGTGTGTCCGTGCATGTCTCTGTAACTGTGTCCATCCGTGCGTGTCCGTGTCCGTCCGTGTGTGTCCGTGCGTGTCTCTGTAACTATGTCGGTGCGTGATTGTACGTCCGTCCGTACGTGTACGTCCGTACGTGTCCGTCCGTACGTGTGTGTCCGTACGTGTGTGTCCGTGCATGTCTCTGTAACTGTGTCCATCCGTGCGTGTCCGTCCGTGCATGTCCGTGCGTGTCCATTGTGTGTCCGTGCATATCTCTGTAACTGTGTCCATCCGTGCGTGACCGTACGTCCGCCCGTACCCCACCCCCACAGAAGGGGGAGGGTGGTGGGGGCTCGGGCAAGACCGGCAGGGGCCGTGCGCTGGACTGCGGCGCCGGCATCGGCCGCATCACCAAGCGGCTGCTGCTGCCGCTGTTCCGTTGCGTGGACCTGGTGGACGTGACGCCGGGATTCCTGGAGCGCGCCAAGGCCCACCTGGGTCCCGAGGCGTCGTCGCGCGTCGGCAACTTCTACTGCTGCGGCCTGCAGGACTTCTCCTTCGGCAACGAGACCTACGATGTGGTGTGGATCCAGTGGGTGATCGGTGAGTGACCGTGTTGTGGTTGACTTACTGAGTGGCCGTGTTGTGGTTGACCTACCGTGTGACTGTGTTGTGGTTGACCTACCGCGTGACCGTGTTGTGGTTGCCCTACCGAGTGGCTGCATTGTGGTTGAACTACCGTGTGGCCGTGTTGTTGTTGACCCTACCTTGTTGTGGTTGACCCTACCGTGTGGTGGACGCAGGTCACCTGACAGACGAGCACCTGGTGGGCTTCCTGGCGCGGTGTCGCGGCGCCCTGCGGCCCGGTGGGGTCGTGTGCATCAAGGACAACATGGCGTCGCAGGCACGGCCCGCACTGCCCCCAGGGCCAACACTGCCCCAAGGGCCCACACGGCCCCTCGGCCAACACTGCCCCTCGGCCAACACTGCCCCAAGGGCCCACACGGCCCCTCGGCCAACACTGCCCCAAGGGCCCACACGGCCCCTCGGCCAACACTGCCCCAAGGGCCAACACTGCCCCAAGGGCCAACACTGCCTCAAGGGCCAACACTGCCCCAAGGGCCAACACTGCCCCAAGGGCCAACACTGCCCCAAGGGCCCACACGGCCCCTCGGCCAACACTGCCCCAAGGGCCCACACGGCCCCTCGGCCAACACTGCCCCAAGGGCCCACACGGCCCCTCGGCCAACACTGCCCCAAGGGCCAACACTGCCCCAAGGGCCAACACTGCCCCAAGGGCCAACACTGCCCCTCGGCCAACACTGCCCCAAGGGCCAACACTGCCCCAAGGGCCAACACTGCCCCAAGGGCCCACACGGCCCCTCGGCCAACACTGCCCCAAGGGCCCACACGGCCCCTCGGCCAACACTGCCCCAAGGGCCAACACTGCCCCAAGGGCCAACACTGCCCCAAGGGCCAACACTGCCCCAAGGGCCAACACTGCCCCAAGGGCCAACACTGCCCCAAGGGCCAACACTGCCCCAAGGGCCCACACGGCCCCTCGGTCAACACTGCCCCAAAGGCCAACACTGCCCCAAGGGCCAACACTGCCCCAAGGGCCAACACTGCCCCAAGGGCCAACACTGCCCCAAGGGCCCTCACTGCCCCAAGGGCCCACACGGCCCCTCGTCCCTAACGACTCGGCCCCATCGCCACTAACAAACCCCGCCACCTTGGCCCTGAAACGACCCCGGCCCCATCTCTGCTCGCGAGAGGCCCCGGCTGGCTGCGCGGGGGGTGAGGGAGGCACGGCGGGGGAACGGCGGAGACGCGGGGTACGGGACGGGGCCAAGGGCAGCGAGAGACGACAGGAGCGAGGTCAGACGGGGGGAGGGGAGGGGGGCACGACCTCGGGAGGGATTTACAGAAGTGAGAAATGTCCACAGACGGCGGCGGTGGGAGGCAGGGCGCCCTGGCAGAGTTGGGGGGCATGGGGGGGCCGGAATTGTGGGGAAGGTTGTTGGCGAGGAGTGAAGTCGTCGGCGGGACGGCTGAGGGGGTAGAAGGGCGTTTGCAGGAGTTGAGGTGAGTAAACACGAGGGAGTGAACTGGGAGGTCATCGGCAGAGGTTCTCTCTTGCTTTTGGACTGGCGCCACGGCCGTGACGGTGACGCTGTGCCGTGACGGTGCCGTGACGGTGACGCTGTGCCGTGATGGTGACGCTGTGCCGTGACGGTGGCGTGTTTCCCCGCAGGGCGTGGTGCTGGACGAGGCGGACAGCAGCGTGTGCCGCGAGCTGTCGCTGGTGCGCGCCCTGGTGGAGCGCAGCGGCCTGCGGGTGGTCGCCCAGGAGCCCCAGGACAACTTCCCCAAGGAGATCTACACCGTGTGGACTCTGGCGATGCAGTAGCGGTGCATGGGAGGGGGTTGCCCGCAGGGACCCACCGCCACCACCGCCGCCACCACCGCCGCCACCACCAACCACGGCGTTCGGTTCGTTGACGCAGCTTCGTGAGAAGGGTGTTCGCTCAGCGGGGGACGTCGGGCGACGCTTCTACTTTGTGCTCGCGCCGGACCGTCTCTCGCCAGAGTTCTGGCGACCACCGCCGCCGTGCTTGCGGATGGGCAGGGGGTCGATCGTCCGGTGTTGTGGGGGACGGAGACCCGGGGGGACTCGCGACCCGTCATAGCCAAGCCCGTTTGGGGGGGGGGGGGGGGGAGGTTTGCCGCGGCGACGCCGATAACGATCGGGACGCGTCGCACGATGTGCCCACGGGGTTCGCGACAACACACGACAATAAAACTATTCAGAACGTGCACGTTGCCGTCAAAAATGCACGGTCGATTTGCGGGCGCGACTCTGGTGGTGGCGAGGGGGGGGGGGTTGGGGGGGATGGGGGGGTGGATCGCCCCACGGAGCCCCCGATTCGGGGGGGTTCCTCCTCGCACCCTGGCAGCCAGGAACTGATTGGCGAGCGGCCTTCACACAGCCGTCACTCTTACAAGCGGCGGTGAATTTGATGGCGCTGTTGCTGCTTCGGCTCCTATGGTGCAGCTGCCGCGTGTAGCTGCTGCTGCCGCCGTGTACATAGCTATGCGCATGGCGGTAGCTACTGTGTGTAGCTGGAACGGTTGGATCAGCCGCAGATGAATGGCGCTCTGCCCGGTACGCCCGCGGTTCGGGAGGGGACGGAGAGCGAGTTTTTAGTTTCATTATTTTTCCAGGTAATGCCCACTGAGCTCCTATTTCAGAAGCGACCTGGCCACAAATGATAGCTCAACGAAGCGGCTTAATATTATCATCGTTGTGTGGACGCAACGTTACGCTGATGCTACGTTTGGGTTAACGGGGAGAACGGAAAGACTTGAGCCGACGAGACAGATACCGTAACGAACATGAGACGGGGCGGGGGGACAAGACGGAACAACCAGAATGGATTCTTCTTTAGATTGTAATGGTGACCCCCACTAAATCATAGGATCGTCGCGTAGGGGAATCGATGGTGGGGGGGGGAGTTTCGTGACGGTGCGGTGCGAGTCAGAGTGGCGATGTGAGCGAGCGCCTGTGGAGGCCGCCACTCGCCCCAACAGTCCGTTAGGGCTATACGAGGCGGTCATCTTTGTCGGCGCGGTTGTGTGGGTGGTGACGGTGTGGTTGTGTGGGTGGTGTCAGCGTGGTTGCGTGGGTGGTGACGGTGTGGTGTGGGTAGTGTCAGCGTGGTTGCGTGGGTGGTGACGGTGTGGTTGTGTGGGTGGTGTCAGCATGGTTGCGTGGGTGGTGACGGTGTGGTTGTGTGGGTGGTGTCAGTATGGTTGCGTGGGTGGTGATGGCGTGGGTGTGTGGGTGGTGATGGCGTGGGTGTGTGGGTGGTGACGGTGTGGGTGGTGACGGTGTGGTTGTGTGGGTGGTGTCAGCGTGGTTGCGTGGGTGGTGACGGTGTGGTTGTGTGGGTGGTACTGGCGTGGTTGTGTGGGTGGTGTTGGCCTGGCACAAGCGCCGTGGTGACTTCGCCCCAATTATTGTCTAGCCACGAAGGCAGCAGCGGCTTTTGGCTCGGCAGTCGAACGAAGGCGGTGGTCACCGCTGCGTCGCGCGGCGCTTTCAGATGCGCTTCTGCGGCCGTCTGGAACGCTCTTCCCTTCCGATGTTTGGAAGCCACTGGAAGCTGTGCACTTTTAAATCGGCATCTAGATTGATCAAACTCATTTCTACGTACGGTGCCAAAGAAGTTGGACACACATAAACACCTCTACGCAACTATGCACACACGTTCACCTGTTTACATACAAAGACAAAGATCCCCCGTGTAGCCTTAACACACCAATCCACACACACACACGCTCGATCGTGCGCGGGCATCCGGAACGCTCTTCCGACATTAGGAAGCGCGATGCACTTTTAAATCCTCATCTGAATTGGCAAACATTTCTTTCGAACTGCACCTCCGACGAGCACGGTTGGCTAGGTACGGTGCGAAAGAAGCTCAATGCGTACGTGAGTAACGCCGTGTCGTAGGGTCACATTCAGCACCGGAAAGTCCCCGTGGAATTTCGCCTTGTTCAGTTCCCCCCGAGCCGTCGAAGACTCAGCGACCCGCACGTGTCGAGGATTATTGTTTTGTTTTTTTACTTTTTACACCATTCCAACTCAAATATTCGCATGCCGTGTCAACCCATCACGGTTTACCCCGTATTCTTGTAGTACAGGGAAATTGAGTTTTCAGGTCCATGCGGCATACCAGCCATTTCAATACGGGCAAAAAAACATTTGTTTTTGTCTATTTGTGTTTCTCCCTTGTGATGGGACTTTGTAGGATGAACGTTGAGATGTATAAGGGGCACGGGGTGACCATTAAGGTCTGCATTGGTCTGTAATAAGGGTAAGGGGCACTGATAAGGGGTTGACAGGTAATGGTATTCCTTCCCCGGCCTGTCAACTCAAACACAACCAAGTCCGCAGCCTCGTTCCGTGCGACCTTCGCCACCGCTACCGCTCGCTGACCTCAGATGGCGCTCGGGCACCGTTTCGGTGGTCGGGGAGAAGCGGGGAGGGACGCGAGGTGGCGGTGGAGGGAAGTCGAGGAGGTGGGGAGTAAGCAGAGAGTGGGAGATTGGAGGGAGATCTGCGGCGTGAGATGGACGGACTGGACGAGGGAAGACGGCCCAGGAGACGATGGGTCCTGGGGCCCACGAGGTGTTCCAGATTCACGGAGCCGATGTCACCTCGCCGCTATGCGACGAGCAATAAGTGTCGTGACCCCCAGCTTCACGAAGAGGTGGCGTCTTCATCGCGACGGCGGCGGCGGCGGTGACGAAGCCGTCCCGCGATGAAGAGGAGCCGTTCCGGGATATAGGAGGAGGTTTTCTCGAGAGAGAGAGAGAGGTCCTGGCGGCGGCTACCGCTGCTGCCGCTGTTCATGTCTCGAGGATGGCACGTGGCGAGCGATCCGTGGTGCCGGTGTGCGGCAGGGTCCCCCGGCAAAGGTCCCCTGCCGACCGGCGTCGCTCGGCACGGCTGTGGCCTTTTTCAACACGCGCACGGCACGGGCCGTTCTCCCATCCGCGCGAAGTTTTGTCATTAGAACTCAGACGTTGCAGAACGTGGTTTTTGGTGTGTGTGCTTGTGTGTGGTTCTGCGGGTATGGTACTGCTTTGAAACAATTAAACACTTTATCTACCGGCGAAATGTCACTGGACTCTAAATGTAAATGTTGTGGTGGGTTTACTCTCCAACACACCGGTGTGCTGTACTACTAATTGTCACGTTTTGTTTAAATGACATGTTACTAATTGTGTCGGGTGGTGGTGGGCTTAACGACACATGCAAGCGATATAACCCTAGAAACATGGATAATATTAGTCGCGAAAGTTAAACTGAACATTTTGTTCTATCTCACCAGGTAAGGCCCACTGAGCTGTATAGCTCGTTTTAAGAAGCGGCAAATGGAAAGCTCAACTAAGTGGCTTATCCTCACGTGGACATTTCGAGTGGCCAAAAACTCTCGACGCGTGTCTCTGAATGTAGAGTGAAGACCCGGAGAAAAATCCACGTGGCCACAGGGAAAGAGAAAGCGAGAGAGAGACACTCAAACTCCAAAATAATAGATCACAACTGCTGAAGCAGTTTTTGTTCTTGCTGTGGTTGTCCCACCCGATGACGATCGCTTGTGTTGCGATCGAAACATCGTGATCGATTATTTTTTCTACCCACGTGACTTGAACGAAAGAACCAAAGAGTATTGATTCCTGCAGTCACGAAAGCTTCAAATCTAGCTTATACAGCAAGTGTCAGGGTGTCTGGATCGAACCCACGACCTCCTGCATACCAGGCGAGGGAGCTAACATCTCACCACCGTGGTGCCCTACCTAAAGTACCCGAGGTCGACTCAGCCTCAAATGAGTACCTGGTGCGGTGCGTAGTAAACGTCGCAACGAGAGAGACAAAGGCGGTCGTGCTTGGTGCTGGCCACCCACCCCTTCGTGTGCCGTGCCGGCCTTCATAGGTGCTTCTCGCTAACAGCACTTGCCCCAACAGCCTGTTAAGGCTATACGGGGGGGGCTTTGACTTTGTCTAGGGAGCAGTGGACTCAGATAGCACGGGGTCCCTGACTCTATGCTCGCAATCATCATGGACCTTCATGATTTTGTGCGGGTCCGGGTAAAGCTGCGTGGTCGGGATTCAGAGCCATTCCCTGTGTAACACCTTGTCTGGGATGTCCTCTGGCTCCTGTATTGTTGAACGTATCTTTTGTAACCACGTAGGTTCGAAAGGCTCTCCTTGGCCGTACCGAAGGACTGTTCATCGGGTACAGATACAATGGGAGGCTGATCGATGCCCCGATGCGATTGACGGATGCCTTCCAATTGGTTGACCATCTATGTTTAACTTCTTTCGCACCATACTTAGCCAAACGTGCTAATCGAAGGTACATCAACGGACATAACCATGTTATGTCTGTTGTTGATCTTGTGGTTGCTGCTGAGACATGATAATAGGTTTTCCCCTTTTTGATGGCAACAAAACAGGTGTTCAGATGTTAAAACACCAAATTGAAACCTTTTACAAGGAATCATGTCTGCATTAACCACAATACTTGTGGTCAGAATGCAAACAAAAAACATACTCTGATAATATGATGCATTTTCTTTGAAACTGATTGGTCCACACCAGAGAGACAGCTTTCTTTTGAGCCTCGTCTCAAACGGTGTTAGACCAGAGGACGCCAAGAGGCGTACAGCACAAAGACATTGCACTATCAGAGTAATGAGGAAAAACCTATTACCACATTTTGGTACCGGCAAAGAAGGTCCCATGATGTAGCTGCTCACCCCGAGCTTTCATTACTCTGATAGTGGCGTTGTCTTTGTGCTGTTCGCCTTGTGGCATCCTCTGGTCTAACACCGTTTGAGACTAGGCTCCAAAGAAAGCTGTCTCTCTGGTGTGGACCAATCAGTTTCAAAGACAATGCATATATTATCAAAGTACAGTATGTTTTTTGTTTGCATTTTGACCACAAGTATTGTGGTTAATGCAGACATGATTCCTTGTAAAAGGTTTCAGTTTGGCGTTTTAACATCTTAACACCTGTTGCCAGAAAAAAGGGGAAAACCTATTCTCATATTTTGGTACTGGCAAAGGAGGTCCCATGATGTAATTCGGAGATAGTTGGAGGTGCTGCTGCTGCTGCTGAACCTTGAGTGTGCCATCAGCCC